CACAGTAAGCACCCCTCTCACCACTCGTATGCACACTCTCTCCCTCTCCTACCTGGCCGATAGAATAAGAAAGTTGGCTGACCCTCGAATGGTAGCTCATTTTTCACACCACGTTCCAAGAATGCTCACGAAATCTCTCACGCTGCTCGCCCTTCTCGCTTTGTCTATTGTATCCTCGCGTCCTATCGACGTGTCTGTCGGGGATGATGTTGATGAGCGATACCTGGCTCGGGGCGGGTCTGTTACTGTGTCTCGTATCGGCACGGCCGAGAACGCGAAGGAGACTGGGGGTCATGACGAAGATGATGGGGAGGACGAGGATGAGAATGAGGAGGACTACGTGACAGAGTCTGTCAGCTTCACCAAATCTGCCACCTCAGCGTCAAAGTCATCATCCGCCAACGACGATGAGAGTGCTTCGGTCAGCGCGTCTTTCGTGAGACAGAAGGCGATTGCGACGAAGTCTGTCAGTGTCAGCTCTTCTGCTGCTTCTCTGGCCGCCAATCAGTCTGTCACGCCTATCCCCTCCAAGGCATCTGCTACACCTACCCTTCCGACTGCCTCGGCCCAGACCTCTTCCTCTTCCTCTTTCGCACCTACACCCACCCCTTCTGTCAGTCCCAGCAGCGCGACCCACTCTCAATCCCACTTCAGCCCCAGCTCTACTCTCAGCTCCCTCGTCCCCTCTGGCACCTCTATCAACAGTACCCTTGCCGAGCCCGCCGGAAGCCTCCAGTCATTCTCAGACCGCGTCGGCGTCTCCGTCTCCACATTCGTCATCGTCTTTGTCGGCACCGTCATCGCTCTCTTGGGCATTCCCCTCCTGATGTGTCTTGCTCCTGCTGTCAAGAGAGGACATGTTGCGAACAAGGAATGGAAGGGCAAGCGACTTGGGAGCGAGTCGTACTGGTCGAGCCGAGGAAGCTCTTTAGGGTTCGGAAGCTCGTTGAGGACCCAGTCGGCTTTGGACTCTCACTCCAATATCGGATCAAGATCGAGTGCGGGCAGTTCAGACAAGATTCCACAGGTGGAGACGCCGAGCACAATGTCGGGGTTTACGCCCACGATTGTGATTTCTGATAGGGACATTGAGAGAGGGCCATTCGAGTATCCCATTTTTACTGAGAAGGCTGCGATGACGGAGAGCAGGGATTGAGAGTGGTCGATACGACAATATGGACAGTCTTTCAGGGTTCTATAATGAGGTCAGTCCTTTTCTCCAACACGTGAAAGCATACTGACCAAGGGTAGTCTGGATGATACACGGACAATCCGCCTTCGCGTCGCGTTCTTGTTCGTCGTGACGAGATCATTCTATTTTTATTCGATTGAGGATGTACAGTGGTCATTAGGATAGTATATAAAGTCACGAGCGAGACGACAGGGATGCATAATGTAACGTCAAAAGTAGTCCGGGTTTGTCTGTGATTGGTTCTGATGTCATGCTATTTGGACGCGTCGACTTTTCGGACGAGTAGCGCGGACCGGAGTGCATCTATTATTTCTCGATCATTTCATCTCCTCTTTCATTTCTCTTTTCTACAAGTGTACATATACTGCCACCACCCCCTGTACACCCCGCCCCCCTCGCAACTGTTTATACCCTCGTTCCCACCAATCACTTCTTGTCTCAGCGGACGACCTTTTCCCGGTCCGAACAACACACATCAAAACTCGTTGCCACCAAAGCTTCTCTCACCGATCAGCCCCACATTGTCACCTGCAATCACCCCTCACTCCACCCCCAGCCTCACCATGCTAAGTCTACCACCCACAAGTTAACAACTGCATCCAAATCACTTCTACTGTCGACCTCTCTTCGCTTCCCGTATTTTTTGCCGCTAGCGGCCCGCAACAGCAACTAAAAGATGGCAGAAGTACAAAATGGACTTGCAGACAGGCATACGACCGTATTTGTAGTCACTTTGGTGTTCTCTGTCTTTGCGACGGCATTCATCGGGATGAGAATGCTGTCAAAGGGGTGGATAGTAAAGCGGTACACGCTTGATGATTGGTTTGCTGTTGCCGCTTGGGTGAGTAACTTACTGAAACATGGACGGAGCTCATACTGTGATAGGTCTTCTCTATGGGGGTCTCGGTCTCCGTCATGATAGGCGCTCAGGCTGGCTTGGGCAAGATGGATTCTGGTGAGGGAACGCGGGAGTGGCATTAACGACAACTAACGCAAGGACAGTCCTCTCTGATTACCAGAGCGAGTCTCAAAAGAAGGCCATCTATGCCTTCACCATCTTTTACAACCTTGCCCTCTCCACCACCAAGACTGCCATCCTCATCCTCTACGTCCGCATGGCCGCAGCCCACTTCTTCCTACGTTGGGCATCAATAGCCACCATGGCAGTCGTCAATATGGCAGGTACGGCGCTGGTGCTGGTCATGATCTTCAGGTGCCATCCCGTCAGCGCGGCCTATACGGACGGAGGGACGTGTATGAACCTCATCTCGATCTTTCTCTCGTCGTCGCCAGTCAACATCCTCACCGACTTTGCTATCCTTCTCTTACCGCTGCCAATCTTGACACGGCTGAGGATGGAGTTTCGACAAAAGGTGGTGCTTGTCGCGACGTTTATCGTTGGTGGCTTCGTCACCGTGGTGGATGTCGTCCGAGTCGTCTATCTCCAGAACGCGCTCAAGGACGAATTTGCTTCTGGTAACAGCAACGCCCTCTCCACCACTTCTGGCGAAAGCTCGAAAAACTATGGCTACCATATCAGCTACTCGCTCTTGTGGTCTTCAATCGAGGTCTCTGTCGGGTTGATGTGCTGCTGCGTGCTAGTACTCAAGCCTCTGGTCTTGCGCATCTTGCCAGCAATCATCAAAGATCCGAATAGGACTACCATCACTTCCGGCGGTCTCGGATCCTTCACTTTCGGTGGGCGCGCCAGAGCAGAGGCATCCGACGAAGAGCCTTTACGAGATGGGCGAGAGTCGTCGGGGGCTACCAATGGGACTGCTGTGACTGGTATAACCAATCAGAATGTCAGTCACGCCGGCGAAGACCCCGGGCGCGTCAATGGCGGATCCACTTCCACCGGACCCCAGCCTTGGGACAACGAGCTCGACCTCTTTGCCATGCTTGCTAGCGATCCCCCTGCACAACCACAAATGAAAGCGCCAAAGAAGATGTCGGGCGCAACCGTAAAGCTGCAGCAAAAGTATCCGGCATTGTTTGGACGACATCGGGCGTCGGCGTCGATCGAGGCGAGTCAGGAGCCGACCCAGGCGTTCTTTGATTTTGTGCAGATGGGAGGGAAAAAGTCTTTGACAGAGCTGAGTGCAAAGGAGGCGAGGACGGCTGTCTTGTTTGGTACGTCCGAACCACATACACTCGTTCACCCACTGACTCAAAATGCAGTCAGCATCCTCTTCTTCCTCTGGGGTTTCGGCTACGGCCTCATCGTTACCCTCAACACCCAAGTCCAAAAAATCCACGGTTTCTCCCGCCACCAGGCTTTCGCCCTCAACTGCGCCTACGGTCTCGCCTACTTTATCGCTCCGCCCTTGATCGGCTACTGGGTCCTCAAAAAGTACGGCTTCAAGGCCACCTTCATCACCGGTCTCACCATCTACTCTATCGGGGCTATGGCTTTCTGGCCGTCGGCTGTTTTGGGCAGTTATGGCGGGTTCTTTGTGAGTAACCTCATCATTGCGATGGGGCTGGCGACGTTGGAGACGGCGGCAAATCCGTATGTGGCACTAGCAGGCCCGGGAGAGTTTTCGGAGGCGAGGCTCAACTTTTCGCAAGCCTTTCAGGCTATCGGGGCGTTTGTGGCGCCCATCATTGCCTCCAAAGCGTTGTTCGGGGACGGCGACGTCTCGGAACAGAGACTTTTTCGAGTGCAATGGTGTTACCTCGCCGTTGCCATCTTTGTCCTCTTCCTCGCCATCGCCTTCTTCTACGTCCCCTTGGCCGAAGCCACCGACCAAGCGCTCGACAAGGACACAGAGGACAGAGAAATGCGGGCTTATCTTTCGCATCAAGGCAAATGGTATGGGCTGTCAACCAGGATCGTACTACTGTGTATGGGAGTCTTCACGCTTTGGCTCTACATTGGCGCTCAAGAAAGTCTTGGTTACTTTTGGCCAGTTCTTTCGCGTACCATCAATCCGGGGTTTGACACACTCTGGGGCCGCACTATCAGTCGAGGTGGTCATGCCATTGGCCGCTTTGCAGCCGCCATCCTCTGCTACATTGGCGTCCCACCTCGATTCATCATCCTCTTCTGTGCTCTGGGTTCTCTGATAACGGGCCTTGTGTCTATCCTTGCTCCGATAGGGCACGGCACATACGCAAGCCTCATCCTCATCGAAGTCTTTGAATCCGCCATCTTTCCCACCGTCTTTGCCATCACCTCGCGCAACCAAGGCCGTCATATCAAATCCACCTCGGCCGCTCTCATCATGGCCGCCTCTGCCGGCGCCGTCTGGCCTGCCGTGGCGTACGGTATCAGGATCCACCACATGCATGTACGGCATCTCTTGATACCGTCCGTCGTGGCCTGGGCATTGATTGTGCTCTACCCACTAGCGCTCAGTAGTGTCAGTCAGTTTAGAGGGTGGATAGATCCAAAGGCGAGCAGGATCAAGAAGGATGAAAAGGTGGGGCAGGCGGAGAAGGGGCAGCAGTTGGAGGTGGAAGTGGGTGATATGGAGATTAGTCCGAGGAGTGTTGGGGATGACCTTCCAGGTTTGTCGGGAGATAGGGGTCTCGGGGGAAGGGAGAGAGCGAGGACATTGAATATGGAAGAGGTGCTGGCGGCGCCGATGACCATGGGTTTGGGGTTGAATCTAGAAGCTGAAGAAGATTTGCAAAATGGGGGTCAAAGAGAGGGATAAAGACTCAAAAGTATAGAGTAAAGTCAAAAGGGTCTATGTTGTTCACTCTTTCTATCTTGGGATTTGTTGCGCCACTTTATAACTATTGTAATGTTCCTGTCATGCTTGCTATTGCTGACATATTGCATGTAAACGATGACTGTACTTCGTTATACCGCGAATTTGGTCATGCCCCAGCACTGGCCTTGCCAAAATCCATCAGCCCCCACAGCGCAACCTTCCCGTCTTTTCCTCCGCTCGCCATCCATCTTTCCTTAGGCGGCACACCGTCCATATCTTCATCCAAATCATCATCGTCTTCGTCGCTGGCGTCGACGGACAAGGGGACGATAGTTGATTCTGCTGTTTGTGTCAGGTTATCCTGTTCGGATAGCAGAGGGATAGGAGACGATGAGGGCCGATGGGCGAAGGCGAGGGCGTATACGCTGTCCCTATGGGAAGAAAGGGTTCCGAGAGGCTTCGACGTCGCTGCGGAAAACAGCCGTACCCTTCAAACATAGTGAGCACAATTACAGAGGCTGATTGATGAAGAGATGCTCACTTGCCATCCCAGCCGCCCACTGCTACGACTCTATCATCCCCAGAGACGGCTATTGAAGAGTTCCCGATCTGTTTGGTAGCATAAGGCTTCACCACGTCCTCATTGTCCTTTCTTAGTATGCCGTCCCATACCTTGTCGGAATATCAGCATACTCTGACCGAAAGATGAGGATGATCACTCACTTGATCAAATTCATACCTCACCAACCGATGATCTGCACTAACAGTCCACCCCCTCCTCCCCCGACTATCACAGGTCCCAGCCATGATAGCCTCATTATGCCCCTTCCCCATCCATCTACAATCCCAAGGATTGGGTCGTTTCGACATTCTTGCGTCGTAGACCTCGGACAGAGAAGAAGCGGGTGTCGAGAGGATGGCGGAGTGGCCGGACTCGTAGGTTATCATCAAGCCTACCTGCTCCTCAGTAGATATAGAAGATGGGTTCGGAAGGAACAGATTGAGCGACATGACCAGTCCGCTTTTGGATGTCCCTGGAAGGTCGACGCCAGAGGGCGGCGGAGCGGGCTGAGAATGGAGGTTTATGGAAGCGTGTAGCCGCTTTAGCGAGGGAACGTGATATATGTCTACCTATGCCTTCGTTAGCATAGACCCTTATAAAGAAGAGTCCGCTTACGAGCTCAGAATCGATCAGACTGGGTACAGCCATAAGCCCCTCAGACTCTTTCCCTTTTCCTTTGCTGCCTTCCGTCCCATTCCGCGACAGCTGGATCAAAGAGAAGCGGCAGAAGTTGAGAGCATTTGTAGGTAGCGCATTTGTAATCTTGGGCCCGTATGCTGTTGGATCTAGGTTTGTGGAAGTGGGAATGGCAATGTACGGTCTTTTGAGAGGCTCATGAAAAAGAATGATGTTGTCCCGGCCATGGCTAATGCCCATTAGCTCCTTCACCCAAGCCCAGTAGCAGCACGTACCTGACTACACCACCCTCCCACTCTCCCAGCCCAAGCACGCCTCCTTCATGTGCCTTCCAGAAAGCCACCACCCGCCGCACCCTGAGATCCAAGACTGATATCCAGCCCTCCTGATCCCCAGAGTACAATAGGCCATTCGATGGAGAGGTGGAGAAGTGGAGAGTAGCGAGAGGGGATGAGTGGGTGCGAAGGGTGTGGAACGGTGATGGTGCAGCAGGGGGCATTTGGAAGATTTAGGGAGAGAAAGAGATGGAAGAGGAGAATGGAAGAGCGCGTCGCGTCGAAAGCGTTGGCGGCCGCCGGCGTGTTGAGAAATCACTATCCTTACCTGCATGACTGCATTGCAACGGCCTGTCTCCATATATACATGTAAACTGTGCATGAAATAGATGCTGTTGACTCCCCCTTTCCTCTCTCTTCACCTATGCCATTGCTCAATCTTCGTCTTCATCTTCTCCCTTGAATCATGAGCAGACGGGCTCATCATCTTGCGATTCCAAACTTCCCTTCTAGGCGGACGCTCTTCTTTCAGGAGCTGAATTTCTTCCGGCAAGTGAGAGCCTATTGAATGATTTGTTGATAGTAGCGATCTGCTCATTGATGACAAAGTCCGCTTCTTCTTGCATCCTAGACATGTAGTCCTCTGGACGCACGCCGTCGTATATACTCGTGTAGCCGCTTTCCAGATCATCGGCCGGCCCAAACACTCTGGTCCCATGGTCATCGGTGGCGGGTACAAACCATATGCCATAATTCTGGCTAAAGATTGGAGCACCCGGCATGATGGGAAGCGGGGGAATTCGGGACCCTTCTCCCGATGACTGCCCAATGTTGCTTGACATCTGCGTGGCCTCAATGGGGACTTCGTTTTCGACAGGATCTTGTACATGGTCAGAGACAAAGTCTTCTGCGTCGTCGTCTTGGCTTGTTTCTAGAAGATCATATTTTGAGCATTTTAGGTCAGCTTCCATCCATTACCGGTCCTCTGGAAAGACGATGCTGCCTTACTGTTGTAGTTCTCTTCACTCTGTTCCAGACTTTCCAACATTCTTGACTCGAGATCCTCACTTATCTGTGACTGGCCAGCGAAGTTCTCGTCTGATGAATCAGCCTCCCTGCTGTCTCCAAGTCTCTTCGACATCCTCTCTTTGAGGGCATCGTCTATCAAGAATGTGTGTGATTCGCTCGCTATACTGTATATGTCTGGTGTATTGTGGACTGCAATGCTTTTTGTATGGAGATCTGAGGGCTCAGACCCGCCTCTTATAGGGCTGCAATTGTGGTAGTGTTCCAAAGTGATCGGACTAACTCGTACTACTTTCTTTACGCTGAGTACAAGTACCGCTCGGCCGCTCGTTTCACATACTAGTATAGTTCTATACCGGACCCTCCATGATTCTATATTTGAGCTCTGTGGTTCTACTTTCTCGATCCTCAACGCAGAGGTGAGTATGGAGAAAAGGATCGTTGCCCGATGACCAGTCCAAGATCAACAGAAGGACAGTCAGGAGGCTGAAACTTGACAAAGGGAGGTAGGTGATGATCTCCGCAAAGTCCTGGACAATGGCAAGTCTCCGCCAGCTATATCTGGCATCTTGTCGCGACCGGTCCTTCGGTGCCCGACTTTCAGCACGTCTTGGGAATTGCGGCCTCTTGTTGACCCTCAAACGAGGCCCAGCTGTCGTAAGATTCGTCAAGCTGCCAACTGAGCTCCTCAAGAAGGATGCACACGACAACCAGTGACGATCCGCCTCTGACAACCTATATGCATGCCAGCATCTTCGTCCCCCCATATCCCACAATACGCCTCCGACGAGTTCCTGCCAGGAAGATGAAAAAAATACAAGAGAAAAGTGACCAGTTGAATATGTCGATGATGATGGGGTGGACGCGCGCAAGAAGTATGGATACTGAGCGTTTTCGAAAAGCAGCGACTAGTTGCCATCGCAGTGGGCCTTGTAGGCAGTCTCATCGAGGAGGTCGTCAAACTCGGCGGGGTTGGCGAGCTTGACCTTGCAAAGCCAGCCTATTCCAATTATTTAGCCTAATCCTTTTTCCAATCCATCGTCCGTCACACAGAGATAAGAATGCGACGCACCGTCCTCTTCGGGGGACTTGTTCAGCAGGTTGGGTCGGTCGCCGAGGATCTCATTGATGGACTCGACGACACCAGAGACGGGGGCGTAGATGTCAGAGGCAGCCTTGACAGACTCGACGGCGCCGACGGTCTCTGCAAGAAGTGCCTTATCAGCTTGAGATCTTATCATTATGCGAAGTATAGCATTGCGACCCGAGGGAAACACAGTACAGCTAGCGGTGGTGATGAATTGGACGTACCTCCTTGGGCGACTTCAGTGCCTTCTGAGGGGAGCTCGACAAAGACGACATCTCCCAAAGCCTTCTGGGCGTAGTTGGTGATACCGATGGTACCGATGTTGGTCTCAGAGTCGAAAGTTACCCATTCGTGGTCGGTGGAGTACTTGGCTAAGCAGGAGCGGAAGCATAGATTGGTGAAGAGAGAGATAGCGATCAGCTCATGTACACGTCTATACCAGCCAAGACAAATGCGAGAGGACTTACTGGTCGAGGCGAACCTAAGCGCGGCGAACCTGGAGGCAACGACGGGCTTGGCGACGCAAGACCTGGCGAGGGGGCGGGCGAGAGGACGGAGGGCAGAAAGCATGGCTGGGACAGGATGGACGAGAGGAAAGAGAAAGATAGATGTTTCGCAATGGGGACAGTTTACCAGGAGCCGATTGGAAAACACCGGGAGCCAGCGTACCTAGCCGGCGAGGTGGAGGTCTTCATTTGGTTCCGCCGGGCGACTTTGGTGGCCCGTGGGGTAACGTTGAGCGACTCTTCGAGACCAAGTGGATCCACCAAAGACAGGATACAATGTGCATTCCGTACCATGTGGTATGGTGTAAGAAAATAGGTGACTGAATACCGAAAATGACCGTCTTTACCCCTTCACAGACCAACACTAAGCCGACTCACCGCACCCCTCGCACCTCTTCGTCCCTGGCCTGTTTGCGACCAACTTTCCAGCCCAGTTCTTCATATACTCCCGCTCGTCAAAACCTCTACTGGCGTACTTTCTGGGGACACCTCCTAGCCGCCGGAGGGCCTTTTTGAAACAAAGACGAATATCGGCGTTGGTGTTGTTGAACTCGATCAACTCTACACGTCCGAGAGAGCGCTCGACCGAACGGTAGCTACAAGCAACGTCAGAAGTATGCAATGTGACTGGATATATATCTGCTCACCCCTCGTACATTTTATGGCAATCGTGAAAGAAACCAACCAGCCAACTCTGTATCTCATACTCATGCCACCGTCGCTCCACCTCCTCCCAGCTCTCCTGTTCTCCGGTATCATCATCGTGCCCAGCCATCTGCTCGTAGTTGTGTTGAGATATTCCTATCAGGTAGAATTCGAGGTGCTCGACGATATAGTTACATCTGAGGTAGCCGAGATCTATATTGTGGATGACTAGATGATGCGTAGTAGCGAGGTATCCGGTGTCGTAGGTAGGGTCATACAGCACGAGGTCGGCAGTCGCAAATGGATACTGTTCTTCGGGATGGAGAGGGTGTACACATCGGTGGGGGCTGAAGAGGCATCGACTGGCGAGATGTAGAGCGCAGGTGATGGGTGAAGTCGTCTTTCTTGGTGTCGTCGACGGCTCGACATCATACGGGTCCTTTCTTTCGTCCGGAATCAAACGCCGATAGTCGGCAGCGAAAGCTTTCGGATAGACGACCCACCCGAGCTGAGGAAACAGCCTTTCCTCGAAGGGAAGTGTCTGATGGGCGTGTAGGGGCGCTCCTTTGATGAGCTGTAGGGATGTGACGAGGAAGACGGCGATATACTTGAGCGCCTCCACATCGCGTATGACAAGAGCTTCGGTATGGTCGTGGAGATTCCTGAACCTGTGTCGCAGGTCGTCGATCCAGGACAAAACATCTCCTATGTATTGATGGTGTATGGGATAGTAGAGAGGCGCGAGGTCGGTGCGGGTACCGGGAGGACGGACGAGGTCGACGTTGGTGTAGGCAAACACGAGAAAGTGGTCTAGAGACTCGGGGAACAGTTTGCCGAAGAAGCTCTTGGAGAGGGTGAAGTCGAGGTCGAAGTGGCCGTAGACCTTCTTGCTGAATCTTGCATGGAAGACTTTGTTGAGACGAAGGAGCACAGCCGTCTCCTTTTGGTTCAGATCACAAACCAATTCTCCCGTGATCTCGCGGATGACATCGTCGTTCAGGGTGACACCAGGCCGGGTGGGAGGTGGCGCATTGGGCGGCGCCAAGCCTTGCGCGAGATCTGTCTGGGAGGAGGGGTAGTCGTGTCACGTGGCTGTCGCCACTCGACCCAGAAATATCTCGAAGCATCTAGAATAATCTTTGCCGCTCTGTCGGCCACTGTAGAAAACACTGGAAGGTCATGGAAAAGGAATACGTAGGCTTGAGGCTGGATATAAATACCACACTCTTTCATAGCTTTTAGATACGCTGTCGATCAAATATTGTTGTCTCTCTCCAACACAACCAGGTCGACACTGCTACTGCATCGCGCGCCGGCTCTGCACAACACATAGGCAAAAATCCTGCGCGAGGCAAAGGCAAAGCTCCCGCAGCCCCTCCCCCCTCGCAATCTTCTGTCCCCAATGCGTACCCCTCTGGTCTTGGCCATCCCGCGAATGGGAATTTCAGAGGTCCTCTGCGACTGATCCCGTTCGACCTTGCAATTTCCCACCACTATCCCAACTCTTTCACGATCAAATCATACTTCGATGTGGACCACCGTTTGATGGGTTCATTCTGGACCGAATATTATCCTGAGATTCCAATCGAACCCGAATTTCAAAGCAAATACATTCTCCCTTATCTCCGTGAATTCTATGATGATCCCAAGGCTGTTGGATACCCTACTAGCTGGGACACGACCGTGGACTTCTCCCAGACTTCTTTCTATGTCCCTCAGGAAAAGAAGTACAAGGATTTGGAGATTGTGCAATCTGTCAGGGATCATGACATCGAAGTGAAAGTGAGTAGTCTTGCTTGTGCCCCGGATAGTGTCGCTGATCAGCTTCTACAGGGTTCGAAGTATTCATCCTGCTGTGGTACATCCCAGGCTGCATCCATAATGTCGATGAAGCTTGGCGCCACAAAGCCAGATGTCTGTCTAACAGGGTATCACATTGGAGATCTCGCAGAAGAGACGTATCGAAAAGACCCTGCGGGCGGCGGAAATCTGGGAATTACCGATTGCCCCCTCAGAGCCCTCTACACTATCATCGAGCTCAAGTGGGTTCCTTGGGCAGGAAAAAACAAGCTCGATCTACGGCACCTCGATTTACACATCAGAGACCTCGACTATGCAAACGTGGAGGCTATCGTTCAGACAGTCTTCTACAGCCTACTTGGTTATGACGTCTCAAAGTGCCGTTCGGCTATCGCATGGGCCAACGGAAATTACGCTCGTATCCTGAACCTGTCTGATCTGCCAGAAGGAGAAGAGGCAGTTTGGGAGGGCCTGACTGTGGGAAGAGGCGGTGGTCCGTCAATCTTGGTTGAAGCCGACCCAGATCTTGTCACCAAAATGAGGCACATCGGCGCGAAAACCCTGTCTGCAGAGGAGTTTGGCATGCTTGCAACAGGAGATCATGACGTTGAACGCCTGTGGAAATCACCGAATTCCCTCATTGCAGATTACAACGGCTTGAGCTTGAATCAAGATGCCAAGGACCGCCTCGATGCCACTATATATCTGAACCTTGCCCTTGCTACTCGACATCCGGAGGCCGTTCAAGATCCTCCTTTTAGCAACCATCGCCCTACGAACGTCATGGGCCTGGACACCTCCAGAAAAGACGCATATAAGTGGCTCTCTGTCAGGGCGCAGATGAGAGGATGCCGCCGGTTGACAAAGGCATCGACGAAGAACGCTGTTCCAGCTGCGAATGCCGCTGTTTCTGCTTCCCAGAATGCTGCTTCGGCTGCGAATACCGCTGTCTCTGATCCCCAGGTTCAGGGTGTCAGCGAGGAGGAGGATGAAGAGGGGGAGGATGGAGACGGGAAGAATGAAGACGGGGAGGATGAAGAGGAGAAGGACAAACAGGGTGGAGATAGGCGCGATGAGGACGATCGGAACCCTGATGGTAAACATGGTGGTCAAGGCGGTGGTGCTCCTGGTGCCGGCGGTGGTGCTCCTGGTGCTGGCAATGGCAGTGGTAATCTTGATCCCAACGGCGGCCGCCCTAAGCAATCGAGACCCAGGAGCGATCACGGTCAGGAGCCGTCTAGTAAAAGACAGAAAAGGGCCGCTGTCTCTGGTGAGTTCTCTGCTTCGTCTCGATGGCGCTCTAGTCTGACTTGAATCTAGGACCAACCGAGTACTTGCTCCCCTCTTCTCCTAAATCAAAGATTGCAACTTCACCACCCTCGGGACAGAAAAGGGCCGATGTCTCTGGTGAGCTCTCTGCTTCGCCTCGTTGGCGCTCTAGTCTGACTTGAATCTAGGATCGACCGAGTACTTGCCCCTCAGTCCTAAATCAATGATTGCAACTCCACCACCCTCGCCGTCTTCCTTTTCGACAATATCCTCATGTTTCGCAATTGAACATCCAGTCAATGTAGAGGAATGGTGTTTGTCTGTCAAACAGGAGGCTTTAACCGACCGTACATTCAACGATACGGCCATCCATGAAGAACCTGAGACTTACACCGATGCCGAGAAAGTCTTTCCCCGCGAATACTGGTCCCACGGAGACTACATCGACCACTTCTCGAGGCTTGGCGTCACCTTCGTGCTGGCTACGCCCACAGAGGTAGATGTGTTGCTCGCGCGAGCCGCCAAATTTGGCTGGGGTGGGGCGCTGGGAAGCGGGTAGGTGTCGGGGACGGGAGAGCTGGGTGCTGGCAGTTTCGTATCATGTAATATATGGACATTCCTTTCTAGTATCATGTAATCTATGGACATCCCTTCACTCATGGATATCAGGCTTGTCTGATTGCAGCGTGGACGCGGCGTAGAAAGACCGTGCGCGTGGATTTGGCGTCGGCCTCAGGCGACTTAAGTGATTTACTATGGTCTCGGGGTCTATGACCGAGTCTGACCACAGAAGCGCTCGAGAAGCAGTAGCCAGCTTGTAACATAGTGGAAGAACGAGTAGAGAAGCCAAGTTTGCACGAATGGTTTTCATGGTCGTTATACGGATCCCTCCACATGTCTATACATGTCTATACCTCTGCACATCTGCCTACTTGCCCTCCCCCGCCCCTTCAGCACTGGTTCCCTTCGTAGTAGTCCCTGCAGCACTACCCCCGTCTTGCCCCTGTTCGCCAGCAAGCCCTGGAACTACCAAGTCTGTCAGCTAGACGTTTCAGTACGTTCGGCGTGGGACTTACAAAGTTGTGCAACGCTTCGTTAGACATAGCAGGTGCCGGCGTCCCCGGCGAAACTTTCCTACCCTACCTCCCCAGCCTCGCAAACATGTCCTTCAATTCTCCTTCCTTCGCATCATCTCTCTCTCCAATCAGACCTTCCATCTCCTGCATGACCTTCTCAACACCGGGCAAGCTTAAATCCTCGGTAGCACCGCCCATAGGCCCCACGGCGGTATTGTTGAACCCACCCGTGCCGGGGTTGGAAGCAGAGGGAACGTTGGAGGGTGAGGTGGCGGACGCGGCGTGGCGGAAAGATTGGCGGCGGTCTCGGTTGTGGTCTTTCATGAGGTCGAGTTGGCGGGAGAGAAAAATCTGGGAGGGCTCGGTGACTGTCGTAAGGTTGGCAGGAGATTGCGGGGGAGGAGACGCGAAGGAGGGAAGAAGCGCCTGCCAGAACTCTTCAAGAGGTTCTCCGTCATCCTCTTCAGGCTCTTGACCCGCAGACTGGGCAATATACCTGCTCAAGCGGACTTTCGAACCCTTCGCCACCAGTGCGGGGTCGAAACCATCTCTCAGAACACTGATCTTGCCCCAGCTATCCCATCCGTTGGGTACCATGACAGCGTCTCCGTCAAGCACGTTGGTTCGGTGGGTGAAGGGGAATTTGGTAGAGCCGACGATGGCGGGTGCGGGGAGGTTGGTGGCGGATCAAGTGGAGGCGGGACGGTATACAGTCTGGGGAGGAGATAGCTCTTCAGGAAAGCGTATGTCGTAGACTACGTATGGGTAGTGTAGAACAGAGCGGCGCCATCTAATCCGATGATCAGTATGATCGTCAATGAAAATGGGATGAACATACAGGCCAAATAGACAGTTCTCAGCGCCAGGAGGGCAAGAAGAGGGGGAAGGGCGTGCGATTGTTCATCCAGAGTGTGTATGGATGGGATGAGATGAGAGAGAAGAAAGAAAGGCCGAGACGAAGAGACGCGTCGTCGGCGTCCTCCGCCCCTTCCTGCCTCCACTCTCACCGTTGATATCACTCATGCCTTGCAAGGACCCACCTCCAGAGATTCGTGCTCTTTTGTCGGATGACTCTCCCGGTATGTATGTGATTCCCTGGCTCATCGCACCCCTCGCACTTCTTCATCCTGGACTTATTTGCGAGGCTGTCGTTGCTTTGAGTGGAGCAGAAGAGAAGCTTAAGAGACCAGGATTGAAGCGGAGATGGTTATGTCAGATGGGTTGAACGACCGCTCTGGAAGATTGACGACTGGGAGGTTCTGTGCATCAAATGCCCTGCTACAGCAAGACACAGCTCTCTTCCAGAACCCCCTGCTCCCGTACTCTCCATCTCCCCCAAGCTTCCTCCACCATACCCTTACTGATAACCACCTCCGTCCCCTTCCACTCGCCCAAATCCTCATCTTCAACTCTTTCCTCCTCCACTTCTCCACCTTGCCCTTCTTCTCCGTGTATATCATGTGTATGACGCGTACGTTCGCGCATGGGGATGGTGGCAGCGCGGCGATGGCGGAGGAAGCCGAGTTCGGAGAGGGTGAAGGCTACGTCGTCGATACGGAGATGGCAGGTTTTGGCAATGTCGGAGAGAGCGAGCGCGATGTTGAATTGGCCGGGATGGCCTGGGATCGGCATCCTCAGTACATCTTCCAAGTATATCAGCATTAAATATGCGTAAGTGCACGAAAGACTCACCGACATCGCCGACAACGATCGTCTCCCCTTTGTCCACTGCCTCCTTCCTAGCCCTTAAACTTCTACTATTGGGAGCTCCAGGCTTGACAGGCGACGCCCCAGCAGCAAGCGACCCCCTCTGCTTCACCGGCGACTGACCAGCCGCAGGCTCAGCATCCTTCACCAGCAACTTCAAAAAGCGGAGAATGACAGATACCCAGTAAGCTGTGTAGCCTTTCAAACCGAGGTCTGAGAGAGGTCTTTCGGGGGTCCCGGCAGAGAGGGATTTGGAGCGTGTGGCGGGGTGTTTGGTGAGGTAGTAGCCTTTGGGGCGTTAGTGCTGGATAGGAATGGTGAGGGTGGGGCTTACTGAATTCGATGAGAAGCTTGCCGAAGCCGCGATTCTGGAATGGCGGGAAGGCAACGATGCACGCTAGATTATAGTCGTCGTAAGAGACCTTTTCCTATGCCAAGAATCAGCTCTGCACGAGATCATCTTGACTGTGACTTACTTTCGAGAAGAAGGCCATGGCCTGTTCTCGGCGACTCGTCGCAGCATCACATATGATATAGAAGAGGAAATTCTCGACGTGAAAGAATATTGACTGGCAAAGCTTCAGCCAGAGTCCGACCTCATTTGCGAGGCGCTTACCTTGTGATCGATGAACAACTTGCCAAATAGCGACAGGTTCTGACAATACAACTGTGGTCTGTCAGCGCAGACTTATAAGGGAATTTAGAACGTACCGGTGCAAATGCTCCATCCACTTCCCATATCGTGTAGCTTCCCCTTCTATACACTCGTCTTCCTGGCGGTTCCATCATCGTGCATGAACTCTACACGGGTGTTAGTCCGCAAATACGCGAAACGCCACTTACGCAATGCCGATCCCAAGCTGCTCTAGTCTTCATATACTTGAAGCACAGCTATGGTTGTTGTCAGCTCACGACAAGATATGAAAACACAAAGCACGCACATCACAAACCCATAAGCGTCTCTTCCCACCTTCACCTTTTTCCGCTCCTGCCGCAAACATATCGCTCGCTAGTCTGCTCATTTGCGACCTATCAGGATGAGCAAGTCCTTCTTGTGTTTTGGATGGCCCAGCCGTAGATTGAGACTGGGCAGGCAGTCTGGACGAAGAAGCTTGATGCTCAGAAGTACCATTCGTTTCAGATATCTTTCGCTTGCGAGAGGACGGCACTTCGGGGGGATTGTGATGTACCGGCGGGGCTTCTGTCTGATTCATTGGATACGGCGAGTAGTACCTGTCTGAAATCAGTCGTTGATCACTGACGGGAAGCCGAGGTAACTCACCAAGTGTTGATTAAATACTCGCCGAATCGCACTTCCTCATAGTTTCGCAGCCGTGTCAGCGAGGCATGTTCTCGCTCCGGACTTGACTCGATGGAAGGTGAAGGAGCGTGCAATTTGGGATTGTCGGAGACTTCGCTGAAGCTGCGTTCCGGAGTGCCCGCGGCAGCGCCGTTCTGCCAAGTATCAGCATGTCTTCTACTACAATGGATACTGAATGTGGAGAGAGTCTTACCCGTTTGCCGTGGTCATCTGTATTCCCCGCATCCTCGGTCACTAGCTGTCCCAGTTCATTCTCGGGTATCCAGCTATCCAGCCGTTTATCTTGCCCTGGGAAAGATATGTACACATCTCTGGCACCCTTTCGATTCGCCCGTATGTCCAGAACGGTTGCAGGTTCTACATGGAACAGGAGCGAGAGAGAAAAACGCGTCGTCAGCCAGAGCACACTAGATGCTAGCCGCGGGGTGTGGAAGGTGAAAGGCCGACTCACGCGGAAGATGCCCGGGTCTCTGAACAAGGTACTGCGCTTTGACTACTATCTGTTTCCCCACGCTATCCTCTGCCAGACCCAAAGAGGATGTAGTTGCCGCGGCCATGGTTTGATTGCTGGCTTTGGTCATGGTGCATACTTCGGGAGAGATGATCACGGTGAGTGCGCGCCGATCTGATCCCGCGGAACCAAACTCGTTTCTCGACGCGACGCGTTGTTGATTGTTTTCATGGTGAGAATTGTGTCTCAGGTCATTCTCTGCACTTTCGTATTTCCCTCTTTTCTCTTTGGCCACCAGCTACACTCCAATCGACGTCATGAACCCCTCCCCACATTCACCCGACTCTCACTACGACACAGCCCGGCTTATCGCACTAGGCGACGATGTGACCCTCGAAGAGCTCTGGACCAATACCTTCTCACCCGACATTTATGCCCTCATCAATGTCCCCTCCGTCAACCCCTCTTCCTCTCTGGCCTTGCTTACTGCTCCAGCCGCCCAGTTTCCAGAGCAGTGGAAGTCTACTCTCAATGCCGACATCATCCTGCAGATCATCCAACGGCTGGTGGAAAGGAACAACAACGTTGTACAGACTCGCGTGCTCCTTGTCAATCAACATATGTATCTCAAATACGTCCGTCAATTCTTCCAGCATCTCACCCTCGACCGGACAGTCACCAAGCGAGTTCTCAAGCCTCTCTTCCGTTCCAACAAAGTCCTGAACGCCTTCCTGCGCCTCCCCTACACCGACGGCGATACCATCACTCAATCTGCCGATCCTCACAAATTGCCTATTTACGAGACATCATACTTCGGAAAGATCGAGGGGTGGATAGATCTCCTGTGGAGCAAGTTTGAGTGCCTGTATGAGTTTACGGAGGTGTTGACTATTGAGGACGCCGTATCTCTCAAGTATCTCGCGGCGTTCCTTGCAACTGCGCTGCAGTATCTACTTCAGACCGACTCCTAAGAACACAAGGAGCTCTCATTAAAATTCAGAGTGCTGCCCCGTGTCAACTGGGTAATCTATCCCAAATCCTTTGCGTATGATCGCCGAACGGTGACAGCCAACCCGCGCCAAACGACGAGACCCATTAGAAACCTCTCCCCGCCCATACCCTACGCCCCAATCGACTGCGCCCTCTACACTGTCAGTCGATGTCTCTTCTCTCTGAACCGATGCGTCTACGTAAGACAAGAACACGCCGAATGGCCGCTGCCCCCTCTTCCTGTATCGCCCAAGCTGGGACCGCAGCTAATCTCCTACTACCCGCCATTTGGTCGTGCACAATGTCGAAATGAACGCCTTACCAGCGATCATGATGGCCGAGCACCTCGAGTCTTTTCTTCGCAGGATGGAGGAGACACGGAGCATGAGACGGGAGACGAGGCAGACGATGCAATGATGGGACGGTCATGGAGGAGTGATTATGAAGAGGGAGAGATGGCATGGCACGCGGATCAAATCACTTCGTGGATAAATGGGTTCTTCGCCGATCAAGATGACCTTTTCGATGCGTAAGCTCCTCTCATTGTTGATACCTAGGAATGGCATGCTGACTCCGAGCTTCAGTGAAGACTCTCGAGAACGGTCCCTTGGTTCAGTTCGCCTAATCGAGTTCAATAACACCAACGTTGACATAGAGGACATTGACGATATCGTTTGAAGAGCATTGGAAGACCTGGAAGACGCATCGTGGACCTGGAAGGGTGAGATTCGGGTCAACAAGCCGGGTGAGAGGCGGTGTAAAGGTTGCGGGCAGTCATGAATTTTGGGGAAGGACAATGGGACTCAACGCGTTGTATACGGTTTTTATGATTTGGTAGTTGGTCGTTCCTCAGGTTATCTGCGCAATATGTAAAGACAGTTCCCTGTACAAAAGATATCTTGAAAAAGGGCAAAGTATCACGAAGATGAATTCGTCGCGAGGAGGCTGACGCGATGCAAGATCGGCGCGTGATCTTGTTGTTTTGGAAGGACGTCGTGTCCACATCACGTCGATCATTCTGCACTCGTTCTCCTTTTGCATTTCTCTTTTGCATCTCTGCAACCCTCCGCTTTCTCATGGCGTCTTTTCGACGGCTCTCCCTGCGTCCTGCGGGAGACGATGCTGTTATCCCGTCCACGCCCCCTCTCCTAGAGAAGAAACGGCGACATTCCAGCTTCTTTGCCAAGGCAGCCGCCTCCTCACCCAAATCTCATTTTTCCCCAAAACCCGATACCCCTCCTGCAACCCGTCACCAAATCATCGCACCCTCCCCCAAGACAGCACGCTCCTCCCCACGTACAGCTGTCAAAACACCCGAGCATGATCTGTGCTACGACGTCGTGCGCCAGGTCATAGCTCACTTTGCAAAAGACTCCACCCTTGTTGAGCACACGGTCCTCCTCCTTCTCAACAAAGAGATCCGCTCCATCTATCTCTCCTTTACCTACCAGAGACTCTCGCTAGACCCAACGTTTTGCCGGCAGTTCTTCTGTCCTCTCTTCCGGGCTTTCAAACTCGACTCTATACTCCTCTTCGCCCATACAGGCAATACCTTTGGACGCCTCACTCCATCTGACGTACCGCTCGTCTATCCTTACCCGCCCGCCCCTACCACCTCACAAACAGCGCTGTCCAAGCTCAAGGCCAGATGGAGCTCGCTCATTGTCGTCTTCGTCCCCACGCCGACACAGCAAGAGTTGAGCACAAGGAGATTGGGAGGCAGATACCGCTGTCTGTTGATGAACACAGAAGTGTTGGTCGTGCACGACGTCATGTCGCTCAAGTGTCTTGCAGCGTTCCTGCTGGCTGTCCTACAAGACCTACTTGCTATTGATCTACAAGAGCATGTCCCTCTGTCGCCCGAGTTCAGGCTCTTGCCCGCCATCCGTTGGGTCGTGTACGCTGCAGACTTTGCAGCCGACATCGATATCACAAGACCCACCTTCCCAGCCGAATGTGCTTTGTATCTCGCCAGCCGATGCCTCTTCTCCCCCCACCGATGCGTCCATTCTTCCCCAGGCGGCAACAACATATTCGCATCCAAAGACCTCCTCCTCTTCCCCGCCACCCGAAAGCGGTTCGTCCCTACCGTCAAGCACCTGGTACTCCACAACGTCATCCCTCGGGAGGTGAAGCACTGCTACGTGGTACCGCATATTGAGATGTATCTCTCCAGACTTCAAGACGCGTGGTGGGAAGAGGGTGGGGTGTATGGGCGAACAAAGTGGGACAATCGGGAAGAGGCAGAAGTGGCGTGGCATGAGGTGTCTATCAAAGATTGGTTGGTGAGGTTCTTTTGTGGAGGTGCAGAGGGCTTTGAGCTGTGAGTTGACATGGGAGTGAGACGGGCAACGGCTGATGCTAGTGATAGGGAAGGCCCGATGAAACGTTATCTCCCAGCAGTCGAGCTGATCGATTTCAACAATACCAACGCCGATATCCAAAAGGTCACCCAAAACACCTACGAGTACCTCTACAGTAAAGGTATGGAGGAGAACATGCTAGCTTGGAAGGGCGTGATCAAGGCCAGCAAGCCTGGCTCGAAATGCTGTGAAGGGTGTGGCAAGGCGGCGTGAGCGGAATGTGGAATTGGTTCAGCCACGGGAGGATATAGTATAGTCTGAAGAGGTTCTTATTACTTACAGTTGATCTACAGGGTAGGATTTGTGCTTTCTGGCTTTCAGTCTGACGTATATCGTGGTACCATGTTGTGCACACGTAACCTAATATACATACGTGCTTTTATGAACATTTCGTTCCCTCAACGTATTCAGTGAGTAGCCGATATCTTACACAAGAGCACGCTATACTCTGTGACAGACTTCTCCCGCTCCCCCCTCACGCTCAGTTGTACGTTGACAATGGAGCCCAAGGAGCCGCGATACCCACTCAGCAGTCTCAGTCTCCTGTCCAGCTCTGCCTCTCTTCTGCCACGAGCTGCTCCACCCTCTTCTTCACCTCCTCATCAGCCACACTGAACGTCAACTCCACTCTTTCGCCCTTCTCCTCTCCCTTCTTCGGGTTCGCTCTGAAGATCCTGAGGAACCTCGGGACGGAGAAGGTCGTGTGGAACGATACTTGGTAAGGTTCGAATCCGAATGAGGTACTCCAGTCCATCCTACACTCACATCAGCTGGAACGCTTCTCGACAAAAGAAGAAGGAAGACTCACCTCGAACCAGAGTTGATACTGACCTCATTCTCCCCCGGCAAGTAGATCTGACCCTTCTCCTCCTCCGCTGCTTTCCTCAGATGATATCCCGCAGTAGAGAGCCACTTCAGAGTCTCTTCAGGCGAATTTCGGAGGGAAGAGACGCCTTCGCGGATGGACTTGGCGATGGCGGCAGGGGTGGCGGAAGACGAGAGAGGGATGGGAAGGTGGGTCATGGAGGCGACGTTGGCTGCAAGGGTTGGGAGGTTCTCGGGGAAGGACGGGTGTGAGGGCGACCATGTGCGGTACTGAAACATCGTCAGCGTACCTTCGTTGGCTGATACACCTATGACTTACGCTACAAACATAGATCACACTCTTCACATCATCCACCCCCACTTTCGCCATCAACGCAATCCACCAAGCCGAAAGAGCATCAGCCTCCGAAATCTTGATCCCAGCTTCCTCCTGGTACCGATCCGTCAAAGCTCGAAGCTCTGATTGCTGGAGGTCAAAGACGACTTGCACTGACTGGGTGATAGCGGCGGTATAAGCTTGGATCATTGGCAAAAAGTCATGTCCCTCATTCATGGTACTAGGGATGTTCCACGCTGGGTCGTAGCTTGGCAAAGGCCCGATTTGAGGCAAAAACGTGGGCAAGTCATAACCCGAGTACTTCTGAAGGTCGCCAACCGCCTTCTCGCCATACACATAGAATGTGTCGAGCAGATGGAGAAGCTTGCTCTTCGTCTCGCCGTCAGAGAAGACGTGACTCATCTCGACTCCGAGCACCGAGTTGCCACTGGGCATGAGAGTGGTAAGGCGGAGGGCGAAGAGGTGCGCGTCAGAGTTGGGACGGTGAAAGTCTTTGCCGAGAGGAGGCAGGAAAGGGTCAAGCAAGGGCTGGACGACTTGCTTGTTTGGGAAGGCTTGATCGCGCTCGATGGTTTGGGTCTCGAATGGGATCGGGGAAGAGGTGAGTTTGATCTGCGAAAAGCGTCAGTCGAGATACTTGTCAGGGACAAGACACTCACTTGGAACCTGTCCTTCTCTCCCTCCTTCACTTTCTCATACCTACCAGCCAAAGTCGGCCATACTCCCGACAGTATCCCTACAGCTTTCTTGAGCCTTCCTTCATCAAGCGGACCATCGAACGACAAGACAGACTGGACAGACCCCACAGGCCAGAGAGAGGCGTCAGCGATGGGGATGGCGGTGGTGCCCTGGGGCAGGGTGGGGGTGTTGACGGGGGAGCAGGGGATGTATGCAGTCTGGACGGACATGGTTGATCGGGAGACGAATGAGAAGCGGATGGAGATCAAATTACAATACACCCTGTTCTCATCGTTGTCACGGTGGGGTGCATGCAGTGCGGCTCGTCGGTACGGCATCGGCCGGCGCTCGGTGCTCGGCTAGCCGCGCGCCAAAGAGCGATCCCTGTTTGGTTCTGCCAGGGGATGAAATCTCAATGCCGCTAGCAAAAGTGTCATGTAAGCCTGATTCATGTATAATCACAGGGAAGTTGCCGTGTATACATGTCTATAAATTCCATGTCGGGCGCTGTACGCCGAAAGTCGGTGAATAGTGATTTCCAAGCTATAATCTCGCCCGTGGCATGCCAGCCGCTTTCATCTTCCACCCGGCCTTATCCCTCTCAACAAGCCTCTCAACCTTCTCCACATCCTCCTTGTTCACATCAAAGTAGAGCTCGAGTCTCTCTCCTCTCGCCTCGCCTTGCTTCGCCGGGTTGGCCAGGAAGACACGAAGAACCCTCGGAGCGGTGAATGACGTATGGTAGCTGACTTCGTGTTCTCCGAATCCAAAAAGAGGCCAGTATGAGCTACATCCCACGTCAGTAAAAGTGCATGATACGATGTTTGGCGATTTGATCATACCGGATACTCGAGTTTATCTTGACCTGTCCTTCCGGCATCAAAGCAGGCGTCTTCCCCTCGACTGCAGCTTGGCGGAAGTGATAAGCACCATCACTGATCCATTCCAGCACTTTATCTGGCGATGACCGAAGCTGGACGACGTGCTCTCGGATAGCCGTTGCAACTCGCGCAGGTGAAGTCTGAGACGAAATATCGATGGGGCGGGTGAGAGAGGCGGTACCACTGAGGGTGGGTAATGAGGGTGGGAATGAAGGGTGGCCTATACACCATCTCCGATACTAGGTGACGTTCAGTCAAGCACCCGGATAGAGATTCGCACTCACATTGAGGACATAGATGACTATTGGCACGTCGACACCCACCCGTCTCAGCAGATCGATCCACCAAGTTGAGATAACATCCTGGTCAGAAAGGTAAAATCCGACATCTTGTCGGTACTGAGCTTTCAGGATCTTCACTTCCCACATGCTCAGCTGGACAAAGACCATCGACAAGTCTTTCTTCGCATCCAAGTAGGCTTGTAAAGCCGCAGCGCTCGGCTGACTTGGAACGATTTCGCCCTGATTTTGGGAAGGCACATACACGGGGAGAGGACCGACGTCGGGGAAGAAGGTTGGTAGGGCGTACGCGGCGTTGGGCGGGATACTCTCCAGCGCGTCTTGTCCCCGTAGATACAAAGCTTCCAAAAGCAAGAGCACTCTCACGCCCGACTCGCTATCTTGAGCCAGGTGAGACATCTGGAACCCCAAGACCGACTTGCCGCTGGGAAGGAGTGTAGTGAGACTGACGGAGAAGAGATGCGATTCAGAGTTGAGAGTACGAAAGTTGACTGGCAGGGTTGGGATGTAGGGGTTGTCTTCGGCAGGTTGGATGAAGCGTTTATCGGGAAAAGCGTGGTCGCGCTCGATACTTTGGGTCTCGAAGGGAATGGGGGATGCGCAGAGTCTAATCTACATTGTACTCAAGGTTCGATACAGCCTCTACACTCGCACAGGAACGGCTTACCGAGAAAGCAACCTCACCATTCCCCCCAACCTCCCGTTGATACCTTCCCGCCAGAGTAGGCCAAACACTCGTAAGCAGCCCAATAGCTCTCACCAACCTCGCCTCATCAAGTGCTCCTTCAAAAGCGTAGAACCATAGTATCGGGTGGCCTGAAACAAGGCCCAATGGTGCGATGGGGATTTCTGTAGTGCCAGTGGGGAGATGGGGCGTGTTGATGGGGGCGCAAGGGATGAGGATGGTCTTGACGCCCGACATCGCAGTCTGTTCGCGCCGGGCACTTGAACTCGGGGCGGCGAGAGTGGACGGGGGGATGTGAAGCGATGCAAAATGAGAAGTGAAGCACGTTAGTGAGTTACACTTCATATGTGCCTTTGTGCCCATCTCGGGGGTTAGGGGTGTCACCCTCGGCTAGATAGGCGCCGCTTTCATAGCAGGCACCGTTCAAACGATGTTGAATGAAGAAGAGGTGCTCGTTGCTGAGGTATCACACTCTGAATCACCATCAGTAGAAGCTGAAACGGGCTGTATGAGACCTCGACATTTGACTTGCAGCCTCGCGGGCCTCGCTGGCTTCGCGAGCATTGCCCCATTGCGTTAAGTTGGGGGCAAAGCGACGCGCTAAGTATGGTAGCAGCAGGATACTGGATTGACGACTGAACAGCAGGTGCACAGAATTTGACAACGCGCGCCCAGGGGCTGAGGACGCTGGCTGCGGGTGCGGTGGGAACTCGGAGTCAGCCATCTTATGCCCCACCATGAAGCATATATCCCTGTAGCCCCCAACTTCGTTCGCCTTCGCTGAATGCACGAGAGTGACCGACTCTATAACGAACGGTGATCGGCCAGATATACAAATGGAAACGTCACGAAATGTTAGAGAACGGGATCAATTTCCGCGCTCATCTCCTCTTCCACTTTGACGCATCTCAAACCGCTCACTTTCCCTCACACTCCCAAAACACCCCAATCCACAATGTCCCAAGCCCATCGCCCCACATGGAACCCCACCCAAGGCCGCGAGACCAAATCCGGCTCCCAGCAAATCTCCAAGCTCTCCCTCGCCGCGCACACCAAACTCAAATTCCGCCAGCCGGGGCAGACCAACCAGGGGGACGTTGTCAGGCGCGATTTGAAGGCGGAGCTAGCAGAGGCTGAGAGGAAGGCGGCGGATAAGAAGAGGAAGGCGCAGGGGCTGCCGCCGTTGGCGCCTGGGCCGGAGGGACAGTTGAGGATAGAAGGGAATGGGGAGGAGGATGAGGCGGCGGTGAAGAGGAGGAAGGTTTTGGAACAGGCGGCGGAGCTGGATAAGGATGACGAGTCGGGTAGTGAAGATGAGGAGGAGGCGCCTAAGGACAAGGGGAAGGGCAAGGCGGTGGGCGATGAAGATGAGGACAGTGATGACTCGTGAGTCTGAGGCCATCAATCGATGCTTGAGATTGACAGTTATCACAGCGATGACGACTCGGACGATGAAGACGATACAGCAGCGCTCATGGCCGAGCTCGCCAAAATCAAGCAAGAGAGAGCTGAAGAGAAGGCCCGTCTTGTACGTCTTCAACCACATCCATTCTTTCGTTAGGCTAACCCTCTACTTTAGGACGAAGAAGCAGCCGCCAAGAACGCCGTCTCTCGCGAAGCCGAAATCGCCACCGGAAACCCCCTCATGAACCTCCAAGCCGCCCTCGGCACCGCCCCCGACACCCCCGGGTCCACCACCGCTTCTTCCGTATCAGGAGGCTTTGCAGTCAAGAAGAGATGGGATGACGATGTGATTTTCAAAAACCAGGCTGTTGGGATTGATGATAGGCCAAAGAAAGGAGAGTTTGTGAACGACTTGCTGAGAAGCGAGTTCCACAAAAAATTTATGAACAGGTGAGTCCGACACACGGATGTGGTGAACGCGCTGACCTCGAAAAGGTTTATCAAATAGATCCGTCGAGGTGTATTGTATATTGTCATGCATAGTCTCCATCCCAACCGATTATCAAAGAGGAAGGCGAGCGGTACACGGGTCTGCATATCAAGGAGATCGGAAATCAAAACGAAGTAGCGATGCCAAAAATCTAAACAACTGGTAAGAAAAGAGAGTGCGTTCAAAAGCATGTATGCGAGTCGGTAATGTATACGAAGGTATCTAATATCTTACAATAGAGTAGAGAAGCCAAGCCGATAATATATAACAAACTATGGTAAATGACGGAAAATCTACAGTGTTTCTACGCCTACTTTTTCATTCCCATTGCCCCCTTCAAACTCTTCACCCAGCCTTTCTTCTTATCCCCGGCAGGAGCACCAGAAGAAGTACCAGTCTTCACCCCCATAACACTAGCCGCGGCCGGAGTGTTGGGTCGGGCAGGGATCCTCTTCTCGCCACGGAGTGTCAAGCGTGATGAGCGCTTCTCGACTTTTTGAGTGGGGTATGTGGCGTCCGAGTAGGTCACATGGTGTCGCGAAGAGTCGCCGAGCAACGTCCTAGCACGCTCACGGAGCGATGCCATAGAAGACGAAGGCTTGACTTCCCTTCTGGGCAGAGTACCTGTCCAGCCATCGCCTTGCTTCGAGACGTTAGAGTCGCTCGAGAGCATGGTCTCATACTTCATCCGCCTGTCAGAGACATACTCTGTACCAAGGTCATCGTCGTCCGCATCAGGGTCGTACTGAGGCCCAGCACGGAAGCTGGCAGGAGAGGGAATGACGGGCATGGTGTTGAAATTGCGCAGGTTGGACTCGGACTTGCGGTGAGGCACCTTGGACGGTTGGCGGATGGTAGCAGCGCCGCGGAGAGCAGGGGTCGAAGGAACACCTCGGAGAGCGTGCGCTGGAGGCTTGAGGGGCACAAAGTGACCAGGTTCGGGCGTACCAGACCTCGAGCCGGGAGCCTTTTCCTTCTCGCCACCAAACAGCTTGAGAACGTGGTTGACAGAAGGTCTCTCCTTCTTCTTCCTGCCCTGCTCCTCCATCCATGCATTCGCAGCCTTTACTTTTTCTTCAGCCTCGGTGTACGTCATCCACTGAGGAGGAGTAGAAGGCTCAACCTGGACAGAGCTCGTGCGCAAGTGCGCGGGGATGGCGTTGGGCTTGTCGGGAGTGACACCAGAACGGTGTTCTTGCTCGCCAGTAATCTCGCTAGAAAGACTGAGCACAGGAAGGCCGGGTTCGCGACCCTCAGCAACAGCCCTGCGAGCATCTTCGATGATGGCCTCGACATTCTTGATCCAAGACGACATCTTGTCGAGTCTGCTGTCCATGGTAAGAGCCTCAATGGACTTGGTACGAGACAAGATGGGCATAGACCTGACGGTCTCCCGGGACGAGCGGTGGCTCAGCGCAGGCTTGACCTCGGCACTGTGGCGCTCTGTGGGCGTAAGTTCACGAGAGGAAGAAGGCTCTGCAGATGGCCTGGGAGAAGGCGAAGTCGATCTGAGAGTCTCCACCGCATCGGTCAAACCGCCAGACGCTTGCCTGAACCTGACGAGCTTTTCTTGATCAGAGACAATGATCTTGTCTCGCAGCTCTGAGAGCGGTGACTCGTCGTCAGAAGCGGGGAAGATTTTGCCAGTGGTAGCGTCGAGTTCGGCATGAGGACGGATGTTTTGTCTTCTCGACTTTTGAGGGGAAGGCGTCGGCATGCGAGATGCGTTGGAGATCTGTGCCCGAGCTGATATATATCGTTAGCGCGCACTCGAGACAGGTAGACAAAACGTACGAGGCGACATGGGAGGTTCCTTTTGTGCAACCTTCTTTTCCTTCTCTTGGTGATGGATATGCACATCTACCTCAATACCACCTTCCTTGACCTTGACATCGACGTCCTCCTTCTTGACGCCCGGAAGCAAAGCGCGGTCGATACCAAGACTCCTTCGCTCATCAATCTTCTTCTCCTTCTCCACAGCAGAGTCCAGACTCTTGGGCCGAGGAGGACTAGGAGCAGGTCGCTTGATGGAAGCAAGAGCTTCCTGCGCCTTCTCCTTCTGCTGCGAGGTAAAGAGCTTGCGAGTACCTTCCAAAGAGCGCATAGTACGAAGCACAGCATCTTCCTTGTTACCAGAGACGAAAGACTGGCCAGACGCGCGCTTGTCTTTCAAAGTCTGAGAAGACGTAGCTCGAGAAAGCTCCTTGGCGCCAGAGGCTGCCGAGTTAGGACGAGAGAGGTTGGTGAGCTGAGAGTTGGAAGTGCGGGGTACAACCTTCTTGTCGGTAAAGACGGTATGTTCCTTGACCTTGAGAGCCTGAGCAGGCTTGGACATCTTTGTGGCTGCTGAATTGTTAGCATGGTCCGTCCTTGGAAAAGTAAGAGCTCACGAGTGGGGTCCTCCTCGACATTCTTGTCATCCTTATATTCTTCATCACGTAATTTCTTGATGACAAGCTTGCTCTGCTTCTTCTCGACCTCGACATGCACTCGCTCATTCTCCTTGCCGCCACTGACTTCTCGCCTGGGCTTGCTGATACTGGTGTGCTGCTTGATAGACTCGCCGAGCGCGGGCGTAACAGAGCGAGAGTGCGCCTCCTTGGAAGCCTGAGTAGGCTTGACCTTCTTCTTCGACTTGCGCTTCTCCTTCTTCTCATCGTCCCTTTTGACCTTGGCGACAACCTCGGCGGGAGGAGCAGGAAGAGGCTCTTCCTCAAAGTTGGCAGCTTGGCGGACAAAGTGAGGAGTAACGATGACACTGGGGGCAGAAGGCTGGAGAGCCTCGTCGTGGTACGCGTCCATAGCGGTGATACGGTAGGCCGGGTCGGGATTGATCATCTTGTGAAGGAGGACCTCGATATCGGGAGGCATGTCCCATTCACCGACCCATCGGCCGACTTTGGTACGCTCATAGTAGACGACAAGCTCTTCAGGCGTCGAGAACTGCTCTTGGTCGTCGGCTTCAAAGGGCGTTCTGCCGATCAAGATTTCAAACATGGTGATCTGTGTGTACGTCAGCTGCGCCCTTGACATTACCACCAAACATACACCAAGTGACCAAACATCCGAAGCACGCTCGTCATGGGGCATACCCCTCGCCCTCTGGGGGTCGAGATACTCGGGCGTACCCCAGCTGATGCTACTGAGGAAACTGCCTCGCGCGGCGATATCCCACTTTTGCGCAAAGCCAAAGTCGACGAGGACGGGAATGTCGTTGTGACTGAGCAAGACGTTGGCGGGCTTGATGTCGTTGTGCGTGATCCCTCGCTCGTGGAGGTAGCCAACGGCAGAGGCAAGCTGGCGAAAGTAGGGAGTGGCGCGGTAAGGCGGGAGACAGACGGGGATAAGATGCGAAAGGTGAGGCATGATCACGCTACAAGGCATAAGCTATGGTCGATTCGCAAGCAGGGTCAACTTACAGAGCATAGGAGGGAGTGATGACGAAAGCCTCAAACTGGATAACGCTCGGATGGGGCTCGTGTCGAAGCGAACGAATAATCTTCATCTCGCCCCACAAAGCACGGACTCGAGCGGCGGTAGTCTGATCAAGAGTCAGTCACATCCTGATACACGTCGGGCACCACCACTCACCGCAGTCTTGCTCCTGTGAACGAGCTTGATAGCAACCTTCCCTCCAGCTCCACTTCCTCCACTAGCAGCAGCTTGCTTGCCAAGCCTCACCACCGCCCCTTGCTCGAGCTGACTACTTCTCGCATGCTTGGGCTTACACAGCCAGACACTACCCCAGTTGCCAAACCCGATTTCACTGATGAAAGTAAAACGGTCAGACAGTTGTTGGTCGGTGAGAGAAAAGATGTCGTCGGCACCCGAGGTGACGCTGGCGATATTGGGGTGGAGGGTATCGTCCCCGCCTGGCGGTGGGTACTGTGAAGGCGCTTGGTACGGCTGGAGGTCTTGCGCAGGAGTCTGATACGTCTGCTCAACAACAGACTCCTCCGATACCAACGTCGAATTCGACGCGCCCGCCTCCTCCGTGAACCCCCCAATACTAGCACTCATCGCACTGTTGTACGAGATGGTGTCAAACTCGGGACGTTTCAGAGGCGGGCTGGGAGAGCTGGTATCGTAGGTAAAGGCGGAGCGCGAGTCTGTGCGCGAGGCAGAAGAGGCGGTGGTGGATGTAGAAGACGCGAGGTTGGTAGAGCCGGCTGACGCGATAGGGGAGAGGTGTGTGGCACGGGTAGAGGTGAGACCTAGTCTCTGGCGGAGGTTGGATTTGGATTTACGGAGTGCAGGCTGGGCCATTGTGGAATGTATGAGAGACTAGCTCTGATATGGATGTGCGAGGAGCAATGAGCGACGTTGGGTAGGCGGGTGATTGGCTGTTGATGGTACTGGAGTTGTTTATCGACTTTGTTGTGGTGACAAGAGACGCGGGGCAGCAAGACGAGGGTGCGGAGTGGAAAGTCAGACAGGCGACTGGGGGGGCATGCGGGATCGTAGGGGGTCGTGGGGGGTCGTAAAGAGCGTCAAAAGGCAGGCGGGGGATGGCAAGAAGAAAGGCGAAAGAGAAATGGAGATGCGAAATGGGGCGAGTGTTGTTTGGAGGGAGCGTGACACAGCGATGGGCGAACTGGACACACTCCTTTCAGGGGGGCACACAAATCAGTCGCGTCCCTGCCTTTTCGGGGCTGCTGTGTCCAGGCGGTGCAGGGGCTGGGGGGATGCATTCCTATGCATGTATCAGCGGGGTACGGGTGCGTATGCATGCGAAAAGAGAGCGCGAAAAGAGACAGAAAGTGCATCCACAGTGTCACGCTCAGGAGACATGGGCGCACTGGCCACCGCGTACCATCAGCATAAACAACAGCCAACGCCCACCACGAGGCAGGTGGCCGGTGTGTCCCGCATCCAACGATCGCTTCCTGCGGCACCCTGCAGATCACGACAACCACCGGCCAAGCGACACCTGCCCTGGTACCAGCCCAGCAAGGGGTCACTCGTGGCGCCGTCCAAGCGGGGGACTAAACAGCCGAGCTTGTCTCTACCACAGCGCAGAGTCCCGCCAAACGGTACATGGCGCACTGCAATGCCAATCCCCGATTCATCCGATAAACCCCCACTCCTTCACCCCACCGAAAGGCCGAAGGGCCCGTTTGAAACGACAACACCGAGGAAAGAGGGGCAAGGACAAACGCCAAACGCGTCTCGAGTCATTTATCGCTGTCCTACTCACATGTCCGCTTACACGTCCTCCCCTGTCCTTCTTTGTCCGTTTCTCGTTCACCCATACTTGCTCGACTCCAGGCCCAGAGGCAAGAGGCCAAAGGCTGCGTGTATTTCTGGATTCGGGCCCGTTGTGGTATGCTTGTTTCATGTATCACAAACACAGAAAAACACACCACTCATTCTACCCCAAACACCACCACCAACGTGTGCCAACGTACCAAATCGCCATCCATCCTTCTGGCCTTTATTCATCTCGTCTCCTCTGCCGGTTCCTCATGCACCGCCCCATACCCATACCCCTTCCCCTCCCCTCCGCCCGACATATTCGAAAGCCCGTTTTGCGACAGATATTGCCCGGCTTTGGGTGTGGCCGAGCCAGAGTCAGAGGAAGAGGAGGGTGAGGAGAAGCGGGTGATCGGGTGGGCTTGTGGTGTTCGGGCAGTATGTTGTGACCTGCCTCTTCATCAGTAACCCACCAATGACAACGAAAGAGGAAAGGAAGGACAAGACCCACGGATTAGCAGAAGAATAATCACAATGCACATACGCCCTTATAACCCCATCCAGACTCTCCAAAACACACTGTACCGTCTCCCCCACATCATGCGCATACCGCAACGTACTACTTCGGGGCAAGATGACGTCGACTTCGACGATGAGGTCGTCCCCGATGTGGTAGCATTCGACGTCGGCGATTTCGAGGACGGGGTTGAAGCGGGAGACGAGGTAGAGGACGCGGGTGATTTGGTCGGAGGGGGCGGCTTTGCCAGATACTACGAGGGGTGTTGGTGGAGTACATGGGAGGAGAGAAAGAGGGGGCGTACGATTGGCAAAGTTTTCGTGCAAAGTTTTGATCCATTCTACGATGATGTACGTCGACAACACCATACCTCCAATCGGATCCAACAACCTCCATTTCAGTACACTTCCTATCCACTACCACCAAGTCAGCTTTTGCCAGCTCATGTGCTAAAGGGGAACGTACGGGGAAAGCAAGAGACATGATGTTGAAAAAGACGTCGTTCTCTGCATCTTGTGCGAGGGCTTGAACACCGGAGGAAGGTATTTTGGAGCACCATACCCAGAGGATGGATTTGATGCCGATTGTCGCAAGCATCGTTCTGTCAGGCCATGAGCGGTGTACGAGAAGAGCTAGGATCAAGGACATACCCAAGACCAAGAGGACCGAGGTCGATCTCTTCTCTTGACCCTGGGCCGGTGGCCCGCTGGAAAGACTCGATGAAGACTTGCACGAACGAAGCGATCATTGCGACTGAAAAGATCAACTGAGACCATCTTATCAGCTCCGTCATACGAAACAGGTAGAAACAACTCACTACACCCAGAGGCTCAAAGCGCCTCTTCCCCGCTGGGTACTTGTGACTATCTCCCGAAGCACCCATGGCCAAGCTGGTACCCAGAATGATGACCGTGCTCAGCAAGTCGAGCGCAGAGTCGACGAGGGAGGCGGTGAGGGAGATGGAGGCAGAGTAGAGCACGGCGACGGCTTTGAATGCCACAAGAAGGACATTGACTATCGTATTGACTAGAAGATATGTCAGAAAGTTATGAAATGAAGACAAGTTGCTCACTATGCAAAGCCAGCTTGGCTATCCGTTCCCGCCGTTCGATCTTTTTCTGCATCTCATCCCTCTCCAACAACCCCGTCCTTTCTCCAGCCTCTCCTCCCTGCTCATCGCTCTCACGATGCCCATTCGCCCTCCAATAACTATCCCTCCTCAACAGCCCCGGGCTAGCGACTTCTTCTTCCAAATCACCCAGTCTCTGGATATACGTCCGAGAGGTAGGTGCGAATGAAAGCGCAATGTTGCGCGTTATAGCTCCAGATAAGATGGCGTCTACTTCGGTATAATGGGCGTGGAGAAGCGCGAGCTTTTCATAGTACGGCCGCAGCTTCCTAGGCAGTTTCTTGATATCCCCCTCTTCTATAGGTATCTCCTCAAACAAAAGACTCCCCTGAAAGTCACTGATGATACCGCCCCGGTGCGCCTCTTCAAAGGTCATGCCCCGCGGCTTCCCGTGCCGCGCCGTTTGTAATAGCGGTGATGTTGGGCTTGGGGAGGGTGGGTTGGGCGTGGTGGGGTTGTGGAAGTGGGCAGAGAGGGAGGTGGAGGAGGGCGGGAATGAGGAGGAGAAGCCCTGTGAGCCCGGGGAGGGGACGGAAGGGATGAGAGATGGGCGGTTGTTGGCCATTGTCGATATCTCCTATTCAGCTGAGGGTAAAAGCAGTAAGCTCTGGATATCTCTCCTCTGTGGTGTCTAATGGGACTAGCTTTGCTCCATCTCCCTTGTCGATAAGGCTCTGGTTATTTTGGGCGGAACCAAAATCTCGTCATCCAGACGGTGCCTAGGTGATAGAGTTTCGGCAGTCACCGCCGTCGAGAAATTCACCGTGTCGGCCAAGGTGTCGGCCGTCTTTTCTGTCGGCGCCTGTAAAGACGCTGCAGACGCTCTGCAGAGACGCTGTAACTATGGGCGCTGGCAGAGATGCAAATATGTCAATACTGCAACACTGCAGGATCCAGAGATGACCATCACCACCAGCTACATCCCCTGCTCTCCCATCACCACCCCAACGCTCTCTCCCGACACCACCGCCATCCCCATCGCAGATGTCTCGCTCTGGGCGGTTGGAGCAGTCCAGTCTGTGCTCTGCTTTGAGGGCGCTTTGGATGGAGAGAGGTTGAGGAAGGCTGTGGGGCTGTTGTCGGGTGTGTGGCCGACTTTGGCTGGACGGTATGAGAGGGTCAAAAAGGGCGACGACTATGAGTTTTCTGTAAGTCTTTACCATTACTTGTGCCGTGTACTGATGAAGATTAGTTGAGACTCACGTCTTCTCCGATTCCCTTCGAGACCCAAACCATCGAATCAGACCAGGCTTTCCCCGACAAACACGTCGTGCAGCCCACTCTCAGCCCCTTCCTCCCGCCCCTCGGCAAAAATTACCATCTCCCCAATACCGACGCCCACCTCTTCTCTGTCCGCGTCACCACCCTCCTTCCCAGCGGGAAATCTGTCCTAGGCATAGAGACGAGCCATGTCTTTATCGACGGTGAAACCAAAAGAAAGCTGCTAAAGATGCTGGATGCCTTTTACGTCCATGGAGAGGCTGCGAGGGAGAATATGGTGGAGTTGGCGGGGTATGATCTGCCGACGTTCTTCCCTCATGTGGGGCCCTTGCCGGCTTACGACCCTTCTTGGAACCTCGGCGTGGGGCGCACGAACAAGGGTCACGACTTGTCGGAATGCGTTAAGCAGTATACGGCGGCCATCACACAGTCGGTGCAGACTGTCGTTGAGCTTCACCGATCAGAAATCAAGCTGTTGAGAGACCAGTATCAGCAAGAAGCTGGCCTGAAGCTTTCAGAGCAGGATGCCTTGTCGGCTTGGTGGATCTACTTGATAAAGAAGGTGGGAGTGGAGGATGTGAACACTGTGATCTACATTTGCAATGTAAGCTTCCCCTTTCCATACCGGGTCTTGCAGATGACCAGCCATAGTACCGCTCCTTCTCACCCGGGCATCCATCATTTCCACCCAACCTCTCCACCCTAGCATCCAACGTCGCCCAAATGCGACACATCCCCATCCCTCCCACATCCTCCCCTTCCTCCTCACCTGCGCTTGTGGCAAAAGCCATCCGGGAAGGTGTCGTCAAGCTCCGGGATTCCAGCGATGAAACTCTCCGATGGATCGCTACAGCGGCGTACGAGCTGAGAAAAGCGGCGATAGAGGAGAAGGGCCAGATCGTCCTGCCCCGCCCGGGAGAAGTCAGCGTCAACTCCAACATGCGGTCAGTTCTCTTTCTCTCCTTCTTTGTTGTGTGTGTGTGGGCTGATGGGAAGAGTAGAATGGATTGGAATGTGTCGTACGGATTTCCGGCGCATGAAGTCGCTTTCCATACCGTCTTTTCCATCCCGCGCTTCCTCCGAGTGTTCCGAGCTAACCCGAGGGAAGGGGAGGAGAAGGGCGAGAGGCTGGAGTTGATCTTCAATGTGGCGGATGAGGGTGTGAAGAGGAAGGTGCAAGAGGCTGTTGATCAAGAAAGGAGAGCTTGGAACCAAAGTAACGTTCGATGAGAGTCATGCTTATGCACAGCAGCGTTTACTGTCATCCGTCTGCACTTAGATGCCTGCCGTTCCATCTTATCATCTATACCAAGCTTATCGCTACAGGCTAAGTACACACTGCACACGCATCATTACGCAGACACCCCTAAAACATTCGCCCACTCTTACAATGGGATAGTGCAATCTACGGGTTTGGTTTCACGCTCTTCTCGGATCGCCGACGCACGCTAAATTTCCTTTGCGGCTCCTTCACCAACGCTCTTGTGTCGATCGGCCAAGGTCGGCCATACGCCTGCAAGTAGATGTACAGCTTTGAATGGTCTCGTCCCGTCCAAGGGACCATCAAAACCCAGAACGGATGAGATAGCAGCGAATGCCTTCACCCGACTGGGATCTCGGTTGTGTCGGGTGGGACATGAGGTGCGTTGAGGGGCGAGCAGGGGATGAGGGTGGTCTCGATGTTTGACGCTGTCTCTGATGCTCTGAGGGTCACGATGATGGAGGTGCTGGATAAAATGTGAATTGATGTTTGGGCTGGACACATCAACTCCTACATTTACTAGGGGCTGTACGATGTTGATTACTTTTATCTTTCCTCTAAATTCCAGCACCTCTCCGTTCATCGGTCGCTCGTTGCATCGCTTGGGGCATAAGAATCTCAGAGAGGAGAAAGATCAAGTCCTCTATTGCGGATGCAGAACAAGTCATTGCATTGAACACCATCTCTGATCTATACCACTAACACGACGAGATCATGCAGGTTGAGCAGCCGCCCACTTTGCCCTATCACATTCGACGATCTCTCTCGCCTTCTCGGCTTGCTCGTTCGGCACGTTGAAGTATACCTCAACCTTGTCGCCCTTCTCGTCCCCTTCTTGGAAATTGGCTCGAAAAACTCGGAGAAAACGAGAAAGAGTAGGCTCGATATGATACGAAACCTGATGCTCTTTAAAGCCAAAGGAAAAGAACCAGTCGATACTGCGATCATTGTCAGCATTCGGGCCGGAATCATCAAGACAAAGGTACTCACCGGATGTTGGAGTTGACAATGGAAAACTTCGTAGTCTGATTCTCCTCATCTCCCGGAAATACCATATCACGATCCTGGATTGCCAACTCATACAAGTGGCGAGAAGTGCGCGAGATCCAGTGGAGAGCTTCGTCGTTCTCAGAAGAGCGGAGTTTGGTGATGTGCTCGCGGATCGCTTGGGCGACACGACCCGGGGTTTTGACGGCGGAGATATCGATAGGAGTTACTGACAAGACGACGGCGGCCAATGAGGGAAGGTTGGGAGGGAAGGTTGGGAGGAAAGGTTGGGAGGGAAGGTTGGGAGGGAAGGTTGGGAGGGAAGGTTGGGAGGGAAGGAGGGATGGCCGATGCACCATTTGCGGAACTGTTGGCTTGTATCAGTATGTCGAACCAAGCTGGTCTTTTCAAATCAAGACTCACTTCAAGGAGATAAACAAGGGTCTCTACGTTCACGCCCACATTGTTGAGCAGGGACACCCACCAAGCAGAAAGAGCATCCTGGGTCGAGAGCTTTACTGCAAAGTCAAGTTGATACTGGTCTCTGAGAGCTTGCAGCTCGGACTTGGTGAACCGCAACGCAACCCTGGACGAGGTCGTGGCGTCTGCGACGTAGCTCTGGATCGATTTCCGGAAGGGCTTGCTCGGGAAACCAAAGACCTCGTCGTCGGTCAAATTATGGTCACTCGCTGGCAAAGGCTCCACACCGCTGACGGGGAAGAACGTCGGCATCATGACCTTTGGATCGGAACTGTCAAGAGCAGCTTCGCCGAGGGTGTACAAGGCGTCGAAGAGCTTGAGTAGATTCCTGCCCACGGTCGCGTCCGTTGCCAGATGGCAAAGCTGTATACCGAGGACGGACTTGTTAGCAGGCACGAGGGTGGTGAGGCGGACGGCGAAGAGATAATTATCGGTGTTGGGATAGCGGATGTTCGAACCCATGGGTGGTAGGTAGGGATCAAGTGTGGGTTGAAGGACATAGTCGTCGGGAAAAGCACGGTCACGCTCTAATGTTTGGGTCTCGAATGGGATAGGGGAGTTTGTCAGCTCGATCTATCCTAAAGTCAGCCTTCCAGAAACGCCTAGCTCGGATGCCCGACTCACGCTGAACTTGGTCTTGTCACCTTCACCAACGCTCTTATAACGACCGGCCAACGTGGGCCATACGCCAGTGAGCAGCTCTATAGCTCTGACTAGCCTCGTATCGTCGATGAGACCGTCGAACACCAGCACGGCTGGGACTGTGAGGTATGCCATCAACCCGAGATCGCTGACCGGGATTCGCTGTTCGGCCTTGTTCATTATATCTTCGGCGTGGCGATGGTGGGGCCAATTGTGTGCCTCAGGGTGTGCTGCGGGCTATCAACAAGATGTCGTTTCAGCTTTGTGTAGGTGTGTACTACATATCAACATTCTTTTCTATTGGGGTAACCCAACAAACTCACCCGCTGGATCTTCGCTTGGGCTGTTGGGCAGCATTACTTCGCTTCTTGGCTCGGCCGCCTGACTGGTAGAACTGCTTATGTCGAGGACCCCCAGGAGGTAAAGCTGCTCATCTACCTGCATCGCGCTTTCGAGCCTGTGCTGTCTGTTATTGTGAGGCGTGAGTTTATATGTAGTGAAAAGCGGAAAGCTGATAATTCCGAGTTCAGCGAGACAAGGACCGCAACGAAGGCGGCGTAACCCGCGCTCGCTTCATCATCCGATGACTCTGGCCACTATTTACTCAGATTATTCTTCTCAGCGCCATCCTCTGTCTCCCAATTTTATCACCTCTTCGCAAAGCTGCAAAAGATGCCTGTTTCAACGGGATCTTCCGCCATTGAGGTTCATATACCTTTGCGCCCCAGCTATGGAAAGTATTAGAAGACCTGTGCTGTCCCCTGTGCTTCGTTAGCAAGCACGTCCCTTGTAGTATATACTGGAGGTATCTAATACCATTACAAGGACTCTCTTACTCCTATATACTAGAATGTTCTAGAACTACCAAATGACACGCGCGAGGTCACCTAAGGTGACGGAAATATTCTCGAGGAAATCGTTGATGATACTATTTTCCATAGCTGGTGGAGTTGAACCATTACATATGTTCATAGATTTGCATAATACATTTCTATCTACAACAACTCTTCGACCCAACTCCATATCCACTCTTCCATCATCAACACGACCTCCCCCCACGTCTCGTAATCCTACAAAAAAGTCTATAAAACAACCCCCTCCCATCTTCTCACTCAGCATCTTTCCATAGACACGACTGCCTCTTACTCTTCCGGATGGATAGGCGTCAACTTTTTCAACCCCGCCCCTTCTTCCTGCTCTTCTGCTTGCTGCTGAAGCGTAGCCACAAGCGTCGAGGGGAGGGGCGGTGCTTTGCCCTTCCCCGTCCTCGTCCCCGCACTACTTCCACTTCCACTTCCTGTATTCACACCAGTCCCACCCCCAGAGGCCGAAGAGGCAGAAGCAGACTCATAAACAGAAGGTGGCGTGGTGATATCCGGCGAAACCGGCGAAAGAGGAGAGACAGGCGAACCAGGGGAATGATGGACTCTCAAACTCCCAAAAGCCAGACTTTCTGGTCCTTCACTTCGGGGTGCACAAAGCGGAGGTTCGTAGTCCCTCTTCTCCCCTGGATGATACTCCTCCTCCCCATCCTGTTCCAAGGACAAACCCTTTGGGTGAGAAGAAGGTGGAGGAGAAGCCGGGATGACCTCAAGCTCTGAGCCGAGCTCGGGCGATCCCTCGCGAGACCAAGCGGGCTCTGCCACCACCGACCCCATCGACGGGAAGATCCGGGGTACATCTCTCTGCCCTGGCGCGCCTCTGGGTGAAATCGGGAGTGGCAGCGGAGCGGAAGGAGGGGAGGAGGGGGAGGATACGTTGGGGGCGGAGATGGAGCGGGAAGGGGAGGCTGGGAGGGGATAGATTGAGAGGGTGATTGTTTCTTGTTTGGGGCTCGTCTTGGGGGAGATGGAGGGGGAGGTTTGGTTTTGGGGTTGGTGGGAGGTGGGAGGGACGTAAGGCTTGGTGTCGAATGCTGGTAAGATACGAGGTTGGGAAGACAAATGAATGTTGGTGTTGCCTTCAGACTGCGGGTCGACAGGTTTAGGCGCAGACTCTCGGACGCCCCTTGCGAGCTGCCCACTCTCCTCTTCACTATCAGACCCATCGCTCTCAATCTCACCATGCTCGGAAGACGGCTTGGCAGGAGACAAGCGCGGCAGATGACGCACCGGGAAGTCTCCCACCCCCGCCACCAGAGCCGGTTTTGCACCGAGCCCAAGTTCACCAAGCGGTACCGCGCTAAACGGATCACTCCTCTCCCCCATCGGCGTATCCTCCAACCCCTCCAGCCCCACTCCCACAGCCTTGTCCACCACAGTACTTCCCTCTTCGCCTCCGAGGCTGGGCTTCTTTCTGGACTGGGGTCGGTCGGTTAAGGGCGCGCCGTGATTAATGATCTCGGACAGGTTACCGGCGGGGGCGGGGATATCGATTGCCGTAGGCGGGAGAATGTTTTAGGGTATGGAGCTGGAGCGGTGTTCAGAAAAATCCTGATCAGCAGGAGCAGTCGAGGTGGTGCACTCGCTGAGAGGCGAAGGAGGGGCGTGTTCGACATGTTCCGTCGTAAACGGCGTGATCTCTGCCTTTTTTGGTTTCCCAACTAATCCCTTCTATCAGCTTTTTCCTTCTACCAGAGGAGGAGGGATGGGCGTACAAGCTTCCCTGAGAACATCACTCGCTCGTGCTACAATGCCCGGCTTGGACGGCGACGACGCATCGGTAGCGTCTTGTTGCTCTTGTTCCTCTTGGACGGAGGGTACTTTTGGGCTATGAGATGTATGAGCAGTCGCCCCGCCAGTACACGTCAGACTTACTCGGTATGCTCAATCCCCGTCATCGTGTTCTCTGTTACAGAAAAGAAAGGAAAGAGTGGCAAATCTTGCGTCCCCTTTATATACCCTCCCCCCCACGCACAGTGCCCGTGCAGGCCCAGAGTGACACACCAAAGCAAGGCATAGTCATCTGACGAGGCGGGCTGCGGGGCCATCCCATCTCCTCGTGTTTCACCGCATCCTGCATCGTTCGGGCACAAATGCAAGAGAGGCGGAGAAACCAACAACAACGCGTGTAGAATGACGCAAGCTGATCAGAAGCTGATTGTTCCTCGCGCCTACAGATCTCCAGAGTCATATCCGCGAGCCAAACAAACAACGAAAGAAAAAGTCCGATGCTTGTGGCATACCTCAACAGCTCTTCCTATGATATATAGTTCACTCGGAGAGTATTATCAAACATAGGATATTGCTGGAATGTATCGCGAAATGAGAGAGAAACGAATGACACGACCACGCTACTACTCGTACGACCACACAAGCCCAGAGCGCGCTCAACACTTCCAAGAGCTGTCCTTCTTCTGGGGCGATCCGACCTTCTTGTAAGGCGACTCGTCGGTGCCGAGGCATTCACCGACAGTGACGAGGCTGTAGCCCGCAGCCTTGAGCTTGGGCACAGAGTGGGGAAGGACCTTTTGGGAAGCTACACCCAGAGTCAGCTTGGTCTTCTTATACCGGGAGAGGGGAGGAATGGACGTACTGGTCTTGATGGGGGAGTGGTCAAGCACGAGGTGGGGGTTGGGATAGTCTTCTACCAACACCGTCAGCTCCATCTTCCTCGGAGGAATTGGGGAGAGACGTACTAGCAACACCATCCAAAACCTTCTTACTGCTCCCAGACGAAGCGCCATTCGCATCCTCCGTATCATCAGACCACAAAAAGATCTCTACCCGTCATAGTCAGCACACCACACCCTGGTAGAGAAGACAAGGGACGTACTCTTGTATCCACGCTCACCGAGCACCTTCTTGGCCTTGTCATTGAGGTTCCCATAAGGCGGTCGGAAGTAGAGAGGTTTCACACCGAGAATCTTGACGAAAGCAGTCTCTATCTTCTCCAGCTCTGTACCCATTCCATCAGCTTTCCCTTCCACATTCATTCTTGTCAAGAACAGGGGAGAGATAGGAAGGAGGAGGGGAGGGGAGAGATGACGTACCTTCGTTAATCTCTGACTCGCTCAACTTGTTCAAATCGGCGTGCGACCAAGTGTGTGACCCGAGAGTGTGGCCGGCGTCGTAAAGAGCCTTGATATCGTCCGCCCGGTCATAGATACAGTCATAGTTGTCTCCCTGCAATAGTATGCTCAGCTTGATCCTTTGTCATCTGAGCCCAGCCGTGGGAGATTAGAGGAGGGAAGAGCGGAAGAGAGGAAGAGGAAAGAGAGACGTACATTGTAAAAGAAGGTACCTTTCCCACCGTCCAAAGCATTCACAACATCTTGCTCATACTTGTAAGGCCCATCTACACCACCAAAAACCACACACCATCAGCTCTTGCCCTTTCCACTACTCTGACAGCCGAAAGAAGTGAGAGTTTGACGTACCGTCAAAAGTAAGTGCGACGGTGCCTTTCTTGGTACAATTGTCAATGACCTGTTGATGATATCAGCTTTCTGGCCAAACATGCCATGCGTGAGAGGAGGAGAGGAAGGGGGACAAACGTACTTTGGGGGTGGTGGCCCGTTCGACGGGGGAGGCGAGAGTACTGCCGAGAAGGGCGAGGAGGGAGCTGGTGGTGAAGAACATTGTTGACACCGGAATGGGTTCTCAAGGTGGTTGGGAGCGGAAGGGTGGAAGTGGTCGGGTTTGTGGATAGTTGCTCGATGGAGTTGAAGGTGGAAGTGGGTATTATAGAAAAGCGTGAATGGTAAAGAACAAGGATCCGAATTGTCTGAGGTCTTTATACTCTCCAGGGACGACGCTCTCCTGCCTGAGGGTGGGGGCCATGACCAAGGTCCTGATGCAGGCGGCGTGCGAGAAGTTCACCGCATCCTTCACCCTCACCCCCACCGCCGCACCTTCGTCACCGGCGATCTCGAGATCTGTGAATGCGATCTGTAGGCGCAGCATATGACCACCGGCCCCTTCTTAACCACTCCGACTCTGCAGGGTCACGGGGTGCTAGCAAGGCGGTGTTGGGATGAATCATCCTGGAGTGACGCGCGACGAATCTCGAGCGGGAGAATGCGAGATGGAGGGAGAGGAAGCGAATAGCCTTCCAGCGTACGTGCTCTGGTGTGGCCCGGAGATGGAATACTATGGGAACCCTCAGCATCCCTGTCTGCTACTCCATAACACTTTCAGCGAGCACCGGCGGGAGCGCCCTTCGTTCGGATGGCCGGGTGTAAATGCTGACCCCATTTAAGACATATGCCCTTCTTCGTTTCCAGACCTGTTCCATACTAGCTGGCGTCACAGCTCAACCCCCCCGAAGGTGAGCGGCCGGTGGTCGTACTCGACGATCCGACTGCGAGCTTGCTTCTCTGCCTCCTGCGCTTGGTGGACACGGTTTTGATCTTGGTCGTGGTGTCGAGATGGGGACCGGGCTCCAGGCGGAGGGCAGAGGAGCGGAGGGGTCAGTGAAAGGTAAGTGCATCTTTTGTGCGACAGCGAGGGATCTTACGTGCTGACTTGACTGCATAGTGGAGGCTAGAGTGGATTGGTTCGTATGCCAGAGGCTGGAACACCTGTCCTGTACTGTGGGAACTTGGTGGCGGAAAAGGTGTCACAGACGTACGTTTCCATATGCTGTCTTTGCCGATCCAAAATGAAATGTTGAGCTGATACAAGACAGACCAAAGCCAGCACCACCACAGACCCCCGGCTACTAGTTGTCGAACAAGTTGTCGGAGACCATAATATTCCGAGACGGGTATGAAATGAATGCGTGAGTGTGATCAATGCTACTGATTTTCTTTTCGTCGACTGACCTTCTCTATGTAGGAAATACGACAGATTGTGCGTATGGTGGTGGGAACTTTGGGGGCATTTGTATGAGGAGGGGCGGGAGACGAGAGGAAGAGGTTTGAGGTGGATACGCGGGAAGGCGGAAGGTGAGCAGAAAATGACATCAAAGAGACTTATCTGGACGCTGACATCTTTGCCCAGTCTCTTCAATCATTCTCTCCACTGCGTCTATCAATGTGTGCGCACCAATCACTCTTACCCCCGTCACCCCTTCTTTTCTCTCTCCAAGTCAATTGCAACGTCCCATTCTCGGGCCGCTTGATCATCGTACTTGTAAGTGCTTCGTTTCGCGGCTCGAATACTGGCCTGGATCTGACCGTATCGTAGAAGCGCGACCTCACCCTTCCCTTCCAGTGGGCGTTCCGGTTGCCGACCCATGCTCGATGGGAGAAGATCCCGCTCCCTGGGAAGGGCCCTGGCTATGCGCGAATCCTCAACGACACCACCAAGCAATTCAACCTGAGGGCGTTCCTCAAGGGCGAGGGGGACATCTGGACAGTGACCCCCGAGCTACTGTTCAAGGACCCTCAAATTCGAAAGGCGCTTACCAGCGAGGAGTTTCGCCGTCCTCTTATTTGCTGCATAATGGATGAGGCGCACACCATCGTCGACTGGGGGCAAAACTTCAGGAAGACGATCTCGCGTCTCGGGGTTGTGGACAGCATGCTGGGCGGCCACATCCCTTGGGCTGTGGTATCCGCTACCTTGACCAAGCGCCACTTTGAAGCGGCACTGAAGAGTCTACATTCTCTTTTCGGCAGTCATAGAGCTTTGCTCCCTGGCAACATCGCTCCAAGGTCCATCACCACCACTCAAACGCAGCACACGCATGTGCTATTATCTTCACAGAATTGCTTTCAAGATCCTTCTTACCTCACCAACAAAAAGAGGCTTGCGTCTACAGGAGTCATGTCCCAGAAGGATATTCAACTTTCCCAGTTTCAGCAAGGGATACTACCTTCATCTTCATTCGAAGACAAACTAGACCTTGTGATTCCTCGACATCAGAAGAAAGTCAGCTTTGTGTTCTACGTCTGAATTTCAGGCCTGGCCACTTGATCGACATCGGGCCTGACAGGGGGAATCTGGAGTACCACGTGAGTGCAACATGGACCTCGCTTGTTTGCTCATTGTGCTGATTCCTGATTATGCAGATCTGACCCAGGTCACTGTACCTATCTCACCCACGAGTTCCTCATCTACTGCGAGGAGCGCAACATCATCCCCTTCGGTCTCCCAGCCCACTCCACACACTTGCCACAGCCTCTCGACGTTGGAATCTTCCAGCCTCTCAAGAAGCACTACATCAACAAAGTGGACATGTACGCCACAACTTATAGCAAAAATGAAAGATCAATGCCCTTTGGACAGCGATGCCTCAGGGTATGTCGCCAGTTGCACCCTTGGTCTGGCCACTTCTGCTCCTACCATTTCCCACACCTACATCGTCGACTCTGGCGCCACTGAGACAATGGTCAATCACCCCTCTCTTCTCACCAACCTCCACCCTCTCTCTCCCCCTCGCCATGTCAAGATGGGCAACGACGCGAGACTCCCAGTCCGAGAAGTTGGTACCCTGCAACTCAACGGTGTTACCTTCCACAACGTCTGGGTTGTCCTTGGGTTGAACCGAAACCTCCTCTCTTGCCGACGTCAACCTAGCACCACCCGATTTTCCATACAGGTGGACCTCGCAAGCAGGCGCCACCAATGTACCAGCTTCCGGTCGCGTTGTACCGTCTGGGTCACGATGGTAGTGGTGCAAACATGAACAGTGTCAGCCATACTTTTGGAGTTTCTGGTAGGTTGACTGTGTTCCCTGGCAGATGCATAGCACTAGCTCACTCTATTGGTGACAGAGGGCACAGCGACATTGTGGAACGAAGAGGCGGCCAAGCGGTATAACGACCCCGACCTCGAACTAAAGCCCCATCACTATTTCACCCATCACGGGCAGCCTTCGGGTGATGGCCCTCGACATGGAATCTTCCAGGAGGACGACGTACATGTCCAAAGGTTCCTGCATAACCATGCAGGTGTCACGCATGAAACTCTTTCCTCAATCATTTGCCATTGGTTGTACAACCACAGGGGCCCAACAAAACAATCAAAGAAAGGTATCCTGAAGAAGGTAAGTCGTGTCTACCCTAAGCTATCTCTTGTTGAATGACACTTGGATTCATTAGCTTAGCGCGGTCAGAAGAAATCTCGAGTCAGCAAGGGGACTCTTCGGCTCGGGCGCTGGCTATGATCGTGAGGTGCAATTCGTGAAGGATGGCAAGACTTGTACGAAGTATATAAAGGACATCTCCGACGCCAAAGGTGAGTGTCCAGACTGAATAGTTGAGATATTTTTCGCTGACTGCATGCGACCCAGCTACCCCGGAAGATATCTGCCAACACTTCAAGGACTGGGATGTAATCCTCCGAGACGTCAGACCTCTGGATGCGACTCTGCGTCACCAATCTCAAAGAAATCAGAATCCGGCTATTGAGGTGATGGATCAGGAGTTTAGCACACAGGCCAATTATGAGAGTGTTGGGGAGGAGGACAATACAGGCGAGGAGGAGGAAAGGGGGGTCGATTATCTAGGTGATGACAAGTTCTTCATTGCAAACAGAGAAGCGTTGTCGGGTTCAGACTCTGGCGGAGAGGAGTCAATGACTGTACCTATTGCGTTCATTCTTTGAAACCGAGAAGATGAGATAACCACAGTTTCCGTTGACCGCTACGAGTCTCGCCCGCGCAGTTTGCTATTCCACCTGATATATCAGGCGGGTGACCGGCCTGGCGGAACGTAACGTTCGTATAACGGTGTGGTTAGCTTTGTTTTATTGACCAAACCATTTAACCTTTTTCATACCAATCTTCATTAGTATAACGGTTAGTATAACCGCTTCTCACGCGGTAGACCAGGGTTCAACTCCCTGATGGAGAATATCTTTTTGTCTCGCTTTTGAGCTCTTCCGCCTCATTGCGCCACTTCCCCTGCTGTTCATCCATCATTTATTGCTTATCCCGACAGCTACCGCCGATATGCCTGTTTAGAGAAGGTCTGTCAAGCTTGCTGACGCGCAAGCGCATGGAATGTTTCCCGGCCACCAGCAAGCGGCGGCAGCTTCATCGTCCGCTACCGTGACTCATGCCGCATCACAACAAAGTCGCGGCGGCGAATATTTACCTCAGCTCACGAAGTATCGACCCCAACGTTCACCTCAGGGTGGTCGAAGAAGTCTCAAAACATCCTGTACTGCACGAGTTCCACGACAGGGTCTGTTGGCCTATCATTAGCATGGCTAGAGTTGCGGCTGATACTCGCAACAGGAGAAGAATCTAAATTGGTTCCCTAGATTCGGACAGTCTGATATTGTTCGCAGACTGTCTGCAGAATAAGATACCACCAGCCATATCTGGATTGCACTTTAGACATTGAAGCATATAGCATAACGCGGTCGTAATCACATGATAATTTGAATGTCCCACCGAGACTCAACTCTTCATGGCCAGATGCCGGATCTCCCATAATCTTTTCTCCTCCCTCCTCTCCCTCTCACGCAACTCTGAACTCCCAGAAGGCACCCTCAGCCCCCACCCCTTCATCTCCTTCCTATGCCTCTCCTCTGCCTCTTTACATTCACTCCAGAGCTCGCTAGAGATCGCAACGCCCACATGATGAGACGCGCGATCTTCCCACGACGCTGCACTGGTAGCCATGGAAGATTCACTAGCCATCCGATGCGACCACGTCGAGCTCGTCGCCGCCGTCGACCCCGGCCCCATCGAACCCATCGAACTCGAACTCCCTCCAATGGGCACATACTTGCGCCCTGCCCCAGCGCGGATCGTGCCCCTGCCCGTCTCTTCATCCTCGTCATCCGCCATACCCTCAAAGGGATCAGGCTCGTCGTCTTCGGGGTGGACGCTGACCCATTTCATTTGGACGGGGTCGAATTGCATGTCTTTGACGATGCGCGGGGCGGCGGCGGCGACGGATGCGACGGGTGAGGAAAGGCCGCCGACGCCGACGGAGGAGCCGGTGTAGTGGGTGATGAGCGCCGGGCGAGAGGAGGAGATGGTGTCAAAGTCGCGCAGGACGGCTTCGTTGCCTTCCCAGCGGAGAGTATTGGGATTCCAAATCATCTCGCCCACCACTAACGGGCCATCAGCACCTATCACTCGTTGATGATCGGTAATGACTCACCTTTACGCTTGTCCGTCCCACCCAAGTGCTTGATCAACCCTCTTCTCCTAACCTTTTTCGTCGCCAACCCCGTCGTCGTCGTCCCACCTGATTTTTTCCTCCTCTCCTCCTTCTCCGACTTTTCCTTCCCATGCGACGTCGTCCTCGGCTCATGATCTACCTCTCATCAGCTTCTTGCCCCACCCCACCACAGGAAGATTACTCACGTCTCGACGGTTTCCCAAGTCCCAAGCCCACCATACTCCTCTGCGCCTCTCTAGCATCTTCTTCGACCCTCAAATCATCAATACCATCCAACTCTGTCCCATCCCCATAATTTCGAGATTTTTTCGGGACGTCGACCATCCGCGGTATCGGCGTCGAGTACATCCTGCTCCTGATCTCTCTATCCCTATCCCTCTGATCAGACATCGTTGTGCTCGCAGATGATGGGGAGGAGGCGGGGAAGAGGGATGTGACTGGCGGACGAATCTTGGCGCGAGAGCTGGAAGTGGGCATCGTAAGGCGGGACGTGGAGTTGTGATACCTATTCGTCGGCACCGGCGGCGGCGGCAGCGCATCAATATGGTGCGTCCCAAAGTTTCGTTCCGCTATCGCATCTTGCAGACTCGACAACGACTGCTTTCTCGTCAAAGACGGCGACTGAGGCGGCGCACCGATTTGGTAATGCGATTTCTGGTGCCGAAGGCGGGATGACGAAGGGGTCGGAGGTTGGGATGAGGGAACAGGCGGTGGGGGAGGGAGCATGGAATGTAGATGCCCGCTTCTTGAACGCATGGCTTCCTTCTCTCGCCCGGTTACGGCTGGTTCAGCGCCGCGCGGCGTCTCGCGCGCTACAGTCGATACCGAATGACTCCTCAATGACATGCCCAAACTGCTCTGCGTGCGTTCCCGCTGGACGGGCGTATTCCGGCCCCAAGCCGCTTCGCGCTGCTTCTCCCAAGCCTTCTCGCGCTCTTTCACCACAGTCTTCTGAGGTTGGGGTTGTATACCCTTCCGCAAGGTAGAGCTTGGAGCAGGCAACTTGTCCCTCGCACGTTTCTGCGCTCGCAGCCGATGGCGCGAAAGCTCAACGCCAGGCTCATCCAGCATAAGCCCATCTTCGAAGGAATCGTCGCCTCCCCGCCTCGCGCCTGGAGGCGTCTGTGGCTGGTGCGCGAATTGCGGCCGACGTTTGCGGTCGAGGATCGAGTTTAGGTCTTTCGCCCTATCGCTCGAAAAGAACGCTGGCTCAAAGACCAACCCCGATTCGAGATCTTCCTCTTCATCCAACATATCACCCTCCTTCTTGGTCTCCTCCTTTTCCAAATCGTCGCTCACACTCGTAGCGCTTGTCTCACTCTTCCTTTTCCCCGAGGGCGAGTCTTCCGACCCCCAGCCCCAACCTTGTTTCCGCCCACTAGCAGCCGACGACGCGCCGGGCGAATCCCACTCTGAAACCACCGTCGACGCCGCCGAGTCTCTCGGGCCTTTGCGCCGAGGTTTGGCCGCAGGCTGGGAGGCCAGTGCGAGGTTCGTAAGGTTCAGCGGGAGGGCAAAGTCTGCTTCGAGCTCTGGATCTTCCGCCGGCGCGTCGGGGATGGAAGAAACACTCGGTTTGTTGCCTTTTGGCGGTGGGAGGAGGGCTTTGATGGTAGCACCCGCTTTGAGCGTCGCTTGGTCTTCGTCCTCCAAGTCCGGGAAATCGTCCAGAGCTTGAGCGCCTGGGCGTGTCTTTCGCGGTGGTGACAACAGTCTTCTGCCGGCGACTTGGCCAAAGTTTTCCCAGCCTTGGTCGAAGGGTATTGAACCCATTTTGGGGTTGGAGGGTTTGGGCGGTAATTGGCTTTTGGCTACGCTCAGACGTCAGTCTAGTTCTGTGCGTGGTCGGTTGTACGCACTAGGTCTGAACGTATCATCGTCGAGGTCGTCGAAATCGTCTAGAGCGTCGGCTCCTGGCAGTTTGTGCTTTGGCGGGGCTAACGATCTCCCTTCCAAGCTCGGCTGCATCTTCAATGTCCCTCCTCTAGAAACCGATTCCAGACTGATAGTCTTCATCTTGGAGCTAGAGGCCTTCTTTGTCGGTAGTACCGATTTCGCTTGCGTTCCGCGTCAGCCCTATTCATGATCGTATCTCAACCACTTACGCGGTTTGAAAGTAGCCTCGTCGTCATCGAAATCGGCAAAGTCGTCCAAAGCATCCGCACCAGCCTGCTCTCTCTGGATCGGAGCGAGCGGTCGGCCTTCAAAGCTTGGCTTCATCCGCAGCGAGCCGCCTTTGCTCGAGCCCGAGCCGAACCGTTCCCAGCCAGCAGCTTTGTCTAATTTCACGGTGCCCGTTTTGCTCAAAGATGGGCTCGGCGATGGAGAAGGTCTCGGTGGTAATTGTAACTTTGCTATAGTCATGTCAGCATATCCTTTATCCCAGAGAAGCCACGTACAAGGCTTGAACGTTGCGTCGTCCAGATCCCCAAACCCATCCAGGGCATCCTCCCCCGGCAAATCCTTCGGCGGCAACGGTCTCCCATGAAAGCTCGGCTTCGTCCTCAACGTCCCCCCTACAGACTCTGCCTTATCCACAGCCTGATCCAGCTCATCCAAGTCCACATCTGCTTCCCAGGCCTTCTCCAGCGCCCTCGCGCGCGCCTTGACTGTACCCGCCATCACGCCCGACCTCGTCGGTGGGGAGGTGACACCCATTTTGGTAACGGTGCCGACACCTTGCGGGCCGCTGCCTACGACTGTGCGGGTGATGAGGCTGCTGGAGGAGGAGGCTGTGCTGGAGCGGGGACGTGATTGGGATTTGGGCGTCGGGCGGGGAGAGAGGGGAGGCAAGTCGCCCTCTGGCAAGTCGAAATCGTCATCCAGCGCATCCATCTCTTGCTTCTGATGCTGCCTCAGGTTCAAACCGCTCGACTTGCCAGCGGAAGAGAAGGATTGACGGAGCGGCGAGGAAGTGTGGGAGCGGGATATCGAGGAGCGATGGGAGGACGAAGATGAGGGTGATGGGGAGGCGGGGAGGGCGAGCTGGGACGCGTTGGGAGAGAGGTCGAATGAGGGGTCGTCTGTCCAGTCGTCGGAGGGGACGAATACGCCCGGTGGTGGGGGTACAGGGGACATGCTGCAAATGTCTATATGCGGGTCCAAGCGTCGTCTGTCGAGTTGGCAGGCGGGTAGAGTGTCAGGAGGTGTGCGTCTACTGCAGCCGCCGGGTGGGGACAGCCATGCCGTGGCGGTGGAATGGGCGGTGGGGAGATATAGGGCGGCTTGAGAAATGAGGGAATGATAGAGATGGATGGATTGATGGGACGCGTTTCCTTGTTGTTGTCTGCGCGCGGAATCAGAATGTGGCACTTGGATTCCACGGGGCAGCACGAGTCTTGTACAGCTACTGCTATGCACTGCATACATCTGCACAAATCTCTAGGTAAGAGCATACATGCATGGGTTGGTGGGGCCAGCAAAGAAACCCGCTGTCTGTACGCGCTGCATGTCGCTCTTACCGACTGTCGTTCCCCTCTTGTCACTCCGCAACCATCCAGACGACTATGACTACATGTTCACAGCGTCACCAAGCCACTTCCTCGGTCGGTTACCTGTCCCTGTGCATAGAAGATAAACACGTTCGCTGGGATATCGCACAATGCTCGTCATGCTCTATGGATTTCTTATACATATAAACCCATATCATCGACAAGGTTCACCTGTACATCTCTGTCTTGTTTGCCCGTCAAGTCACCATAAAACCCTCAGAATTGCGGAATACATGAATGATATGCTAGTGACAAATGTCCAAATAGTCCAAAGAGCGTATAAAAGTTGGAAAGGATGATGAAGAATATGAAAACATGGTGGTTATGGGTAAAGGAATGAAATAGCGAAATATGAGTCCTTGATGTATCATGCGTGAAAAAAGCCTTCTTCCTTCTGATATTGTCCGTTTCTTCTCTCCTTCCTCCCCTTTATTCTTCTCTGCCTGAGTTGAGATAACAACTTCCCAGTCGTCGCGGTTTGAGTGGTAAGACTCTCCAGGCTTATGAACATTGCGGGATAGTAATATTCTTGAGGTTCCTATCAGAGTCGAAAAGACCCCAATAAGGTTCTGTACCGCCATATTCCCTATTCAACGTATCAGCTCCAGTCTATCAATCTCTTTTGCAAAAGGGGGCGCGGTAAAGAGGTATGGGTGTTGACTTACGCTTTCCATGGTTCGTCGAAAGCTTCGAAACTAGAGCAAGTCAGCCCGAGTCACGAAGGCGAGGGAGGGGAGGGGAGAAGGATACGTACTAGAAGTATTCGGTACCATTGTTATTCGCCTGACACACAAACGTATCCAAAAATGCTAAACCACCCTATCAACGCCCACTCTTTCTCCCTCCCAAAAGAAACAAAGACAAAGAAAAACGTACTTTGCAAATTCGCAACACTCGCATCCCCCTGCGGACTCCCCGCCCCACTATTACTATCCTCCTCATCATCGCTCCCCGTCGGCCAGCCCGTCTCGGCAATGTAGGTAGCAGGCTTGTTGGACGCTATGGCAGCTACGGCGACGTCATATTCTTCAAAGAAGGAGGTTGTCCATGCTGCTGCGTCGTCGATTGCTAGGGAGCCAAAGTATCTGCTTCTTTTGTCAGCTTACCGTCCGGGTGGAGAGGCATGGGCAAGGAAGGGAGAAAAAGGAAGGGAAGGAAGGACTGACGGATGGACGTTGGCCATAAAGTAATCAACCCCCTCTCCAAGCGTCTTACTCATGATACTCCCCGCATCCGACGTCCCCACCGGCAACACCTTGTCCAGCCCCAGCGCTTGAATCGTGCTATTAACTTCAGCGATCTTGTCGGTGATGGTGCTGACGGCAGAGAGGTAGGTGGAGGAGGTGTTCGAGTCGCTCCCGGCGGTGTCGAGGATGTATTCGTTACCCACTGTCACCTGGTAGAGTGTCAGTGTGAGAACAGGAGATGGGGACTGGTCAAAGAGAAGGGGACTTACGCCAGAGATGTGATCGGTGCCGTAAGTTTTGAGGGCGTCGGTGAGTGCAGTGACTTGGTCGTCATAGGCCGTCTCATTCGAATCGACATCTATCACTCCGTCAATGTCGTTCCGCCAGTCAGCAGACAGGGTACTTGCAGATAGCAGGCCATACAGTCATGTTGACTTTTGTATCCTGGATAGCTTGGAGGACCATGGCAGTTTGGTTGCAGTTGGCGCCGTAGAGACGGATACTACCCCTTGTCAGAGAACGACTTGCGGGAAGGAAGCGTGCTTACCGCGAAGTGATCTGAGAGAGGAGCTGGATATCTCGGGTAACATTTGACTGACTAGCACCACACCACGGAAGCAGCACATTCTACTACCCATCAGCTCTTCCCTCACCCACGACTGAGAAAAGTACTCACCTGAGGCGTATAAGCAAACCCCCAAAAGCTTTGATGCAGCCTGCTATCCTTTTCGAAATCACTCGCATCATCCCCAACCGTCAACGTGCTATTACTCCCCGACTTGGTGCTCCCATCGTTGTCACTGCTCTTGTTGGTCTGGCTCACAATGACACCAATGACGATGGCCGCCACCGCCGCTACAGCCAGAAGGACTCCCGCTATAATCCACATCCTCTTCTTCTTCCTCGCCGCTTGCTGCGCCGCCATCTCCTCCCACGTCGTCTTGCCTTGATCCGCGCTGCTGGTTTCGGTGATGGGGAAGTAGTTTTCAGAAGGGATGGGAAGGTGGGCATCGGGGTTGAGAACGGGGCGCGGGCCGGGGGCTTGGGTCATCATGGGCATTGGCATTGCGATGGGATATGCTTGGGTGGGGTAGGTGTCGGTGTAGGGTGTAGAGCTGGCAGAGTTGGGGTAGGGGAGGGAGGAAGTGCGTGGTGGGGTGGCGTCGGGGCTGGAAGGGTTGAGTGTACCGAGCTATACCGAATGTCAGAGGTCATAGCCGGGGTATGGATGGCGGGACGTACTGAGGGATAACGAGAGTCGCGCAAGCCTTGGAATCTTTGTTAGCACGTTGGACCAGCCAATGTGAGTTTGTAAATACGTTGAGGTATAACAATGGAAGAGGGAGGGTCTTATAGGGGACTGGTATACGAGTTCACGGCGTATCCGGGTGATTGTTTGGCGACCGTCGCCATGAATAACCCCTCCCCGTCACCCTCCAGCCCCCAGCCCGCATCTCCCCGCAGGAATGCACTGTGGTCTGAGGCCCGCAAGAGCCCCCAGGCAGCACAAAGCAGCCCCGAGCGCGACCCGAAAACAATGGAAGTAGCGACTCACCCGCCATTGCCCTATCCTCGCCAAAGGCCGAAATATCGACTGGGGTATACCTCTGCTGCTGGGCCATGGTTGACGACCCCTCTGAAGCCACGGGAGATTATAGATGAGGATGTAAGATGATGGATGGATGGATGGGTGTGAAAACGAACGCAAAAAGCTGATGCCGGCAGATCATGAAGGGCTGTTATCCCTGCAGAGTGTCACCTGTCACCCTGTCCTCGACCTCGCATACATACACGCATGCCCTCTCCCCAGCACCCGTTACATGCATGCCAAGTATAGATCCCAGCACCGCCTCCCATCCCCTCTTTCTTGTCCCTCTTGTCCTTCTTGTCATGCACAGCCATGCGGGCGGGGCATTTGGTGTCCGTGCGGGGGAATTTTTCGAAATCAGTCGCGTTCGTTACGCTTTTTTGGGTGTATATTTCTTGTTCGGCCTTTGTCTTGCCCTGCAATTATCATCCGAGCAGCCCTGGAATCGCGGGTTGTCCATGCATATTTACCCGAGGTACATCCATTATTAGATAATCCGTCTATCCGAACCCCTTTTCTCCGCGGATGATATTCGGACAAGGGAGAATATGCCTTGAGGTTTGACAACCCTGCGGGCCCTGGGTCAGTCACCCAACCTCCACTTTTTACGTCCCCTTCTTCGCTTCCATGGCTCAATGACTGGGTGGTCACTCGGAAAGGAGGATCATGATAGACTCGGAAGTGCTTAAGATGCATGTAATCGCAAAAGAAATCCCTCGTGTATGCCGGGAATGGGGAACGGGGAACGGGGAAAAGAAAAAGGCGCGTGTGTTGTTGTAAAACCAGATCGGCTGCCCATGCCAGGAATAACTAAAACTACTATCTACCAAGCCTAAAAACAAGACTATACCAAAGGCTGGACAGTCCAGTACAACATCTTCTCTCCTTTCTATACACTTTAAGCGATAGGCCAAAGATCAATGTATCGTATGATCACCGACGACCTGGGATGCTAACCCCTACTCCCGCGCATAGCTTCGCACAGGAACGGGTTTTGGTAGTTATACACCTTCCCACCAGGTGCTGACGAATGCCCCATCCCATCCATCCCACTCACACCTTCCATTCCCAACGCCTGACCACCGTACCCACTAAATTCCCTCACCCCAAGCCCAGGTTGACGCACGTCAACAGGAATGACGCTCCAAGCCGGTGCAGACCCATCCCCATTTGCGCTGGTACTGCACGTAGCGGGAAGAGGGGGAAGAGGAGCAGGGAAGGGAGAGAGTTTGTATGGCTGTTCAGCCGGCGGAGAGAGCGGTGCACGTGGGTAGTTTGGGTAGTTTTGCACTGTCTTCACTGTTGTGGGCGCGACCTGGGGAGGAGGGAGATGAGGTGGTGGCGCAAGCGGAGCTGTAGGGGCGGATGTAGAGGCAGGAACGGTAGGCGTTGATGCCGGCCAGTGATAGTTTGAAAACACGTGATCTGACGAGAAATTGGATTGGGAGGGGGCGATGTAGGTGCCCATCGGAAGCTCTGGGGGGTATGAAGGCGGAGCCGGAAGATAAGGCGCCTGGGAGGGGTAGGTTGGCTCTACCCCGGGGATAGGAGCAGGCGCGGGAGCAGCAGAACTGCCGGAGGCCCCAGAGGCAAAGTCGTAGAACGAAGGATAGAGATAAGGACTTGTTGACCCGGGTGTACTCGGTCCTGCCGTACTACTATGATCCATGCAGTCAGCCATCATTCTCCCATTCTCAAGATTGAGTCGATGAGGAGAGAGAGCGCTTACCTGATAGAATTACGCTGCGAATCACAACCAGAAAACTCTGAAGAAGATGAAGTAGAAGAAGAAGACGTCGAAGATGTCCATCCCATATCCATCGGTGACGATCTATCATCTCTCGTAAGCTTGATATTCAGGATACAGGCTCTATGATCTAGAGTGTCGCAAAGAACTTACATGATGTATGGGTCACAGCCCACCGAGACCGTCGACGTCCTCCATTTCAACATCGACGCTTCTCCGTCCAAAAGACGACTCTCCGTCACAGTCGGTAACGTCCAACCCCCATGCCCTTGCCCCTGTCCTTGCCCCTGCCCTTGCCCTTGCCCTTGCCAGCCCTGCCAACTCCCAAACACGGCCGCCGCAGAAGACAAAGCAGCCGAAGAAGGGATCGGCACACTTGCCCAAGGAGCAGTACAGCTCGATACTTGGCGGGGCGTTTGGAAAGTGGTGGTGTGGGAGGTGGAGACGGTGTTGATGGTCGAGGGCGTTGGGGCGTGGAGGGGAGTGTAGGAGGGGACGGTATTGATGGTTGAGGGCTTTGGGGCGTGGAGGGGAGTGTAGAATGAGGTGGTGTTTGGTTCGCTCGCGCGGCGGTGGATGGAACTGGAAGCCCAGTTCGGAGCGGTGCTGGTATTGGCCGTAGACGATAGGGAGAAAGTAGACGCGGCGGAAGAGGCAGGCGGGGTGGATGAGGGGTAAGCGTCGGGGGATGGAGAAGGTGAAGGCGAGATGGCAGTGTATGTCGGGTCGACGTAGAGACCGCCTACACTTTGACTTTTCCCAAGAGGCCCTGGGGCAGAAGATTGTTCGCCAGCAAGAGAAGCTGCGAGGCGCATAACATCTACAGGCTGCTCATCCTCTGCCACTCTCCCGGTCTTGTGCGATACAACAATGGGTACTGATGCCCTTCTCTGCTTCAGGGTCTTAGAAGAAGCAGGAGGCGTCGAGCCTGGTCGAGTGACGGGTATTGTCCGGGCTTCAGATATTAGTTGAGGGAAGAAGTGTGTGCTGGGAGGAGGAGGAGGGTGGATGGCTGGGGCTGAGCCAGTGAGCCATGCTGGGGCAGGGCGGGATCGTTCCATGATCCTTTTGTCTGCCACAAGTCAGCCTCTAATCTCGGAAAGATGCAAGGGGAGGGGCTTACCTTTACATTCACCTCGTCGACGCGTACTACGCGGGGCCTCGCCGTTTCTTGCCTTGCTTGTTGTTTTCCTCTTGAGTGCCACTCCAGCTGAAGGTGACGTAGACGAGACAGGCGAGGTGGAGGCAGCCCGAGAGACTGTGGTATCACAAAGAGGCAGCTTTGTCGGCGTAGTCTCCTTTTTCCCCCCAGTGTGTTCGGGAGAAGAGGCGCGAAAGCCGGCGCCGTCCGATCCGCGGCCATACCTAGGCGTCCTCTCCGAGTCTTGGGCAGGGAAGGCGTAGGCAGAGTGCAGCATGGCCTCCTGTGTCTGGGGCAGGATGGGGTGGGAAAGGGGCAGCATGTCGGGGGGAGACGTTGGCCCGGGAAAGGAGTGAATGGGATCTGCAGGGAAGAGGAGAGTGATGGGCTTATTATACCTCGCAGAAGACGGGTACCGGCTGTCTATACATCGAAACCAGAATCCCCCACCCTGTCACTCATTTCAAGCTTACTCGGCTCCTAATAGGCACCGCCCACCTGCGCACAGACTCGGATCTGGCCCACCGAGTGTAGCGGGCGGGACACGGAGAGTATGGGGGGTGGTAATGATCCGTGTTGGGGGGGCAGCAAGAGAGGAAGCGCTGGGATACGGGTTCATTTAACGGTTGTAGGCCGTAGTGATAGAGTTGACCCACAGACCTCCGGACCTGCCCCTATCTCATCACTGCTTGACATCGCGCAGTGCTGGCGGGACGCGAGGATCGCCAAGAGAACTAGCTCGTTGTTAAACGCACTCATTTGGGGGGAGTGACTTGCGCCCGTGGTGTCCATCGTTTGGCAGGATGATGTAGACGCCCGAGATCTTGATGAGCCGGAACCAAACTCGTCCAATAGTCTCCTCCATCAATCATATCCTCCGAGACAGGGCTAGAACCCGTGACGACCCACCAGTCAGTTCAGCACTGCCAACTGTTGACTGATAATGCATCCCCAGTGGCCATAGAAACAGTACATGCTCATCTCCAAACCATGCCTGGCGCTTACGTCCTCCGGCTCCTCCGGCACGCTCTTCTGCGGTGAGTCTCCGCAATAAACTCTGCACCCGCACTGCTCCATTAATTACCTCTCAAACGCCGGTCTGTAGCATGTCACAGAATGTCTCGTTTGTCGCCTCATTCAGTACCTCTACGTCTTCCCCTTTCGCCCTCCCAACCAGCCGTCCGTATCCCCCTCGGCCATAGATATAGGCGCGAGTTGGGCCGAGGCTGTTTGTGTGTGCTGGTCGGTGTGTTGGCTGATGAGACAGAGCTATGAGAGACAGGGCGGCAGGGCGACAGGGAGGTATGTCAGAAAGGAAGAACGAAGAGGACGGCATCGGTAAATTCTGCACCCGCATGTCCCATGCCTTGCACTGCTCCATTGATTGCCTCTCATACGCCGGTTTGTAGCATGTCATAGAATGTCTCTGTTGGTCCTTTCACTCAGTTCAGTACCTCTCCGTCTTCCCCTTCCGCCGTCCGTCCCAACCAGCCGTTCGTATCCCCCTCGGCCATAGAGATAACGTAGGTGGGAGTTGGGCCGAGGTATGACTACCTTGGTTGTGTGTGCTATTTGGTGTGTTGGTTGATGAGAGTTGAGACAGAGCTACAAGAGACAGGGCAAAAGGCGGGGGTGTCAGAAAGGAAGAAGAGAGGACAACATCGGCTGATAAGTCTTTGATGTGTGGCAGTTAGTCTGAGACTTATTGATGAGATCTTTGGGGGGATGCCAGTACCGGTCAGCCACGGGGTCAGATTGAAGAGACACATGCTGTGGGGCGTAATGCGACGAACGAGGTTATGTAGCTGCTAGCGACTCGAGTATAGTCTACTTCTTCGTCAGCAGTTAAGACGGACGACGGTTGACATGTACCCCTTCAATCTCAGACACAGCCTCAGGCCTGTAGCTTGTAGCCGTGGTTAGATACCAGAAAGCATACCCAAAGGCGGTCAAAGAGCCAAAGGAATGCTCACCCCCCACGTTCAAAATTGCCCGATACGGAGACTTTTTCCACAGATTCGTCAATTGATCGATTCAGTTACCCCTAAATGCCTCAAAGTGCACGGCTCAAGCTATCTCATGCCATCATTGGCGCGTCATCCCCTTTGAGGGCGCTGTCGTCTGCGGGTTCTTCTTGTTGTACGAGATACTTGCTTGTGGCATGATTTTCTGAAACTGCTTCTCTTTCTCACTGACCGAGGGCCAACGGTCAGGCGACTATGGCCCGCGGCCTGGACTGATAGCTTGCGTGTTGTCAATGTCGTGCTCTGTGGTGTCGAGCTATTTGCACGTATGGCAATCGGCGAGCACAAACTATGACAGAACGCGGACGACGGGCAGACGACGTGTAGATGGTGTATGAAGGCTATGAACGCACGCCGACTACAGCTGCCGCACTGATACCGGCCATGCCGTGCTCACGTGCTCAGCAACTAACTGTACACAACGACAGTATACGTGCGGGCGCAAATCCTTTTGCATTCCTTTCGTTATCCGTTCTTGGATGCTTCTCTTGCACGTAGCCTAGGAGGCCTAGTGCATACCCTTCGAAACGACGCCCAAGCTGCAAGACCCAAGAAACAAACTCTAGATTGGACGGACAACTCTTATTCTGCCCGTTATGTGGCATGGCACTGGTGGCGCTGTGTCAGATAACAGCTTGGATACAGCCGCCAGCCGTTGCAGCCGCCTACCGCGAATGTACACAGGTGGCAGATGGCAGGTGAGGTGAGCAGGTGATCCAGGGTGACTCTGTGCTGTGTGGCGGAACAAGAAGGTGTGGCACAAGGACGACGGTACCGACGTTCTCCGCCGCCGGAAGTGGAAAAGGGGGTTTACGTAAAGCTTTGTCGTTCAACGTTCTTTCATGAAATGGATGATTACAGCTCTTCTGGATGAATGATTAGACAAAGCAGGATGAAGCCCGAGTAGCATGGTCGCTCCAGAGCATGCATATCCGGATGTCAAGTTTGTCTCATTCTCGCTTACTGGGTCCGAACAGGGGCGCTGATCGTCGTTCCCATCAACAAAGCCTCTGTCAAGGTGTCTCACGTAAGAGCAGAAAAGACCCCAGATGGGTCAAGCAATTTTATCACGTTATAGGTGATTATTCGGGTGCTGAACGGATTCGGGATCGAAGATCTCGATTTTGGTTGGCGTAGAAAAGAGGCCGAATCGGTCTGGCCTGGGGCTGGTGGGTGGCTGATGAGAGACATTTTTTTTTGGCTTGGGGCGCTGTTCTCATGCTTTCTTTGAGCAGTAGATCTATAGGGCCGTGTGCTGTCTGCTCTACCATAGATGATTGTGGATGGGTGAGACATAGCTGCACCAAACAGCCAGAGCGGATGACTCGGCGCGGAGGCGGTGCAATTCTGGGAGGAGGCGGATATGGAGATCCCGCAACGACGATTGACTCCGCGCGACAATTCGCATCTCTTCTTTCTTTCATCCCTTCTTCCATCCAAGCACCATCTTTCCCCAAATCAAAACCAAACCACAACCCAGAGCACCTCAAAATGTTCACCCATACCGCCTTCTCCCTCCCATCCCCCCACACCCCTCTTTCATCCACCACGCCGCCCAGAGCGGACTCCCGGTCTCCTTCCAAAGGGGGGCCTACAAACATCAGCCGATCGAAGACGGGGAGAGAGAGGAGGAAGAAGAATAGTGGTCTCTCGCGCTTCACCTCATCGCCAGCCTCTTCCTCCCCTGGCGACTCTGGATCTTCCTCTTTCACATCTGCCTCCCCCACCCCCAAGCCCAAATACAGACGCCGAGTCCACCCACTCCAGCACATCCCTCGATTGCAGAGAGAACCTTCTCTCGAGACAATCACCGAATCTGACGAATCCGACGTATCCGACGGGTCCTCCACCCCGGGACTGTCGAGGTCGTCTTCGGTTTCTCGTCTTTTGCCGTCACCTTCTCTTTCGTCGTTGACGTCTTTGGGACGGCTGGTGGGGTTGTCGAATGGGGGGAAGGGGAGTGACGGGGAGGGAGAGGGAGGGGAGGGAGGATGGTGGAGTCTGTTGCCTGCGTGGACGCGCTGGGAGAGTGGCAAAGTATGCAACACCAACACCGAGCACAAAGACGCCCCCTCATCCGACTCCAACACCCCACTTCATACCACCCACAAAACCTCCGAAGACGAACCCTTCTTCATGAAACTCATCTCTTCTTCATCGGCGTGCAAGAAGGAAAGTCCAGCGGCGAGACAGCTTTCGGCCCTCCTTGCTACCCACAGCATCACCTTCACTCCACCAAACACACCTACCAGAACGTCAACCTCTCACCCCCAGCAGGATATGTAGAGGACTCTGGCCCCAGCGCTGGTGGTAGCCCCTTCAGAAGACTGGTGGGAACTTTCTCACACCATACCCCACCTCTTCCACCTGATCGCAAGGGGAAGAAGAGTCTACAAAAGAGCGGGAACCTATCAAAAGGAAGACGGTGCAGTGACCCCTACTGGTCTCGTATCATCTTGCTGGTACTAGTGGTGCAGCCAAAGCTGCCTGGAAGGGGATTCTGGTGTAGGCGCGTGGAGAAGAGAGCTGAGAGAGACGGGAGACGGAGGAGCGGGGTACTCCAAGAGGAAGCGGAGACGTGGCATTCATTTGATATAGAGAACGAACAAAGACCGCTCAGCGTAGACGCACTGTGTATAGGCTTTCTACAATGGCTCGGATATGTAGATGTGCTCGTTCTAATTGTGGCTTGTAGATAATAAGAGGAACGGATGAATGTGCTGGCATGGCTTCTTTTTTCATCATTCGAGGAAAACGAGACTAATGGAATTGTCCCCGATGCACGACTTACCTCCCCTCACCAGCTAACCCGTCTTCTTCCAGCAGTAACATTGTCGATCTAAGCGGGTGCATGGAGGAAAGAAGCCAGAGAGAATTCTGCACCAAATGGTTGCCCGATGATTCGCGGATCAACTTCGGATCGCCGTCCTTGGCCGTGTCGGCCATGTCCGACTGCCCCGCGTCTTCGCTGTATGGCACCTTATCGCATTTTTCCCTTAGTTCATCTGCATTTGGGTACAGATATATACGGATCAGCCCGACCATCACAGTACACCTATAGCAGAATGAGTTCGACTGCCACCACCGTCCAAGAGCAGCCCTCCCAGGCTGGCGTTCTCAAACTCAGAGGGTACCACCAGCCCGGATGGGATACCGCCATGCTTCAGGAGCTCGAATCCAAAGGGGTACGTATAGCATAGCTTGCCATTCACCATACTGACTCTTGAGCAGTACACTGTTGTGAAAGGCGCCATCCCACCCACTCGCGCTAAAGAGTACGAAGACAAGGCGTACCGGTGGCTCGAAAGCTTTGGCAAGGGTTTTGTCAAGGATGACAAGAAGACTTGGAGATTCGCCAACCTTCCAGCATTTGCAAAGTAAGCTCTGCAGTACTGCACGATAGGCAGAGGCTAATGGGGTATGTAGGGGAGGTCTTTTCAATCGACACGGTGTACACCACGAGCAGTTTGCCTGGGATATTCGTGCCGAGCCCGGGCTGATCGAGGCGTTCTCGAAGATCTGGGGCACAGACGAGCTGCTCGTATCCTTCGGTGGGTGCTAGCGTAGCTGTTGGTACAGTATTTGCTGATTACAGAGACAGACGGTGTCAACGTTTCTCTGCCATTCGTAGCGAACGAGTTTCCCGCAGACGCGGCCGCCCCATGGCCTCATGTCGATCAGAGTCCAAGGCGACGGGAGAAGCACTGCATCCAGGGTATCGCGAACCTCGTGAGTCTCCCTTTTTTCCCCACCTTAACATCTCACTGACGATATTCCAGGCTCCAAACGGGCCCAAAGACGGGGGCCTCATGGTTCTCGAAAACTCCCTCCCGCTGTACACCGAATTCTTCGACACTCACCCCGAAGTCAAACCCGCCGAAGGCTGGCCCACCCGCGACTCGTGGTCGTATAGGGAAGAAGACATCAAATGGTTTGAGAGCAAGGGATGCAGGTGGAAGAAGGTGGAAGCAGAGCCGGGGGATTTGATCTTGTGGGATAGTCGATGTGTGCATTATGGCGCTGCTGCGACGGGTGAAGTGCCGAGAGTCGCGACTTGTGAGTTTTTTTCGGCCCATGTGTGAAGGGCGCTAACGGTGTTGTAGATGTGTGTTACAAACCTGCCGCAGGTATCTCCCCCGAGATGCTCCAAAAGAAGAAAGAGTGTCTTGCCGACTACTCTGGAACTGTACGTCTTCATCCATTTCATCCTCTCCGTGTGCTCATCTGTCTCTAGACCCACGACCCACTCGACTTTTATATCACTGGTACCAACGCCCGCGGACCGCTCTCTGACGATGAGAATCAACAGCCCCACGAACCTGCGGTGTTGAGTGAGCGAGCGAAGAAGCTTGCAGGCTTGGTCCCTTACTAGAACTTTTCCTTCCTTCTTTCGGTTCTCGGCATTGAGGAGGTATTATCGTTACATGTGTTTCCTAGATAGATAGCTTTTGTACGTATATATGCATGTTCTGAAGTACCCTAGACTTTTGGTTTGAGAACCGTATTATAGACTTTTAGACGGCATGCTGAGAATGCACGTTCCAATTCCATGTACCAGAAGTCAAGCCGATTCATCCATCAAAACTGTATATCACACTAATGCTACAACAATATATACACTAATCCCAAAATAATTATGATGCGCCCATGCTAAAGATACCGTTCCCTCTCTTCATGCTCTTGGAAGATCTACTACAGCTTCTCAGCAGGGAGTCGGAACTCGTAGCCGCCCTGTCGAGGCATCCATCGGAGGTGGTCATGGTCTTCCTTGATATGTTTTGAGAGCACTAGAAACCTAGTCAGCCTGCATACCCTAGCAAGGAGGAAGGAAGGAAAACATACTGAAGGTACCAGCACTGGCCATGAATAGGGTGATGAAGACGATCGGGTAAGCGTCGACAGGGACACCTTTTTGGGTGAAGAAGCTCTTCATTTGATGTGTCTGGGCGATTGTCAGCTATGAAGGCGGAGAACAGGGGTAGGAGGTGGACATACAATACCCATTTGCTCGTAAGGGATAGCAGCTGTGGAAACCTTGCGGGCGACCATGGTCCTCGCAGCGGGCATGGTGGAGGCAGTTCGGAGGAGAGATCGAGCAAACATTGTTTATGTGTTGTTGTGGTGTTGTGTTGGGTGGTTGGGTGTGGTAGTGGTAGTGGTGTTGTGTTGTGTGATGTGGTGGGTGAAGACTACCAACATGCTCAGAGCAGACGTCTTTTATACCCTACAGCCCCTCGGAGGATGTGGATGCTTGATCCATCTTGCTCCGAGCCGGCGTCGTGCTCCCCGTGCTGCTCGCGGGTTTCATTCGATAAGATGACCGTGCATGGTGTGCTGACTCCTGTCTCTTCCGCTGATGTTCGTTGGTCGTTCTCGGGTCGGATTGGCGTTGAAAATACAAATTGTTGGTTGGGTCGGGAGATAAAGGACGAAAGCACCCGACGAAGAAGCTAAAATGGGGAAACTACTCGTACCGTTTTCGGTAACTTGCGGGCTGATTAGGTTTGATGACATAAGCGGGACCAATTTTGCTTATGCTTATTACGAATGAGTTCTCACACGCCTGACTGACAAGACAAGAAGCAAGCAAGCAAGAAGCAGGGCGCAGGCAGGGCGGGATGTTCAGCGGCAACGTGCTACATGGAATTGGTACATAAATGGTTGTTTAATATGAAACTTGTTAGGTCGATATCCTGATCGGCTTCAACACATTCAGGCCTTAGGGGTGGCGACTATTCGTCAAGAACGCCCGCAAAGCAAATGGTTTGACTTGTTCGGGGATGGTTTCCAGCAAGCCGGAATGCTGGAGGCAGGCGTCCCAATTCTTCGGGGAGAGGCGAAGGACAGCTCCAGGATAATATTGATCAGGCTATCTGCTAATCTCAGTAACGGGGTCAACACATGTGATGCCAGTCGACGACTGCCACACTCACATCACGAAGGAGGTGGGGAGGGAGAGGGGGTTCCTCATGAGCGATTTTGGACCGGGTGGATGAGGGCGCAGGTACCACCAATGTGACGCAAGAATTTGTTTCTGGACTGAAGAAATATCAGTCGTAGGTGTGGACGAGCTGAAGAAGCAGGCGGAAGTGCCGTTTTGAAACTCCACGATGGCCCACTCATTGGCTTGCATCCTGTCGGGAAGAGCATCGGTGGCCTCCGGGGCGGTGCTGGAGTAGAAAGAAAGATACTGCTGGGAAGCTGAGAAGTCATGAGCAAAAGACGAGCACACATACATCATGCTTCTAATCCAGTACAAGCCGGCGGATGTCATTCAACACGAGAAGACTGGAAGTACCCCCCTGAAAATGCCCGATAGCAAACCAAAGATTACGCGACTCCACACGATGAGCATCAACAGGTTTTCTAGACTGTGACATCATCCAAAGCCGCTCTAGAGCTTCTTCAGTATTTTGCTTTAGGATCTGACCGGCAGGGGAGAGCGGGATCGCGCCTGCCGCAGTCCATTGTACGAGCACGGGGCGGCTGCAGAATGGTGGGGTGCGGGCGAGGCCGTAGTGACTGGCTGATTTGGGCGCCGGGTGGGTTGAAGGGGAGGGCGTTGGACATTGTGGATGTGGAATGTGCACGAGCGGAGAGGAGAAAATTATCAATCCCGCCATTGATTGAGTACTGCTCCAGCGTACTCCCCTTCTTATGTTGCCGAATCTACGTAACGATATAACTGCATCTTCTGATCGAGTCGATGTTATTGCCTTGCCAGCATTTGGTCAATACTCTTCTCCAGACTGCATTACCTTCTGACGTCTACTGCAAAAACCAACATACTCACCATCGTCCATCATCAAAAGAGATCCGTGATCTTCAGGCACGCCCATCTCCGCGCGTTTCCGATCTCTCGTAACTCTTCGGCGTTTATTCGTCCTTCGTTCAACCCTCAACAAGTCGGGATTTGGTGAAGCTGTTCATTCCGACTTGATCCCCTTTCTGGCACCCGGCTGACAGAAGGGGACACGGGTGGCATAGCCGCATGCGGGGCTGTGAAGGGTATGCCGCTGTAAGTAAGCTCTGCGTACATCTGTTTCTGCTGGATCATTAGCGTTTTGTGCCTCTGAACCACGAAAGATATAAGCACAGACCTAACAGCACTTCTCACCCACACCTCAAAGATCCATCATGTACCGCGAACTCCTTCTGAAGAGAGCTATGCTCGCCACACGAACGACAGCCGCCAGAAAACTCAGCTCAGCCGCTCAGGTCGGACCTGTGAGTTACTCTCCTCGTCAATCCTGGCCTTTTGCTCACAATGAACAGCTCAAAACTCTCATTCACAGCACCTCCGTACGGGCTGAAGCGTATCCGCTGATAGGGGCGGTCTTACTTGCCTGTTCCGGCGCCACATTCAGTAAGCTCCCCTCCTCGTCACGTTGGTGACCGCTCGCATGTCAGCTGACATCTTGACAAAGTGCTCAGTAGGCGTCCTGCCCAAGATAGTGATCTCTTTCGCTGGTTACCCCAACATGGAGACCTCGAATCTCAGCTTCCTCCATAGCGAGCGCTTGCACAACCTGAGAAAACACTATTACAACCAAGCTCCCGAGGCAGTCGTGCAATGGGAGACGATGATACATTGATGGGGATTGATGGTAGACTGCATGCATAGACACATAGATGGAAAGAACCATTGCGAATCAGGTCACCGGCTGAGAGGCGGGACGCTTTGGGGCCCAGGTGCGATGCGCAGTGGCGGAAGCAGATGTGCGGGACCAAATTCTGTGTGCTATGACGCATCAGAGCCAGAGCCTGGAGCGATGGATGGGGATTCTATTCATCGCTATCATTCTGGCATTTATTATTCTCCATAGCTTGGGCCCTATACTCGCTAGCCAGGCTTTACCCATACACACCCGCTGTCCAGCCTCCGCAGGACTCATACACCACACAAACACTGCCCAAACACCGCCCCGGACGGCCCTCTTTACATTTCTGTTTCGCCTTGTCCATAGGACACCTCATCCAACATGCTCAAGGGTGTCAAGGTGAGCCTTTCTTTTCGAACCAACGTCAGGTATCACCACCCAGCAAATGCTTTTCGCGACGAAACGGAGAGGAATGCTGGCCGGCAAATTTGCTTGCCGCCCGAGTCATCTGTTGACACCAATCACAGCAGCTGTGGCCGTCAAACCACGCCAACGCCAACAACAACAACAACACCCCCGGCCACTCTCCCTCACCCTCCTTTTCCAACTTTGGCGGCCCATCAGACCAGGCCACGCCACGAGCATCCGCCCAGTCCAATCCGTTTGACGCGGCCCCACACGGAGCCCAATCACCCGGCGCCGCCGGCTTGAGCAAGAGTACCGCCAGCCTTTCGCTCGACCCGAAGCGTACTGCCGTCACCCCTGGTGGTACTCAACACCAACCGTCTGGGCTGAAAACGCCTACCAGTCAAGGTTTCGCTTCTTTGCCCCTCGGGACGCCTGGCGCGGGACAGCCGACCACTGGCGTTACGAAAGGCGATACTGTGGGCCAGACCGGCGGTATCGGTTTTGGTCTGCATGAGCCAGCAAAAATGCGCAAGGCTATGAACAAGAATGACATTGCATCTACCGCTTCGCCAACTCAGTCCGTCAGGTCGCCTACGACTGGCCCGAGAGGTACCCTCCGAGTCAAGGTCATCTCTGGCCGCGGTCTCGCTGTCGCCAACTCGCCCGGCGCCAACTCTCAGCCGTACGTCGTCATTCAATTCGAAAAGAACGAGTACGTCTCCCGACCTCCCCACCCTGCCGCATCGCCCTCCTCCGTCCCCTTCACCACCGGTACCGCACAGCCTGTCGCGCCGGGCAACCTTACCAGGAGCACTAGTGGTTTGGGTGTCGGTGCCATCTCTCGAGCATTTGCCGATGCCGTTGGCCGAGGCAAGAAGGAAAAGGATAGCAACGGCGCGATGACGCCAAAAGCAGAGGATGCGCCCGGCGGGGGTGGCAATTGGCTGGGCAAGCCAGGTCCAGGGGACCCAGTTTGGAAGGAAGAGGTTTCTTTGTGAGTTTCATCCCTTTGCGACAAAGGGATAATGTGTTGACATGCCGGAATCAGCGATGTGACCTCTAGCAAGCCTACCCTCCATCTCTCAGTGTACGACCGATGCCGCGACGGAGAGGGGTTCCTGGGTATGCTCAATATCAAGCCGGCTTTGCAGGACGGTATGGTACTCGACAACTGGTACAAACTCGGCACGCGCGGCAAAGAAAGTGTCACTGGTGAAATATGGATCCAAATGACGTACACTGTCATCAGGGTGAGTAGTGCATTGTCGTGGTGTCCATCGCTGACACTTTACAGAAAAACGTCGCCCTCAAGCCCTCCGATTTCGAGTTTCTCAAGCTCATCGGCCGTGGTACTTTCGGCCGTGTCTTCCAAGTCCGCAAGAAGGACACGCGCCGTATCTACGCCATGAAGGTGCTTTCCAAAAAGGAAATCGTCGCCAAGAAGGAAGTCGCGCACACCATCGGCGAGCGCAAGATCCTCCAAGCTTCCCTCGAATGCCCCTTCCTTGTCGGCCTCAAGTTTTCTTTCCAAACCGACACCGAGCTCTACTTTGTCACCGACTACAAGTGCGGTGGTGAGCTTTTCTGGCATCTGCAAAAGGAAGGCAGGTTCAGCGAAGATCGGGCGAGGTTTTACATTGCCGAGCTCGTCTTGGCGCTGGAGCATCTGCACAAGTACAATATTGTGTACCGAGATTTGAAGCCGGAGAATATCTTGTTGGATGCGACGGGTCATGTGGCGCTTTGTGACTTTGGCTTGTCCAAGCCCGACTTGACGGATGACAAGTTGACCAACACCTTCTGTGGAACCACCGAGTGAGTCACGTCGCGTGCTTCAAGTGACAAGCTAACGTCCCATAGATACCTCGCACCGGAAGTATTGCTTGATGAGAAGGGTTACGGCAAGCACGTCGACTTTTGGTCCCTCGGTGTGCTTCTCTTTGAGATGTGCTGCGGCTGGAGTCCGTTCTATGCCGAGCAGACTCAGGAGATGTACAGGTTGATCTGCTACGGCAAGATCAGGTTCCCCAAGAATGTCATTGGTGACGACGGAAAGCAGTTTGTCAAGGGCGTGAGTATAGTACAGTGATGGAGTGCGAGCGCGCTGACATGACGCAAGCTATTGAACCGAAACCCCCAAAACCGTCTCGGCTCCCAACGCGGTGCCGTCGAACTCAAAGAACACCCTTTCTTCGCCAACATCGACTGGGACGCGCTCTACAAGAAACAAATCACGCCTCCCTTCAAACCCATCGTCGACTCTGACGAATCCGTCGCCAACTTTGATCCCGAATTCACAAACTCTTCTCTGCTCGATGCGGGGATTGTGCCGTGGGATGATCATGATGGAGCGGGTGAGGGCGGGGTGGGGAGCGGGAGCTTGACGGGGAAGCATTCGTATCTTGGTCCTGGGGCGGGGTTGAGTGGAAGTCAAGGGGGAGCGGATGGGGTTGCGATTAATAAGAGTCAGAGGCCGCCTTTGCCTGGGGCGAGCGGGAGCCCGTTGACGAGCAGTGTGCAAGAAAACTTTAGAGGGTTTACGTATACTGGAGAGTCGCTCATGGTGAGTTGTCATACGAGCATTTGGGATAAGGAATGGCCCGCTGATATGGAAATGTTAGCCTCAATCGATGCTCGCGGATCAACAAATGGACAGCGACTCTGATAATGAGAATGCCGTCGATGATGAAGACGACGAGGACTCTTCTTCTGAAGAGGAAGATGATGATGACTATGATGATGACAATATCGTCAGCGGTCGAACAGCAAGGGGAGGCGACGTTGACATGGACTAAGGAGAGATTTGCAGGGGAGCTTTCTTTATCCATTCGTGTTCCATTCTTCCAACTTTTAGAAAAGAAAACTCGAAAACCAAACACCAAACCAAGTATAATTTCTACCCCTTGTGTCTTTCTCCTCTTTGAGCCTTTCTTGCTTGACAGAAGACTTATGGCTCGTCACTTCTTGCCTCTGGTCATTTGTATCCTGTACCTCACAGCATAGTTTCCCCGTCTCGTCTTTTCTCTATCTATCATAAACGTATCCTTCCTCCTTCCTCCCTTCTTCTCTTCATTTCTCATCAGAGTAAAGTTTGTGGTTGTCGAAGAGTGTAATAGGTAATAGTCGCGAGTCGGGGGTAGTGTGCAACCAGATCATCAGAATCAATCGTACAAGGATAATGGATTGAGTATGACATTGCTTTGAATGGCGGGGTTGAACATGGAGTTCAAGAGACATGTCAGCTTGGTTAGAGTACCACAGTCCCGGGCATTGGCCATCTATTTAGAGCCGTAAAAGTGGGGGGTGTAGAGGCACGCAAAGAGCGGATCAGACTTGCCAATCAGGGACCTTTCATTTGATAGAGGAGAAGCGCGCTTGCATAAGCCCCCACCCCCTTGGCCCATCGGCGCCACCACCGACCCTCATCATTCGTGCTATGAGCTGTCGAATGGCCCTTGTTCCTTTTTCACTCGAGGTGACAACAACTTCAAGACGAAGACGGGAGAGACATTGAGATGATGTCAATTGATTTTAGGCCGAAGGTTGTACTGCAAGCCCGACGGGCGAGTGATGAAGGACTCACATGAGGGTGCGGGGTGGCCAGAAAGCTGGAGGTAGACAGGTATAGAGACTGAGGGCTTGTTGTTGACACGCGATCACTCCCACCCACCTTGTTGATCAGTTTTGGCCAACTTTGGGTTCCGCTCTTCACGTGTTCCTCAGCCAGGCTTCGACCCTCAAAGGCCTGCCTGGAGCCGGCGGCTGATGGTGAGAAGCTTTTACTTTACATGCCTTGGCCTGCCCATGCTTCCTCGGATCATCCAACACCCCAGCCGTCCGTGCCGTCTGCTGCCGCTGCGGGCGGTACTGCCTACATAAGACGAATTGCAATCCGATGAGAACAGAGAACGCCATCGCCCTCGTTAAGGTGCGCATCTATCCCTTCATCCTTGGGGGCGCCCTGCCGCCGCCAGCGTCATACCCAGCCCCCCTCTGCCTCGTTCCCCCGGTATATATAGGAGGCTGAGGGTACAAGATGCATAGATAATCGGACTTCAGGCCGGTTTGCGTAACTCCTAAAAGCGGCCCCGAGATTGGCTCTGCGCGGCTGGCGGTTCTTGTTTGTCATCGCACTCCCGCACCCATTTACCCGGTCAGAGTGCGACAGCCACAACTTTTTCATCCATCCCCTCTGACATCCACCACGCCCCCCTCGCCATCCCATCCCCCGCCACGGCCACTCCCCGGCAGCACACCGTCCTCCACCGAGTGCTTGATCAGCGCCCCACACTAGGCCCCGGAATTCCGAATTTCCCGACTTTGCCTTGGTCAGCCTCGACCAGCGACTGGTTAGGCGTCAACTCGACTTCTTGTCTCGGCAACCAACACTGTGAGCCAATATTCCCTTTTCCATCCTCCCGCTTTCTGTCTGATCACGCTGTCTTCATAGCAAACCCTACAACAGAGCTCTCGATTCTGTTATCTACCACTCAGCTCCAATACCATCGGAGACCTTCGGTAACCCTCTCACACATCCAACAATATGGGTCTCCTTGCCCTTGGTACTCCTCTCAGCTGGGAGGAGACAAAGCCTCTCGCCGAGCATATCCGAGACCACGGTATCACACAGTTTCTGAATACCTGGGACCAGTGGAAGGATAAAGCCGGGAAGGGGCTACTCTGGGGCGACGAGGTCAGTGAATATATTGGCTACGATGACAAAGCGCTGATGATTGTAGATCGAGTACATGGTTGCGTCGTTCGATGATGAGCACAAGGTTGCGAGATTGAGCTTGCGCCAGACTGAAATCCTCACAAAGCTCAAGAGTGTCACTCTCGACCCTGCCTTGGAAAAGTTCAAGCCCAAGAACTGGTGAGCCCCTCCCAAAAGCATCCTTGGTGTATTGTCTGACGATGGCTGTAGCGCCGAAATCCCCACCTTCCACCCCGAGTACGGACGGTACATGCTCGAGTCCACCCCCGGAGGTCCCTTCTCCGGCAACCCATGCTCCCTCACCGCCGTGGAAGCCGACATGCGCTTTCGCCGACAGATCATCCGATCGCACTTGCAAGACACTGAAATCTCGATTACCATCACCTCTTGGCCCAGGCTGGGAGTGACCGACAGCGCGTTTACGGACCCAGAGACGAAGCCGGATGTGGAGCGGAGTAGTAGTAAGAGTCAGTATGTGGGTGAGTTGTTGACGAACCCTCATGCGAGGTTCCCGTGAGTGTTTTTGAGGAGTGTGGATGGGGGTGGAGCTGATGGGGTGGGTAGGACTTTGACGGCCAATATTCGCGAGAGGAGGGGGAGCTTGGTGGATATCCGACTTCCGCTGTACATTGACGAGAAGACTCCGATCCCAGAAGGCTTTGACAGGCCACAGCTCTCCACCACCAGTGCTCGTGAGTCTCATTTCATGCTCTATCCGAGCGCTACTGACGTTGACCTTAGCTGGACCTGCCAAACCCCTGCCCGGCACGCCCTACATCCACATGGACGCGATGGCGTTCGGCATGGGCTGCTGCTGCTTGCAAATCACGTTCCAAGCTTGGAACGTCGAAGAAGCGCGAAGAGTGTATGACGCGCTGGTGCCCGTGGCTCCCATCATGGTGCGTATCCAACTACTGCATGTGGCTGGGGCGTGAGACTGACGAAATGGGGGTAGCTGGCTTTGACTGCGGCGAGTCCGGCGTATAGGGGACAGTTGGCAGATGTGGATGCGAGGTGGAATGTGATTGCTGCCAGTGTGGACGATAGGACGCCGGAAGAGAGGGGTCTGAAGGTGAGTACTGTCGATCGGATAAGACCGATAGGTCGCTGATAAATGTTGGTAGCCGTTGAAGGACGACAAGTATCGGATTCCCAAGTCGCGATACGACTCTGTCGACTTGTACATTGCGAATGACGAGCGCAACAAACCCGAGTATGTGGATATTGATGTACCGGTCAATCAAAAGGTCAAGAAGAGGCTGTTGGAGAATGGTAAGCTCGACCTTACTCTGCAAGATTTGGGCTTAACGCGTACCAGGCATCGACGACAAACTCGCCAGCCACATTGCCCACCTCTTCATCCGCGACCCCCTCGTCCAATTCTCCGAGACAATCGACCAGGACGACAAGGAGTCCATGGACCATTTTGAAAACATCCAATCCACCAACTGGCAGACTATCCGATTCAAGCCGCCGCCTGTCAACTCGCCGATCGGGTGGCGAGTCGAGTTTAGGAGTATGGAGGTGCAGATGACTGATTTTGAGAATGCGGCGTTTTCGATCTTTATCGTGCTGTTGACTAGGGCTATTATCAGTTTCAACTTGAACTTTTACATGCCTCTGTCAAAGGTAAGCTTACTCTTCTCAGAAGGCAGGTGGATGCAAGCTGACTAGGGCAGGTGGATGAGAATATGCAGCGTGGTCAGCAGCGCGATGCGGCTGCCAACAACAAGTTCTTCTTCCGCAAGAACGTGTTCCCTCTCGAAACTTCCTCTGGCTCCCGCTTCGACCCCCACTCCCGCCCAGTCTCTCCCCCAGGCTCTTCCGGCTCCTCCTCTCTCAACTCCCGTCCCAACGGCAACGGCAACGGCCACCGCCCGAACGGTATCTCCCACGACCACCGCGCTCCTTCACCTGTCGCCTCCTCCTGCAGCTCCTTTGCCGACGAGCTCGGGGACGACTTTGGAGAGATGAGCTTGGACGAAATCATGAACGGCGACGGAAGGGGTTTCCCGGGGTTGATGGGGGTTGTGAATGCGTATTTGAATTCACTGAATGTGGATGTGAATACAAAGTGTGATATCAGGAGGTACTTGGACTTGATCAAGTTGAGGGCGAAGGGTGCGTTTGCAACAGAATGTTTATGGTCGTGTGATGATGTGCTGATGTTGGTGGGATTTAGGCGACCTTGTGACCCCTGCTACGTGGATCAGAAGCTTCATCACCTCGCACCCGGCGTACAAGCAAGACTCGGAGGTCACGGACGAGATCAACTATGACCTCGTCAAGGCTATCGACGAGCTGTAAGTTTTAGAAAATCCAATTACACGAGGTGGCGATGCTGATTATGTCATTCAGCGAGAGAGGTGTGAGGTCAGCCCCCGAGCTTTTGGGTAGAGACTATGTTGGATCAGGGCCTACGGGCTGTCTTTAGGAGAAGGAGAATATAGATGATGTGGTATAGCGGCTTCTTTTCATTTTTCGATTCTAGATGAGGGCGCGGTATCCGCGCATGGTGACTTTTTTTCGCATGGGTAGAAGGGTCTGTGGGTGACCCCAGCATGTATAATAACGTTGACAACGACTCGTGTTTCAGATTTTGTTGGGTTCGATTGGTACGAGTACTCGAGTACGGTACATCGATACCTCGAGGCAAAAGGGCGTCTATTGCTGGGAATCGCGCAGAGAGGTCTCGTGGGACCTTTGCTTCGTAATGCTGATGGGGTGCCCTGCCACGTTGAAGGACGATGATCTGCATCCGGGGGGGCTTACGAGATCCTTATCAGGCTTTAGTTTGCGGGTGTAGATGTTCTTTCCTTCTTCTTATCTTTATTCTCTCTTGACAAAGAGCGCCACGATACTCAACATGCAGCGTGTCCAAGAATGTGATTGCGGCAACTTTACCGCCTTACAGAAGCAAGCGTCCTATCGTTCACTGGAATCTGATGGTCAAGGGAGATCACACATACATGCATAGCTGTGAGTCTTCTTTCTACCCTCGTTTCATCAGCCAGGATCGCCGGGCCGTGCTTCCACATGTTGAGGGAAGTGACGATGGACGTTATCGCTTGTTGTCGGATTGTTGGGTCTCGCGCACGGCAAGCTGGTTTCAGAACGGCTTGGCGTCTTTGGGATCGGTAACGCCTGTAGATGTCTGTCGTCTTTTGAGTTCATTCACTGACTTCTTTGGCAGGTAGCTGGCTCGAGGGCGGGAGTATGCACGGACTGCATGGATTCTTTCGCTCATACGGGACCATTTTCGGCTTTCGTCCTCCATCATCTTCTTTTGCATCTCTTTCGCTCACATCTATCGACGTCTCTGAGCATGGGCCTCCTTGTAGAAGGCACTCCTCTCAGCTGGGATGAGATCAAGCCTCTCGCCGAACATATCCGATACCACGGCATCACCCAGTTCATCAACATCTGGGACAGGACGAAGGGAAGAATTTGCACCGAGTTCCTATGGGGCGATGAGGTATGTTTCAACACGAAACGTTGGTCAATGCGCTTCCACTGACAGGCTACCGTGTACCAGATTGAGTATATGGTCGCATGCCTGGATGACGAGCATAAGACCGCCAGGCTGAGCTTGCGACAGAGCTCGGTGACTCTGGACAGACTAAGAGACGAAAGCCTCGTCCCTGCTTTGTTGAAGGACAAGCCTACTGGGAGGTAGGTTGTGGAGTCCGAGTCTCGAACGTACATCGCTGACGCAATGCATAGCACCAAGATCCCTATCTTTCACGAAGAGTACGGACGCCACATGATTGAATCCACCCCTGGCGCTCCTTTCTCCGACGCTCTTTCTTCTCTTCTATCCGTGGGGTCCGATATGCGCTTCCGACGCCAAATCATCTACAGCAGGCTCGAGCCTTCTGAGTTGCTGGTCACCGTCACCTCTTGGCCGAGGATGGGGGTCACCGATACTCCTTTCACCCAGGCGCCAGACGATATGGACTTTGATGGGAGCTCCGGGAAGGATACCAAGAACGTCGACATGCTTCTCACCAACACTCAGCATCCCAGATTCCGGTAAGTGGCCCGTCCTAGAGAGCCCTACGAAGCCTTAGTGGAAGCTGACTAGAAACATAGCTCCCTTCATGACAGCATTCACCAGAGACGAGGCCGTCCAATCGATATTCGAGTCCCACTGTTCATCGACAAGCAGACGCTTACCGAGGGTCCTCGGGTCTCGGCTCGTCATAATGGAGACTGCAATCGTTAGTCTTGCCTTGTTGTCTGGATTGCAAGACTGTCTCAGCTCACATAGTGACCTGCGTAGCTTCAGACGTCCCTACAATCCAGATGGATGCGGTATCCTACGGCCTAGGCTGCTGCGGCCTACAAGTTACTTCTCAAGCATCTAACATTGATCAAGCCCGATATGTCCACGATGCCATGGTCGTTATCGCCCCAATCATGGTGAGTTACAGCCGCAATCTTTCCCCCGACGTCAATGGCTGACCGAAAGCATAACAGCTCACATTGACGGCAGCAAGTCCCATATTCCATGGTCGCCTGGCCGACATCGACACCCGTTGGAGTGTAGTGGCAGCGAGCGTTGACGACCGCACAGAAGAAGAAGAGAATGGTGTAGACGTAAGCCACAGATCGTTCCCGCTTCTACAGCAGCTGACTCAATTCATAGCCAGTGACCAAGCAAAGGGCTTCTCCTTCGGTCAGACCCCGTTGGAGTTCCGTCAGCCTGCATGTCTCCAACGATGAGAGAAACAAGGCTGTGTACAACGATGTGGATGTACCTATCGATGACGATGCGAAGAAGCGATTGATCGAACACTGTAAGTCTGTCGGATGATAGTAAAGGATTACTGACAATACTGGACGATAGGTGTCGACGCCAAATTGGCAGATCACGTAGCCCATCTATTCAGTCGAGATCCTCTCGTCCAGATGTCAGAGACCATTGACCAAGATGACAACAAGTCAACCATTCATTTCGAAGGTATCAACACTGTCGTCTGGCCGAGTGTCAGGTTCAAGCCTCCTCCTCTTGACTTACCTATCGGCTGGAGGGTTGAGCTTCGGACGATGGAGATCCAGATGACGGATTTCGAGAATGCTGCCTTTGTGATATTTGTTGTTCTTTTGACCAGAGCGATAACGCACCTTGATCTTAACTTTTACATCCCTATTTCGAGGGTACGGCATCTTGTCTAGTCATATACAAGTACAAGTCCCAACGCTGATCGAAAGTGTGATAGGTCCACGAGAACATGGAACGTGCTCATCAACGCAATGCTGCCGCTATAGGCAAGTTCGTTTTTCGCAAGAACATTTCCCCCTCGAATGGCCCCTTCCATGTCGAGATCGATGATGAAATCCAAGACATGAGTATGGACGAGATCATGAACGGCGACGGAGCTACTTTTCCTGGGCTTACGGGTTTTGTGGAAGATACCTCAAGACTGTGGAGACGGACGAAGACACAGCGGCTGGTCTCCGCCCGTACCTCAATCTCGTAAGGCTTCGGGCCAAGGGTGAGCTTTGTGGGCCACTTGTGTGTTCATTGGCACCCTGGCTGAGATTACTATGCTAGGTGACTTGATCACCCCTGCATCGTGGATGAGAAACTTTGTCACTTTACACCCGGCATACAAGCAAAACTCCGTTATCGGCGATGAGGTCAACTACGATTTGGTCAAGGCCATTGATGAGCTGTGAGTAGGGAATCAAAGCATGCGATAACACTGACGCGTACTGTACTCGTACAGTGAAAGAGGTGTCAGGTCAGCTCCTGAGCTCTTGGGTAAAGACTATGCTATATCAGGACCAACGGAGGCGCTTTAGAAAGGTATAGAGGGTTTGATATGTGTCTATCAACATTGAGAACCAGATCAGGGCGCGATGTAGATGCCCGCATCTGCCAGTGATTTTCGCCTGGGTATAGAATACGTAGGGAACTCCGGCATGTATACCAACCAGACTACCGCCGATGGCAGTGTCAGCCACGACAACCCCTACCCCAACCCACGGTGGCGAAAGAGGCAGTTGGTGGTCTGGCATCCGCATGTTGGTTGTTTGGGTGCTTCATCCCTTCCCAGAGAACAGGATCGATAAAGGCAGGGAAGTCTTTGCGGGTACGTTTTGCCACCTTTTTGTCTGCTTCTACCTTGAGAGGATGCATAACTGATTCGAGGAAACAGGTTTGCGAGACCTACTGTTGCTGGTGATTTTGGTCGCCTGGTGGGTTGGGCTGAGTGAGCACAAGAAGTGAGTCTATGGTGAGCGGAACTTTCCGCTGTAGGAGTGACTTCTCCCTCAAGGTGGCTGACACTTTCCTCAGGCATCGGCCCTGGGGCCTGATAGCTCTCCTCTATGTCCTCCCGCGGTGGAAGTGGTGCACGGCGCCATATGGCACACGGGTACTCGCCGCTGCCCCCGCCGACACTGCCCCTGCCCCCGCCGACGTTCCTCCTCCCTCCGCCCGCCGAGCCCAGTGCCTCGCTCCTTCGATTGCTGTGACACCCTCCTTCGCTCTCTGATGTTGTCTTTTGGTTTGTTAGACGTTGGCGAAAGTCAACCTAGGCCTGTGCTCTTCCTCTTCACAGTATGTCGTCGAGCGGGTGGATGGTTTCATGATGGTTATGGACTGAGTACTAACGACTCCACTGAGGATTTGTCTGTCGTCTCGGACCTCGTTTCGCAGGTGGTCGGGAGAGTTTGAGCGCAGGGTTGGAGCTTGGGGGTGAAGGGAGGGCGAAGGAGCTGGAGAGGAGTTGGGAGGGAGGGAGAAGGCGGGCGAAGAAAGTGGCCGGGGTGGGGGAAGGGACTGCAGAATGCATGTATATAATACACTCTTGTATGCAATAAGCACGTAAGACAGGCAAAGACAAGATCAGAGTCACGCTGCAGAAGTATTTCTCGAAGGCTCACTGAAATCAAGACCAGCCGACTGAATGACACGACTCGGTTCTCATTTACGTCCTCTCCTGAAATGGTGTGGTATCCATAGGACAGCGTCGCTGTGCTAAAGTGTGATTTTCGGTCCTACATGAGTACTCGATGTCAGCATGGATCAACATCCGGTCCTCGGTCAGAGACAGCCACGAGCCATGTTGAACATTGCTCGCAACACAGATATGGTTTCCGACCTCGGAGGATCTGTCGGTACTCTCGGCACACCATTTGCGGTACCCGCTGCTCCCTTTTCTCCCTGTTCCAAGGTGATGAGTCTCGTTCTTGTCTCAAGATCAAACCCAAGGCAAATGAACGCCAAACTCACCTCATTTCCTTCCACACAATCGCGTCTCCGGCGGCCCGAATCCTTTATGATCGGAAGCCCGGGGGGAAACGCATAATACTCACAATCCGGCACTACATCCCCAAACATTTCCATCAGCGGTTCCGTCTGTAGGTAAGAGATGGATCTGGACTGGTCTTTGACGGTGTAGATGAACAGAGGAGAGGGGCTTTGCAGATATCACGGGTTGGTGCTTGGTTTGAGACGGTGTCTGTTGTTGAAGGTGTGGGTCCTTGCGTCCCCGATGACATCCCAACTTCGGGGTACGTGGTGTGCGGCTTCCAAGTCGAAGAGCATCTCCATTGCGAGGCCTAACTCCTCTTTAACAAGTCGGATCAGTATAGAAATGTGGGTAGCTCCAGAATGTATAACATTATCACCAATGACAAACCCACGTCGTCACGTTCAAGAATGACGGAGCAAGGGCAATACTTGTATTTCAGCTCCCGTACGAACTGTTTTGTTGGTAGTGCTTGAACCTTCTTTTGATGCTCGCACCCCTACATCAGCAGCGCGATTTTCAACTTCACTCGAAGTGAGGAGCACCGACAAACGTTGTTAACTTTCTATCGGACTTTCGAGCATCACGTCATGCGGCTCTCACGAACTGAGATGAAGAAAGGGAGTCACTTTTGAGCGCTGTTCGATCAGTTTACTTGGCCCTATCTTAGGAAGGTGGATGACTCGACGTTCTCTGTAGGATGCATGTTCTTGGCTTCTCCCGCCCCTTATAAGAGCCGGCATCCTACATTCATCTGTACCAGAAACGAGTATCACTTACGTTCCAATCTTTCCTCTCTTCGTCCAGTCTCTTTTTCCGCCCAAAGCCAAATCATACTCCAACAATGGGTCTTCTTGTCGATGGTAAACCGCTCAGCTGGGAAGCTACCGAGCTTCTCGCAGAGCACATTCGGAACCACGGAATCACGCAGTTCCTCAACATCTGGGACAAAACTAGAGGCAGAGTCTGCCACGAGTTCCTCTGGGGTGATGAGGTAAGCGCTAGCATGATCAACTAGAAGAGGGCCGTTTCTGACAACCTTCTTTGAGATTGAGTACATGGTAGCAGCACTGGATCATAAGCACAAGACCGCCAAATTGAGCTTGCGCCAAAGCTCTGCGACTCTAGACAAACTACAGCAAAAAGATTGTCTCGACCCGGACTTGATCAAGGATAAGCCCGCAGGAAGGTACGCTGCTGCATTCCAGCTTCGAGCTCTTAATGCTCACGCATTACATATAGCGCGAAGCTTCCTACTTTTCATCACGAGTACGGACGCTACATGATCGAGTCCACCCCAGGCGCTCCCTTCTCCGACACTCTATCTTCTCTCCTCGCCGTAGAAGCCGATATGCGCTTCCGACGCCAGATCATCTACAGCAAACTCGAGCCGTTTGAAAGTCTATTGACCATCACCTCTTGGCCAAGGATGGGAGTGAAAGATGCTGCGTTTGCTGAGGCGCCTGTTGATATGGGTCTTGTTGAGTGCTCGGGGCAATGTGGAGATGTCGACAAGCTTCTTCAGAATAGCGACCATCCCAGGTTTGGGTAAGCCTTCCTCTGCATACCCAAATCATATGAACAAAGGCTGACCCGAAATAAGCGCACTCAATGGAAACATCGTCCAGAGACGAGGAGGCAAGACCGATATCCACATCCCGCTGTTCATCGACAAGGAGACCCTCAAGCAACAGGGGCGCGAGGCTCCACTCTGTCGTAAGTCGCGCCGGCTTGTGCTAGATACAAGATCCTTTCAGCTCATCATACTTTTTTGAATCCGCGCCAGCCTCCGACGTTCCTTCTATTGTCATGGATGCCATGTCGTACGGTATTGGATGCTGCTGTCTACAAGTCACTTGTCAAGCTTCTAGTGTCGTTGAAGCTAGGCGTGTTTATGATGCGCTGGTCCCTGTCGCTCCAATCATGGTGAGTTCACATGACTGACTCTGACATGCCGTTTTTGGCTGACGGTGCATGATACAGCTTGCATTGACAGCAGCAAGTCCAGTGTTCCAAGGCCAGCTAGCCGACCATGACACTCGATGGAATGTGGTAGCAACAAGTGTCGACGATCGTACAGAAGCGGAGAAGAGTGTCAAAGTAAGTTACCAGCCCTTCTTCCTGCTGGGGGCGTGTGCATATTGAAAAATTGATGAATTGGTCCATAGCCTGTCACAGGGGATAAGTGCTCTGATGCACTGATCCGACCACGCTGGCATTCAGTCAACCTCTACATCGCTGAAGATGAGAGGAACAAGGCAGAGTATAACGATGTTGAAGTACCCATCAATGTCCTTGCAAAGAAGAGATTGGTCGAAAACGGTCAGTCTATAGGCAAGTGGCAGTCGTGCAAGCAGCTAATAAGGCAGTATCAGGCGTCGACAACAAAATGGCCGACCACATCGCCCACATATTCATCCGCGACCCCCTCATCCAAATGTCCGACGCCATCGACCAAGACGACGAAACGTCCACCATCCACTTTGACGGTATCAACACTGCCAGCTGGCCTAGTGTCAGGTTCAAGCCGCCTCCCCTCGATTCTGCTATGGGCTGGAGGGTGGAGCTGCGGACGATGGAGGTTCAAATGACGGATTTTGAGAATGCGGCTTTTGCGGTGTTTGTTGTGCTGCTGAATCGGGCTATTGTCTGGTTTGATTTGGACTTTTACGTGCCGATCTCGAAGGTAAGGCTTCTTCCTTGAACGGCCGAAGTCGACGTTTCAACGCTGATTTGACGTGACAGGTGGACGAGAATATGGAACGGGCTCATCAGCGCAATGCCGCCGCTGTCAACAAGTTTGCTTTCCGAATGCATATTTTCCCTCCCGAAGGTTCTCTTGACTCTGAGAGCACAGTCGATATACAAGAGATGAGCTTGGACCAAATAATCAATGGCGATGGAGGCGGTTTCCCTGGACTGATGGGTGTTGTTGAAGGATACCTCAAAATTGTTGGTGCAGACGAGGATGCGATGGATGGGATCAGTAAATACCTCGAGCTCATCAAGCTTCGGGCCAAGGGTGGGCTTTACGAGTGATTTCTCAAAGACAATATAGCTGATATCGTTCTCCTAGGCGATTTGCCCACTCCGGCCACTTGGATCCGGGACTTCATCACCTATCACCCGGCTTACAAGCAAGACTCTCTTGTCAGCGACGAAATAAACTACGACCTCATCAAGACCATCCATGAGATGTGAGTATCGTCTAATTGATAGGCACTTGTTGTGACTGATGTTTGTGGTATAGGGAAAGAGGCACTCGATCGGCTGAGGAGCTTCTAGGCCATGGGACTTCCAAAGCGTGAGAGGGTGTTGCCGTGTATTGGAATGCTGTCTGCATCTTCATGCATGTCATATTGGAGACCTATGGTCATCGCGGAGCCAAGCTAATCATCACAATCTACTGCTGCTAACGGCTTAGGGGATCAATTGCGGAATACGGGGCCGCCCGACATCGTCCTACTCGGGGCCGCGAACTAAGAGATGCCATGCAGGCGATCAATGCGGTGGAAGGGGCCAAATAGAGCATGGGGCCAAACAGTGCAATGATATCAGCCCGGACCAAATACCCGAAACTACTGTATTCAACACTGTATAATTGCGTGAGTGGGTAACACATGTCATCAGCTCACGGCGACCAGACAAAGGAAAACGCTGGGAAACAGTGCTGTTTGATGCTGTGAATCAAGACAAAGGCCTGACATCATTTGTGCCCCGTCCATGTAAGGTTGTCATCTACTGTAGTATGGGCCGAAACTGCCAAGTCAAACGTCAAAGTCAAGTGAAACATTGAATTTCGCAGAAGAAAGAGAACAATACGCGTTCTACGCGTCTACGCGTTTCAGGGACATGGGATCGCGGCGAGAGTAGCCGACCGCCAAGAAGCTATGCATGGCTGTGCAGAGGGATGCATGGAAAAGCTATCTTGACGTTGTACATCACTCATCCGCCACCCGGTCAAAAGCCACACCATTACAGTCACCGCAACACTGCAACACCGCAACCACGCTAAAGGCCCGACTTCCTCGCGACACATCTCTCATCCGCATCTTCACCCGCCATGGACGACCGCCCCCCCATATCACACCCCTACCCCCCAGACCACTTTGCCCGCCCCCAAGGCCTCGACTATCAGCGAAGGCGCGACGAGCGCCATGCCAATTCAGGTATGCCTGCCGCCGCACTGGCCTACCCTCCGGCATACCTTGGCGACAACCCCTATGCCGAGATGTCTAGAGGCCCGTCGCCCAATCTCGGTGTACAGCAGCCGCTATATGGCTCGAGTCCAGCACCCATGATGCGCTCAGCGTCCTCATCCTCGGCACAACCATTAGCAGACCCGGAACGCGGAGAGGCAAATTCGGCCAGCCGGAGCAAAGAGGGAAACTATCCTGAAGGGTGGACGAAGGAGGACGAGGAGGCGGAGAGACAATTTTTGAGCCAGGGGATGATAGATTGGAATGAGCTGAAGCAGTGGAGATGTTGGATCAGAAAAGAATGGTGGTGTAAGTACCGTCAAAGGTTATGTGATTCGGGCTGACCGACGGCAGTCTGGTACATCTTGGGAGCCGTTGGTATCGTCCTGGTCTGTCTGATGTCTCTGTATCATGACGAGGTTGGTATTTCTACTCTCAAATGGCATAGCTGACCATGGCGGTAGATTGTCGACTGGCTGAGACCCGCCGCCAACTGGATGAAAGAGTAGGTCGTCAAGTGTTCTCTACTAGACGCAAGCTCACGCACAGCTCAGCCTGACTGCCGGCTGGGTCATCCCCATTGCTGTATTCTTTGTCCTCTCATTCCCCCCGCTCTTTGGTCACGTAAGTTACATGTCTGCTTCCAATCTCAAGCTGACCATGTCGCAGGAAATCGTTGCTATTCTATGTGGTGTTGTCTGGGGTCTATGGGAAGGTTTCGGTATGTGCATACTCCTCCTCGCCGCTTGACTCATAGCTGACCATCATCAAGGCATCACGTCTGCCGGTACCCTCCTGGGCGAGATCGGCAACTTTTACGCGTTCAAATACTGCCTCAAGTCCCACGCCGAGAAATACGAAAAGAACAACATGAACTATGCTTGCTTGGCCCATGTAGTCAGGGAGGGAGGGTTCTTTATCATCTTTGTGGTCAGGCTGAGCGCTATTCCTGGGTCAGTACATGCTTTGCGGGTGTTGTGTGTTGTGCTGACTACCAGTAGTCACTTCACGACCGCCGTGTTTGCGACCTGCGGCATGAACATCTGGATCTTCACCCTAGCCGCCATCCTCACTCTTCCCAAACAGGCAAGTCGCCCTCCCTCGACTCCTGTCACCCACTAACACCCTCCCCAGCTCATCGTCGTATACCTCGGAGTCCTCTTCGACGACACCGACTCGAGCTCTAAAGAAAAATGGATCTCCCGCGGCGTCCTCATCGGCGGATTCCTGATCACCATCGCTTCCGCCTGGTACATCTGGCATGAAATGCACAAAGTGCGCCCCATCGTCTGGCGCCGCAGAAAGATCGAAGCCGCTGCCAAGGGCATGTCTCTAGATCCCAAGACGGGCAAGTTCATCGAGAGTCCGCATGCGGGGATGGACGGGCGGGCGGGAAGGGGGAAGGAGTGGGAGCATGCGCTGAGGCCGGGGAGGGCGGGGGAGGAGGATGAGGCGAGGAGCCCGATTTTGGTGGAGCATGAGAGGGAGCAGGCGAGGGAGAGGGAGGAGGGGTATAGGTTGGATACGCTTGGGATGGACGGTTATCGAGGGCAGAGGCAGCAGGGGAGGTTGGAGAGGCATCAGAGTTATCAGAACCCTTACGATATCAGGTGAGTACCGTCGCGACACGAGTGGAAGACGCTGATAATGAGATAGCTATCAAAACTCGAACCAGATGTCGATATACGACGTCGACGGCCCTCAGGTGCACGAACAAGACATTGCCTACGGCTACAAACCACCCTCCTCCACAGACACCTTCCTACCCACCCACAACACCCAACCACCACCCCCGTCTAATGGCACTCATCTTCAACCTCACCAACCATCCGCCCACCAGCTCACCCACCCCTTACCGCCGGCGCCTGCTCAGAATGAAGTCCGTTTCCCAGAAGCGCACTCTACGGGCGTGGAGGATCAGCATACCGGCGCGGGCGCTGGGCTGCATAGGCATGGGACGGGGTCGACGGTGTATGCGAAGGAGGAGCCGAGAGTGGGGTGGCCCGAGGCTAGGCCGAATATGATTTGACCTAGCCGATAGTGGGAAAAGGCTGGGACAGAGATCCGGACTTTTTGTTTGTAATGAATGATACGATATACGACGCGCGATGCGCGATGCGCGAGACGAAGACCCTTTTTCGGACTTTTGATATGATGTATTGAGTACCTCTCAGCACTAGTCCAGGAAACAGACGCGAGCTCAAGAGGTGCACACTCTGAAAGATATCGTCCCTGGTTATACAGATGATATGATACATTCTGGTATAGTACAGCTATCAAAGCTCTACGGCACAGAGGCTATAGGTAATAAGAAAGCGTATCTGGAAGGAGAAACATGACACGGCGTGATCATCGCCCACACAACCAGTGGATATCCTGCCCAGACAAGGCGGGTTGAATGAGGACATCATGGGTGGACCAACGCCGACAATGGGAGGAGGTGAGCGGGACCAAATTGACTGCCTCCACTTTACTGCACCACTGTCCACAATTTCCCTCTCTCCGCCATCTACTTGTATATCCTGGGCACCATGTCCTCTCCTCCCACCATCCCCTCCTCCCTCCTCCCCCGCCTCCCCAAGTCCCAGTACACCCTCCACCCCCTCCTCCCCGCCGACCTCCTCATCCTCATCGCCCACCTCCGCACCCTCTACCTGCCCCCGATCCATGGCGGGTTCCAAGCTGCCGACGTGCTTGATGACGGTGATGGGTCGGAGCATTATGGTGGAGGAGAGCAAGGGAAGGAAAGGGTCATTCAAGAAAGGAAAGAGACGCGGGAGAAGAAGAGGGAGAGACGGTTTAGCGCGGGGCTGGTGGAGACGATGGGAGGTATGGGGCTGGGGCTTGATGTGCCGTTGACAGCAGCCCCGGAGCACCCTATCGTCGAGGATCAAGAAGCAGAGGAAAAAGAAGATGAGATTGAAGGAGAAGAGGCCGCCGAGTCGTACGAGTTCGAGCAGGAGGAAGAGAAGCCTCATCTCGATCCATTCGAGCGAGAGTGGTCTGAAAAGTGGCTCAATGGACTTGTACGAAGAAGCCAGGGATGGCTAGAGGAGAATGGGGAGAACGAGGACAATTTGGCCGAGATCAAGGAGGTAGAAGCTGTACTGCGAGACGCTACGGCTGTCCTTGCGATGATGGCTGGTACCAGTGGTAAGTCGTTGCATCTGCGCTCAACTCTACTGACTCTTCACCAGCTGCTGGGTCTTTCACTCGGCATCTCGTCTTTCCCATGGCAGAGTATCTTGGGCCAGCTCTCTCTCAAGTGCGTGCCAAACTGGAGGCCAACCCCCTGCACTCTCCCAGCACGTCCACATTCCTCGCGTCCTTCTCTCGATCTCCCACATCTCCCCTCACCCTCACTCAGCATCTCCCCTCGTCTCCCACTGCTACCCGAGGTAACCTCTCCGTCTCTCCTACGTCTTCGCGCCGTACAAAATACCCTCTACTGCCTATTCTTCTGCATGACGCGCCCATGAACGACCACTTGTCTGTCGGCGTCCAAACGTGGGGCAGCGCCATCCTCCTGGGCCGACAAATATCTCTCCACCCCGCCGACTATGGTCTCTTCCTCCCCCCTTCCACCAGCCGCGGCGTGCGCGTACTCGAGCTCGGTGCCGGTACTGGCCTCTTATCCATCTTGGGCCGAAAGCTGCTCGACCTCCACGCTGTCGCAGAAAACACCCACCCAGGACTCGTAGTCGCCACAGACTTTCTCCCCTCTGTCCTCGACAACCTCAAAGTCTGCGTCGACCTCAACTTCCCCCCAGCCATCACCGACTCGGGCATCCACTCTGCCACCGACATTTCCCGCGATACCGGGATTCACGTCGCTAAGCTCGACTGGACCACATTCCCTGCATTCATGGCTAGCGGCCAGAGAGAAGGGGACGAAGAGACGGCACTGTTTGTTAGAGATGGGCCGTTTGATTTGGTGTTGGCGAGTGATTGTGTGTATGATGAGACGCATGCGCGGTTGCTGCGCGAGGTTGCCGTGTGGGTGTTGAGGCTGCCTGAAGGTGAAGGCGACCAAGGAGGGACTTTTGTCAGTATTTTGTCTTTTCGCTCTGTGCTTCGCTGATTGGTCGCAGCACATCTTGTCTCCACTTCGACCGACGTTCCAACCCGAGATCGAATCCATCGTCCAATTCTTCCCTCCCCACTCCACCTACACCCCTCTCGCCGAACGTCAAGCCGCAGCCTCTTCCGCCTCCTCTTCCATCCCTCCCGAACTTCGCGGCGAAGGTCTGGGTACAGCAAGAGGTCTCAAGCTCGGCACTCGAGGCGACGGGAAACGCGCAGTCAAAGGACGGAAGGGCGAAGGGCGGACGGACGAGGCGTTGGGTTATTGGTGGTGGGAAGTTGGATGGGCTTAGAAAATATAGAGTGGTCGTATGTGTATGTTGCATTGCATTTTCTTCATCAAGATTTTGTTTCATGCGTATGAGTAGTGGTGGTGGTATTCTTGACGTGTAGGGACGACGCGACAAGACTATCATCTCTTCTTCCTATCGAAGCTCGGCATCTTCTTCATCTGGGATCTGTCAGCGCCGCTCTCTCGTTGAGAAAGTGTTACTCACGACCTTCTTCTTCATATTATGCACCATCTCCATTGGCTTTGACCTCTTCTTGGTGACTTGTCGCTTGGCCAGACCCGGAGGGGCCAAGAAATCAGGGGTGACTACTACCCCAATCAGCCAACATCCCTCTCTCCATCCTCCCAACATACTTGTACCTCCCTGAACACCATTCCCCACCCCATCTCTCCCACTCACACTACCACTATTCGCACTGCTCCCCGACCTCTCCGTCCTCTCCTCCACATCCGACATCCTCTCCCACCTCGCCACCCTCTCTCTCTGCATCCTCCACCCCGGCCTCGAGCCCTTCAGCACCGGCCTCGAGCCGTTATGGTTATACCCCCGTGGGATGAGGGCGGGCCGTCCGCCGGGGAGTGTAAAGTCGGTGAATCTTGTGGGGTCGTACGTCAGTCTGGGGCGTGGGGTGACTGTGAGAGAGGGGATGGGGAAGTGGGCTGGGACGGGTTCCGGCTGGTAGTTGTACTCTTCTCGTTCCTCCTCTTCCTCTCCATCGTCCTCCACCAGCTCAGGGCACTGAAGCTCGGCATGAGGACTCTTGCCATCCCCACGGATCGTCACAATCTCCTCGCCAAGCCCGGTGTGGAAGAGCATGATGTTCATGCCGGGGAGGCAGTGTTGCTCGATTGTAGGGGAGTCGGTGGACATTGGGAAGGTGATGAGGCTTCTGTTGGGGGGCATTAGAGAGGGGGTGGGTGGGATGGAGATAGGGGACCAGAGGAGGATGGAGAGATGTTAGAGAATAGTGACAGTGAGAAATGCGGCGGGTAGGGAAATAAAATAAGGCGCGAGAATGTTGGGTGACAAACCTGGTTCGGAAGGGCCGAGGCGCTATGCAGCACATCATCATATGCGTTTTCTGTGCCTATGCGTATATACAAGGCATGACCGCCTCTGCATAAGAGCAATTACTTTGACAGTGACTATTACTCCTCCTTTTGTAGAGCCGCCGCCCATCCCTCTTTAGTAGCTTTCCACAATGACGCCACATTCACTTGCGCTCGATTCACCATAGAATACATGTTGCTTTCAGAGTAATGGTATCAGACGATCATATTCTTCTCAACTTACAGCGAACGCCAGGGCCGTCACCAGCGAGGGACTTATTCGGGCATAGTAAACTGACTGGAATCTGAGATTGATCGCCCGTACCATGGCACGAGATCTTCCCCAGACATGGAAGTAAGAAGCTTCTCTTTCTTGAACGTAGGGTCATTGGTTTCTGGTCCATAGTGCCGAAACAAGTCATAGTGGCGGAACCTTTCTTCGACATGGGCGCTGGAAAGAGCTTGTATCTCGTCGGGTGTCTTTAAAGACTGCAGGAAACAAGTATAAGACATTGTTTAGCTTATGTTACAGTGGGGGGTAGACTCAGCAAGCACGCACCGCTTCCATGCCGCCACTGAGCAAAATATCACCATCAACATGACTACGAATGGGTGCGGATACGCCCCTTTCAAAGAAACAAAGCCGGCTCCTGCTCTGATGCAGTCGATATCAACTGTTGATCACGCCGAAATACATAACTGACTCTGTCTCCATGTTCAGTCGCGATAGGATGCAGCGACATCAGTCTGAATTCCTTGGACGCTTCCAGGGCCCTCTGCAAGGGGCTGGCAGGGTCTTGAACTGGGCTCTTGGATTCACGGGATTGTTCGCGGGAGGCTGGTACAGGTTGCTGCGCTGCCTGCTATACTGGAAGCGCTTCAATGGCGGAAGATCTCGTCAAAACAGGCATCTTGTGAGGTTTTGCGGAGAGGTGATGGAATCGGGGGACAGAGGATGGCGCTGAGAAGAATAGTCTGAGAATAGTGGCCAGAGTCATCGGATGATGAAGCGAGCGCGGGTTACGCCGCCTTTGTTGCGGTCCTTGTCTCGCTGCACTCGGAAGTATCAGCTTTCCGCTTTTCACTACATATAAGCTTACCCCTCACAATGACAGACAAAACAGGCTCGACAGTGCAAGGCAGGTCGATGAGCAGCTTTACCTCCTGGGGGTCCTGGATATGGGCAGTTCTACCAGTCAGGCTGCCGAGCCAAGAAGCGAAGTCCAAGCGAGGATTCAGCGGGTGATTTTGCTGGGTTCCTGCACAGAGCTGAAACGCCATTTTGCTGATAGACCCGCAGCACACCGTGACATCGCCACGCCGAACGAAAGACCGACGGCCACGACGAAGGTATCCCCATATAATGAAGGCCGAACAGCGATTGATTCTTCTCCAACCCTGCTACAACCCCTCCATCGTCATGTACATCCCCGGCACCGGACCTTCAGCTGACCTCAAGACCATCCGCATCTCCTGTGCGCCCATCAGCACGCCCCATGTTCCATCCGGTACGACCGAGATCCCTCTCGGCGATAACAGTTTGACGGCATACCTCACTGTCTCATCCGTCCTGGCTTTCGATGGAGCTCTCGACGAGAGTAAACTGGTGAAAGCTATCACTTTGCTTTCGGGGGCGTGGCCGACCTTGGCTGGTCGTTTCAAGAGCGTTGGCGAAGGTGCCGATACCAAGTTCAGCGTGAGTCGGTGATCCGAGCTGGAGCGAGGACATGAGCGTGAACCTTTCCAATTGACTCTGGATCATAGATCGAACTCACGTCCTCCCCTGTCCCCTTTGAGACACAGAGCATAGAGCGCGACCAGACATTCCCCGACAAGCTCGTCATCCAGCCAACTATAAACCCCTACATACCTCCCCTCGATCCGAGCGTTCGTTTCCCCAATACCGACAACCATCTCTTCTCCGTTCGCCTCACCACGCTTCTCCCTTCCAACAAGTCGGTCCTGGGTGTCCAGGTATCCCATCTGGGAATGGACGGGACGATGGGCCGATACCTCGTCAAGCTCCTGGACGCTCTGTACACCCACGGAGAAGCTGCTCTGCAAAGTACGGATCCCGCGGTTGTCATCCCGACGTTCTTCCCTGGTGGCGTGGTCCTCTTCCTGCCTATGATGCTTCGACGGACGGCCTGGCATCCGCTATCCCTTGGAAGGCCTTTCCAGAAGCTATCAACAGCTACATTGCCGATTCCATGACCTCTTCCAGGGTCGCCTTGCAGTTCACCAAGTCCGAGCTGCAGGTACTCAGAGACCAATATACCAGCTCGAGTCCGGGGTCAAGCTCTCGACCCAAGATGCCATCTCCGCTTGGTGGGCGACCCTGTTGAACAAGGTCGGTGTGGATGTAAAGTCTCTCGTATACGTCCTTGATGTAAGTGATACCCTCGAGAGCTTCGGTATCTGAATTGACGAGGCGATAGTATCGCAAGTGGTGTATCGGTCATCCCTCCTTCCCTCCCAACCTTCCCACTCTAGCTGCTGTTATATTTCAAATATATCCCATCGACATCTCCGCCGCTTCCACCCCAGGACAAGTCGCCAAGACCATCCGAGAGCACATATCTACGCTCCGGGCGTCCGAGAAGGACGAAGCGCTTCACTGGCTGTCTCACGCGTTTCACCACATGCACCCGTTGACCGTCAACGACCAAGCTGCAGTATTTGGAGGTGATGAGCAGTTTATGGCGGATCATAACTTTGCTGTCGTCAACTCCAACATCCGGTGAGTACCTCCATACAATCATTCCTCGCGCAGATACTGACGTATTGCAGTATTGACTGGACCTTTTCCTTCGGATTCAAAGAGCATCAAGTCTCTTACCACTCCGAGTTCACTTGTTCTCGCTTCCTTCGTGTGTTCCAAGCCAATCTTGACGAAGGGGAGGGGAAGGGAGACAAGATTGAGGTGTACTTCCATGTGCCAAACAACCAGGCTGAAAATGCGAAAGAGATTATTCAAAGTGATAGGGAGCAATGGGCCGTTGCTTTGGGAGCGTCTGTATAAGGTCGTGGTCGGGTAAATGCATATTCTGGAACCAAGAGTCAAGTATCGCGAGAGCAATTCCACCAAGTGTGAGATGATTTCGATGACAACGATAGGCTCAATGTAGATATGAGCGGACAACCAGCAGATCTATACTATCGCTGATCTTATCTACCTGTAGTACTTGGCTTCCTCGTTGATCATGTCGGAAGCGACGCAAGTATACATTTCGAGTCCTTGACAGGCGACTCTACCTCCGGCTTGATACATCCCCGTCTCTGCGCTGCCTGTGCTCCCCCGCCCGCAAACCAGTCGTGTGCGCCGATTCGTATGGCCGTGATGGGATGCATGTATATATGCTTGGAACCAATCATGAAGCACAATAGTGACAGCTACTGGAATGATCACGATCTGTTGAGACACGTAAGAGGCTACCGGAGACGACACGATGTTGAGGTCAAAGCCGAGCGTGTGCCGAAGAGTCATCGGGCAAGCTTAACCCCCGAGGTCAGAGCCCCTGCAAGTGCACCGAGCATCGCATATGCGTTGCGTAGCTCCTCATTAGCAGCTCCGTACACATACTTCACGACAGCGCCCCGCCGGAAGCCCGCCGCTGGCCGCAGCATCGGCGACACCATGTGCGCCTCCTTGCGTGCGTTTATAAGTAATGGGAAGCCCAAACAGCAACCCGCATCTTCTCAAACCTCTTTCTCGCCATGTCTTTTCTCTCACCAGAATCTGAGGCTAGTATCAAAGCCAGAATCAAGACCACACTCGTCCCCTGCTCGTCCATTAACACCCCTCATGTCCCGCCAGGCACCACCGAAATCCCGGTCAGCGATCTCGGCTTGATGGCATACTTCACAGTCCCAGCCGTGCTGGTGTTCGACGGCCTCATCGACAAGATGAAGATAATCAGAGCTATAGAGCTACTCACTGGGGTATGGCCCACGTTGGCCGGTCGTTATAAGAGCGTTGGTGAAGGTGACAAGACCAAGTTCAGTGTGAGTCGGGCATCCGAGCTAGGCGTTTCTGAAACGGCTAACTTTGAAATAGATCGAGCTGACCCGCTCCCCTATCCCATTCGAGACCCAGACATTAGAGCGTGACCGTGCTTTTTCCGACGACTATGTCCTTCAACCCACACTTGATCCCTACCTACCGCCCATGGGTTCGAACATCCGCTATCCCAACACCGATAATTATCTCTTCGCCGTCCGCCTCACCACCCTCATGCCTGCTAACAAGTCCGTCCTCGGTATACAGCTTTGCCATCTGGCAACGGACGCGACCGTGGGCAGGAATCTGCTCAAGCTCTTCGACGCCTTGCACACTCACGGCGAAGCTGCTCTTGACAGTTCCGATCCAGAGGTCATGATGCCGACGTTCTTCCCCGTCAGCGGTGTGGACCCTTTGCCAGCGAGTGAACAAAATTTGACCGACGACGAGGCTTTTGGTTTCCCGAGCAAGCCCTTCCCGAAATCGATCCAGAGCTACGTCGCAGACGCCACGACCTCGTCCAGGGTCGCTTTGCGGTTCACCAAGTCCGAGCTGCAGGCTCTCAGAGACCAGTATCAACTTGACTCTGCAGTAAAGCTCTCGACCCAGGATGCTCTTTCTGCTTGGTGGGTGTCGCTGCTCAACAATGTGGGCGTGAACGTAGAGACCCTTGTTTATCTCCTTGAAGTGAGTCTTGATTTGAAAAGATCAGCTTGATTCGACGTACTGATACAAGCCAACAGTTCCGCAAATGGTGCATCGGCCATCCCTCCTTCCCTCCCAACCTTCCCTCCTTGGCCGCCGTCGTCTTGTCAGTAACTCCTATCGATATCTCTGCTGTCACAACCCCAGGTCGTGTCGCACAAGCAATCCGCGAGCACATCACCAAACTCCGCTCTTCTGAGAACGACGAAGCTCTCCACTGGATCTCGCGCACTGCTCGCCACCTGTATGAGTTGGCGATTCAGGATCGTGATATGGTATTTCCCGGAGATGAGGAGGATCAGAGTGCCAAGTATGCTATTGTCAACTCCAACATCCGGTGAGCCTTTGTCTTGATGATTCTGGCCGATTACTGACAATGATCGCAGTATCGACTGGTCCTTTTCCTTTGGCTTCAAAGAGCATCAGGTCTCGTATCATACCGAACCTACTTGTTCTCGTTATCTCCGAGTTTATCAAGCCAATCTTCAAGAAGGGGACGAGAAGGGCGACAAGGTTGAGGTATACTTTCACGTGCCGAACGAGCAAGCCGAGAAGGCGAGAGAGATCGTCCAATGCGATCGGGCAAAGTGGGCCGCTGCTCAACTTGCGTGAGGTCGTTGTGTACATGGTATAGATCAAGGATGGTGTTCAATGCAATGACTTGTTCTGCATCCGCAATAAGAGGCATCCGCAATAAGAGGACTGACCTTCCATGACCCTCTTTAAAATCCTTATGCCCCAAGCGATGCGACGAGCGGCCGATGAAAGGAGAGGTACTGGAGTCTAGCGAAGGTATCAGCGTGCATGTAAAGATCTTCAAGGCAAGGAAAGATAGACGACAGGAAGGATGGAACCTGACCGATTCCGGGCGGGCTTCGCGGTATGCTGACATACACGGCCGCCAGTCCCATCCTACTTGCACAAAGTTGAGAGAATCTGACACCTGTGCGGGGGCTGCCGCTTGATGACGTGAACAAGATCAAACACGTTGTTTGCTGTCGGCTGTCCGTTTGTCGGGTTCTCAGGTCTTTAGTCTGGACAGGTTACTTAACCACTTCGTCAAGAGCGCGTACCAGACTTGGTTTACAAAGTTTGGAATGATGCGCCCATCACAAATGTGAGTAGAGCTATTGTTGCTGAGCTAGTAGCTCTGGGAAGAGGTATTTATCGATGACGCCTGCACCTCATTGCTGTTCTCCTCTCGTCACGGGGTGCTAGAACGTCATAGCTTACAGCTCTACTAGTTTCCGTATGTATATTTGGTCGAGGGTGAAGCACCAGACGGCATTGCATCAGGAAGGAGGCTATTTTTCACCCCGCTCAAGGCGAACCTGCCCTTCCTCCTCACTTTGTCCCCAGCCCAGCACGCGATGATCACGCCAAATACTTGACCGGAACGACACCCTATGCCCCAAGCCTCCAGACCTCATGGCCAAGCACTTCCTCACCTGCCCTCTGACCTCTGGCCTCTTCCCAAACTTTCCTATATCACACCCAACGCCACCCTCCTCGAACCTCGTTCCGTCCAACTGAAGCCTATCCACTCGGAAAAGGGATGGTCTTCTGATCTTGTGGCTTGATCCGACCTAGGTTTCTCGGCTTTTTGTTTGTTCGGAAATGCTTAATGACCTCTCGGAACTCGGAGAAAGTCTAGCCTAGTAGCAAGTTGATCGATGATGGTGCCATGAATCAATCCCCAAGACGATCTCACAAACTGGCCGCTCAGGCAGAAGTGGGCATCTCATCGCATGCTCTCCTCGTCCCGTCTTCCCCACCCTGGCCTCGCTCCTTCAGTATCAGGGGGTGGCGTTTTTTGAGGTGACATGCCGCTTTGGCCTCCATCCATCAGGCTTTCAAACCTTCTTGGGCCGCCGTTCTCGCCACTACCGCCATGCGTTTACTTGATCGAGATCTGGACTGTCAGTCACATTGACCCCTGCACCCCCAGCCTAGGGTATACCGAGTCGACCGACGCGAATGATGATGATGGTGGGCTGTCGCTGGCATCACCAGGTCGGCCGGCGTGTCTCGTCTTTTGTTGATGAATAGCTGCTTTTTGGTACTGATCGTGACTGGAGCTTAGTCGGCTCAGACGGGATCATGAGACACTGCATAGAAATCCTAGCTCCAGCATCAGATCAAATCACCAATCACAAGTCCATCCCCTGCAACTCCATGAGCCAACCTGTCGATCAACGACGAGCCCTCGAACAACGGTCTATACCTCGATGGAATTGAGCTGATTCTCGTCTGCTCCTTCATCTGCTGGGGAGTACGAGTCGATCGATCATGCAAAACCTCTTCATCCTTCGCCTCGAGAGCCAGCTCATAACCGTCCATGACCTGTCGTCGACGCAATGGCCACCATCAACGCCGACATCTCCATCCACGGATCCACGGAGGAGGGAATACGCAAGCTTGATGGTTGAGGAGATAATCACCTCGCCCCAAGATCCTCATCATCAGATACCTGCCTGCTGCTGATGACTCTACTCCAAGTACCCAAGCACCAAAAGAGCTTCAAGTCGACTGACCGACTGACTGGCTGTTGACTTTTGATTTGCGACTGCTGTATGGCAGGGGTTGCTTTTTTTGAGAGTGGCATGTAAGGACGATCGTATGGAAATGCCTCAACGCTGTCTTTTGGGGAAAAGCGACGCAAGCAAGCTACTATGGGGGATGTGGGTATATAACTGAGATGTTGATGCCTCGCCACTTTCATTGTTCACCACCGCTTATCATCCAAACTTGTTCATGATGTCTCAGCAAGGCACCACGTACGCCTCTCTCCACCCCAATTCCTTGGAACAAGAAGAGATGGATGCTGATAACGCCTATTAATAGCCCATCTTCTTACCCTCTCACTGCCCTTGTCCAACCTCGCGCGGAAAAATCATCCGCCGACGTACCCAAGAGGGACGCTACGTTGATCGAGAGGATTAGCGGAAATAACTCACGTCATCAGACTTGTACGTCTTCTTTCTGTGATTCCTTCTTTCTAGATCACTTGGCTGACTGAAGCTGGGGGTGTAGATTCCGAGTCCAAAGACGATGTCCCCTTCCCAGTCCCCAGCGCCTCCACCAACAACCCTAGGGGCAAACCCAGCCCCAACCCCAGCCCCAGCGCCTCTTCGCCGAGCCTTAACCCCCCACCCCACCCCGCCCCCAGAGACACAGACAGCAGCCCAACTTTCGCATCATGGCGCTCATTCCTCAACATCTACGACAATGACACCAGCCCGCCCCTCACGCCCGTGCCTACCTCCTCCCCCGTGCTTTTTCCTCCAAGTACGTCGCCTTCATCTTCGGCTGCGGCGGCTTATGAGGTGCTGTCCATCCCGGCGCTGGGGAGGAGGCTGACAGACGCGAAGGCGGGGGAGGCGGAGGAGGGGTATTCGGAATGTCTCGGTGCGCAGAGGCAGAGGGGGGGTTGGGGAATGCCTGCCATGCGGGTTAAAGATGAGGAGGAAGAGAGGAAGGAGGGAGAAGGCGGGGAGGATGATACGCCGGGAGAGGAGAAGGATGATCCGTTTAGTTGTGTGCGGCTTGAGCGTGGGGGGTTGGGGTCGCTTGGGGTGGAGGGGGAGGGATATGAGGATTATGAGAGTGATGGTGGGGAGGAGCCGCGACAGCCTGGGTCTGGGAGTGGCTCTGGCTCTGGCTTTGGATCAGAGTCTGAGGAGGCAGAGTCTGAGGCAGAGTATGAGAACGAAGAAGACAACGACGGCAAAGACAGCGACAAAGACAAGTCCAAAGAAGAAGAAGAAGACGACGACGACGAAGACCTCTACAACTTTGCCCCCCGCCGTCCACCCCTCGCCCCCAAAGTCTCGAGCTTCAACCACACGAACCGTTACCGCTTCTTTGGCCATATCAACTGTCCCGCTTTTCCCCGCCCTCCGCCGGCGTCGCCGAGGAAAATTAAGACGGTGATGGTGCCGGGGAGAACGATGCCGGAGAGAGCTTATTCTGTACCCACCATGCCGGGGGGGTATGGGACGAAAGTGCCGAGCAAGCTTTCGGGCTCTGTCGTGGGCGAAGGTGACCCAAACCCAAACCCCGACCGCCCTCACCCATTCCCCCAACCCACGCCCCAACCCCCACCAGGCCCGCGGCGCTCCAACACATTCTCAACCGCCCCCTGCTACAACGGCCTCAAACAAGGGCACGGCGCGCGCACGCAGATCATCATGAACAAGGCGGATGATCAGACGGGCTTGGCGTTTGGGATGTTGAAGGTGGTGGAGCAGAGGAGGGAGTGGGCGCCTGTGAGGCAGCCGGAGAGGTGGGTTTTGAGGGGGGAGTTTAGGGCGGGGGGGTTGAAAGAACTGGATGGGCATGACCATGGGCAGCACGGGCAGCACGGGCACGGCGGGCAGCATCATCACCATCATCATGGGAAGAAGTTGGTCGAAGGTCAATCATAAACCTGGGCGGTGTCTGTGCAGAAGAGAGAGGATATCTGAAATTATTAAATGATTGGGTGACAATGGGGCTTGTACTATAGGCCTTGTACTATACCTCGAAAGAGCTCCAGTATCATTGAGTGACTTTGACGAGTAGGCAGAAACGAAACGACTATCTACGTATTATCAGAAACGAGACGGCCCGACTCATGCACTTGTATCTATGATCTTACAGCTCTCCGGCATCTAAATACTTATACATATGTCCAGCGGAGTGCAGAGACCAGTCAAGCCAATCGTTTGCGCCCGCAAATCACAGCGGCTGTTTGCCTTTGCAAGGCCCAGTCGCGACGCGTCGGTCCCTTCCCCTCTATATTCTGTAGTCGTTAGCGCGTTCTCATGCTCGGCGTGATGAAGACCAACAATGCCACACTGTCCAAGACGTTTTAGAATCATTCCTCGGGCGAAATGAGATGGAAGAAGGAGACGACGTTGATCATGTTCTAGCCCCGATTTAAGGCTGTTTCGGTACCATCGTCGGAGGAAGCTCAATTGCATCCATCTCCTTCACGTGTCTCCTTCAACAGCACTCCAAGCAAGGCCCGGTGTGCACTGAGGGATGTTGCATGCCAGGGGGAAAGGGTGCATGCATGCGACAGGAAAAGGCAAGAGCGGGCGTGAAAGACGCGTGGACGCGTGAGCGTCTGTGGGCCTGGAAGGGTTTTTGCGGGACCCTGAAAGCAAAAGCACTGCGGTCTGGACTCTGGGCGCTGCAGCTGGAGATTGGGAGGGTACGTATCCATTTCTCTGCTGCATCTCCATCTCCACCATACTCTATATCCCACCCGGGCAGGACCCCGCCATATATACACGGTCTCGACGACACTTTCCCAGCGACGGATAAACGCGCAACGCACCTCACGACGCATTGTCCCTTCCCATCCTACTCTCTATTCTCCATCTCTATCTCCTCTCTCGACCCATACGCCACACGCAGCCGCCGTCCTTTCACCCCCATCCAAGCCAATCCCCCAGCTCCTTTCGCCACTTCCTTTGCTACCACCCATAGTCTGAAAAAATCAAACTCGAAACGAAACGCTACTCGACGACGCCATATCCAGACCACACACCTTCATTCCACCCACTGTCTCTACTCTCATCAACGGCTGGCCCGTACGCCCACTATGCTCCCCCATCCCCATGACATCTTTCCCAGGCTGGACAAGCGAGACGACTGTGTTACTTGCAACAGTACCACCCCGACTTGCAACTGTTCATCGGGCGAGAAGTGTGTCCTTACATCAAGGTATGTCTTTCTGCTTCTCTACGAGTGATACTGACGGGTATCAAGGACGTGCAACCAATGCCCGACTATCCAATGCATCAAATCCGCATCCAGCAGCTCTGGGTCGAGTGTGAATGCGGGTGTCATTGCGGGGCCGGTGGTCGCTGTGCTGGTGATTGCCAGTCTGGGCTTGTTCTGGTGGCTGAGGCGCAAGAAGGTGAGCCTCTACCTTCCTCCAGGGGTACGAACCTGACTCGGTACAGAGACGCGACATGAAGCGTGTCGAAGGCCTCGCCGACCGCGCCCGCAAAGCAGAATCAGCAGGCTTCCAACTATCACCCTCCCGCTCGCCTCCTCCTTCTACCAACCCCAGCTCTTCCTTCCCCCTCCCACCACCCTCTGCTTCACGCCGATCTCCTCTGCCACCCGCACCTGTCAACGCAGAGTACTATGACCAGAACGGCTCGACCATCCGCGTCTACTCGAACAATGGCACGATCAACGCCGACCCCAACGGGGATCCCTTCTCAGACAGGCAGAGCATCTCCACGATGGGCAGCGGCGGCACGGCAAACATCATTCCTATCCAGTACATCCCGCCCTCCGAGTCGAAGGATGGCCTGTCGAAAGTGGCGTCAAAGGACAATGGCGAAACGGCTCAAAGCGCTGCGGCGAGACTCGACCAAGCGAGGCAAAACCTTTCCAAACTCGGTGCTCCTTCCCGTCCAGCCCGAAGCCCCGACCTCGACCTCCGGCTCACCCCGCCCAACGCGCCCTCGGCGTTCGACCCCGGCGCGCTCCGCTCCCCCGGCGCAGGCTCAGGCAACGGCAACGGCAACTGGCGCGACTCGTACTTGTCTGGCAACTCTGCTGCGCCGTCGTACTTTTCGGGGCAGTCGGATTTCCAGCTGGATCAGCCCAAGATTGTTACGAGCAGGCAGGTGCAGGTGGGCAGGCTGCAGCAGGCGGAGGTCGTCAACTTGAGGGCGGGGGCGAGGGAAGGTGTGTTGAGTCCAGTGAGGGACGAAGAAGATCCATTCGACCGTACGCCGCCAGCCCCCGGCCTCTCCCCTTCCGACGCTTCCTTCCGCTCCACAGGCGAGCGTACCCTCACACCAACCAACCGCAAATTCGGCGCCTCTGCCTCTGCCTCCCCCACCACCGCCACCGCCAACGGCCAAGAAGAACGCCTCGACGCCATGTCGGAAGGCTCCTCTGGCGACTTGCGGTTCTCGATGGGCAGCCTGGACTATCGGACCAGCGTGAGCACGATGGGCACGAGTCGGTACCTCGCTTCTGCCGTTACCGTCCCCGTCCTCGGGCGCGCCACCCCAGCCCCAGCGACGGCTACGACACCCAACTCTGCTTTCCCCGATTCCGCCACCACCCCGCTTCCCACCGCTTCCGCCGCTTCCCCGTTACCTTCTGCTTTGCCGTCGTCGCAGTACAACTCGCGCGGCAGCGGCAGCGGTAGCGGGACGGGGATGGCGACGGGGGATACGAGAGGGTCGGTACTGTCGAGTAAGAGCTTTGCGGATTCGTTCCTCGGGGCGTTCCCTATGATACCGCCAGACCAACAACGGCCGCCTGTGCCGAGCGTCGTCTCAAGGGGAACTACTTCTTCTCCCCTTTCTCCCCTCTCATCATCGACGTCAGCGTCACAAGCGCAGGGGCAGGGGCAGGGGCAGGGGAATGTAGAATTGATCTCTCGCCCGCCTATAGCTTATCGTCCGCCCCCGCCCGGTCCGAGACCACCTTCCTCCGCCCGGGGGTCTGGGATGGAACGCCCGAGCTTGGATGATGAACGCGCAGGGAGGAAGAGACCAGAGACGCAAGATAGTTTTTTGGGCACGTTCCCGTTCGTACCGCCGAATATGGATGATTTGGCGGGGATGCCGGAGGCTGCTGGGTCGCCTGTAAGGGCATCTGGGGCTGTGGCTGGGGAAGGAAAGAAGTAAGGGGAAGGGGCAGGGGAAGGGGATGGTGGGGCTGGGGGGTTTGATTTTTTGGGACTTTTTTTGGCAAGCGGGAGGCGAACGGGAATAGGGGAAGGGAAGGCAGGAGGCAGTAGACAGGGGAAAGGGGAGTGATGCTTTTCTTTAACGACCGTTGACACATTTTCACGACCTCACCATCGACTATACGCACATACATATATATATATACGCTTTGAGCAACAAACCACCTTCGAGATGATTCTACATGTGTGATTGTAACTTTTGCCTCTCTCATTCTCTCGCTTTCGCTTTCGCTCCATGGATGTGCCTTTTCTACTGGGAAAATCTCTTTTGGGGAGTTCGAGAGTCGAGTATTGGTCAAACGGAGACTAGCATGGACCGCCTTCCTCGCTTTCAGAGGTGTGTTACACTTTTTGAAGAGATCTGTCAAAAGGAACCAATGCAAGCATTGTCGGAGTCGGACGTCAGGTGACTGATGCGACACGGCTAGAAGGAAGATGATGGCGAGGGGGATGGAGACGGAGGGACGATCCATGCCACTCACTAAAGCTGGTTTCTTTTCAGCCATAGGGTCAGTAAGGCTGTGCCGGACCGTGTGGGCGGTGGAAGGTAGATGCAGATGCGGGGAGCCGTGATAGACGACAGTAGTCCGAAAACCCAAAGGGGACGGGGGTTATAAACTAGAAAACAGTGCAGCGAGGGTCTGTCGGCCTTCCGAATCCCGTAGGACGGAAATCACATCAAGGCATGTGTCTTTGCCTCGCACCTATTGCATTGCATTGTCAGAAGTGCATGTCGCATGTGGTTCTCGGATCTTCATGTTCTTAAATGTCCCTAGCACCGCATGATGCTGGACTCTTGGGTCTAGAACGAGAATGTTTACGGGCGCTTGGTGGCTAGTCATTGAAAAAGAACTGATTATGGAGACGGCTTTCTCATATTCGGCCATGATTTTCCGAGCTTCTTGGGTGATTGGATCCATCTATAAGATGCACTGCTTCTAGTGTAAACTGACAGAGTCTATTGAGGCCCTTCTAGCATCCGAAGTAATGCAACATGGAACAATCAGGTCTCACGGGCTCGTCGGTCTCGCAGAAGCAACGAGGCATTTCATCGCATGCCTCCTGCACCGCCCCAACATCATTCGTACTCTATCCTGGCGGGCGACTTCTTCCCCATCACACCTTGGGAGCGCGCATCATACGAGCCTCGGCGTATTGGAACGGATATCGGGGCCAGGCGGATCTTTGAATGCGGAAAGAGGGTGATGGCAAGGCGGGCATGGCAGGGCGGAAACCGCTGGGCTGTTTTGTGAATAAAAGGGAAGGATGGAACTCTTATTTCGTTCCATTACCCAGCATCTTTTCCATCACCCACTACTTCATCTCATCTTAACAACAAATCGCGTCGTCGACATGCAGTTCCTCACAGCCTTCACCATCCTTACTCTTCTTTCGGGCAGTGCTTTGGCCAACCTCATCAGCAAGCGTGCTACTGCAGAGGTCAGTATCTTTCAGATCCGTTTCGGCATGGACCTTGCTGATATATTGAGCTGCCTCAGGTCATCAACAACTGCAACCAGGACGGCACAGTCGCTTTGACCTATGACGGTACGCTCTCGTGCTTCATTCCGAGCTCGGCGTTCCGTGAGGCTGACAGAATCGCAGACGGTCCTTACAACTATGAGCAAGACATCATGAGCGCTCTCGATGGAAACAAGGGCACCTTCTTCTACAACGTACGGTATCCGTCTCTCCGCTATGAGAATTGTAGCTGACAAGATGTACAGGGAAACAACTACGACTGTATCTACAACCGCGCTGACGACATCAAGGCGGTTTACAACGCCGGGCACACTATCGGCTCGCACACTTGGTCTCATTCCGATGTGACCACGTTGAGCGACTCTGACTTGAACTCTGGTACGTCTATCTCGATATTGATAGTGATGAAGAGAAGCTGACGAACGGAGATAGAACTGTCCAAGGTTGAAGATGCTTTCGTCAAGATTCTCGGTGTCAAGCCCAAGTACTTCCGACCTCCCTATGGCAACATCAACGACCAAGCGCTTCAGGTTCTCGCCGACCGAGGTTACACCAGTGAGTCATACTCTCATAGCGCGTTTGCCATACTCGTACTGATGATAAATTAGAGGTCTTCTTGTGGTCCGATGACACGGAGGACTCGCTTGGTGCTGGTGCTGCCAAGGGCGAGGAGGTGCTTCACGGTGTGGCTGGTACTTCCCTTTTCCCTTATCGTATTTCACATCCATCGCTGACAAGCTATCATAGCCGATTACCCCAACCCCCACCTCGTTCTGTCTCACTCTACTTACCAACAGAGTACGTTCCCCTGAGCCCCTTCAATAGGGACATCCGTACTGATTCAAATGTTCAGACCCTGACACCGTCATTCCCCACTCTATCCCCAAGCTCGAGGCCGCGGGGTACAAGATTGTCACTGTCGGGGAATGCCTTGGCACGGATGAGTCGCCTTACGAGTACGTCGGCGAGCCTCAGTCGAACGATGGGTCTTGGACTTGTTAGAAGGTTGTTTCGGACCATAATGGGTCAGGGTTATAATATGGAAGATGGTGGGAGGAAAGAGGCGTTCATGGAGCTGCTATGAACTGGATGTCCGAAATGATGTGAACAGTCAATTGGACAAATGATGTATCATATTAAAAACGCTGCGGGTGTCTCTGCTTTGGCACAATCGCCAGGTCACGATAGATGACGCTTGGTGAGATTTATGTAATGAAGCAGTGTCCACATACGCGTCTTGCATAGCGTACTTATATCATATACCATAGAGGTGCAACCTCAGCAACAGCCATGCGATGACGGAATACGCCGCTGTGTATATGCGGGAAGAAGTCAACAGTTTTTTCTTCTGCCCCACCAAGCTTCGACTCAAACCTTCACCTATTCATCGACAGCACAATGGGCACCCGTGGTCTCATCGGCTACATCCTCCGCAACAAACAGCGCAAGGCCATGTACAACCAATTCGACTCCTATCCCGAGGGCCAAGGCCACGACATTGCCCAATTCATCTCCCGCCTTTCTCCCGAGCAGAGCAAAGAGATGGCTGATAAAGTGGAGAAGATTGAGGTAATTACATCCTGCCAGGTATATGGTGCATCGCTCACAAAATCGCAGTGGATCGAAGACGAGACTGCGATCATCCCCGAGGATATCAAAGAACGCTACTTGGCCGTCGACGGCGGGATCTGGAGATATCAGTTCCCATACGGCGGTCCTGAGCACTGGTTCAACGAACGCCATTTCAAAGGTCTGTCCGAAGCCGCCAAGAGGGAAAAGATTGAACGGGAGAAGGAGCAGGCCGCAAAGTTGTTGGCAATGAAAGCCAGCTGCGGTCACGACGACGGTCCATTTGCGTACGAGCCAATGGACACTTGGTCCGACGTGTTGGTGGGGGCACAGGGAGCAAGGGCGCTGCCATTCATTCAAGAAGGAAAGCTCAGCCATCTGATTGACTCTAGTGCGTTGACTGTCCCCCCTGTTTATCATTGTGCTGACTTGTAGCCTGATAGTAACCTTCATGACGGACGGCAGCCTTTGTGAATGGGAATACTTTATCGATTTTCACAATGAAAAACTCGAAGTATGGGCCGGAGAGCTGTTGAGAGAGATATCGTTTGACACATTGCGAGCGGATCCAGAGTATATGCTCAAGGGCGGTTGGAGTGATGAAGACGATGAGGAGTAGAGGAGGCCTGGAGAAGATGGGTAGCATCGGTACTAGTGTCATGTGCTCGTCGACTTATGCATCGGTACAAGGCCTTTGCATAAGTTCGTGTACAGCGTTCTACGCAGGCGTCACCACAGCCTCATCCGCCCTCGTCGCAACTGACAAGTCCATAAACATCCTGGACTCCCACTCTTCCTCTCTCGCCCTCTTTGACGCGTCTGCAGTTACAAGGAACTGTACTTCTGCGAAGGTATTCATATCCTTATGCCGGATTGTCACGTAGCTAAAGTTGTCAGCAGCCGCAGGCCTCGTCACCCTCTTTGCAGCAGGAAAGTAGCTCGCATCCAAGCTGAAAGACGTCCTTCCTCCGGATTGGTCCGTACGGACAAGCACAATCGGTTTTTCGAACTCTACCCATTCCCCAAGTGGCTCCCCGTCCTCATGCACATCATTACCTTACATCGTTTCGTACTCGATATGATCCATCCGGTCTTTGTCAGAAGGCAGGTCAGAGATGATTTCCATATACTCTTTTGTCACGTAGATATCGTCCCCACGGATGAGAGGGCCGTCCGTTGCCATGGTGCGGTTGTTCCGCACTGGGTGGAAGCAGGTCACTTCAGTAAGAAGTGGTTCGCGTCCAGGACTGGCGGAGGTGATGACATTGACCCGGCGAGAGCCATCCTCTTCTCGCTCGACTGTATATTCAGCTTGCGCATCGTCGGGCGGTATGACAAACTCGATCCATGTGATGGCCTGCTGCTCTGGATCGATCGCCTGTGTATACTCTGTATCTGCGCCCGTATCCAGGGCTGATGCTGAAGGGATAGGCCGATTCAACGTCAAGTGCATTCTCCGAGGATGATAATGCACCCTCGTATCGCAGATGGCACCCATGACCCTCTTCTCGTCGTCCTCAGTGAGATCGTTGAGTGGGTAAGGTTGAAAGCTCCAGCCTTCGGGCTCGCCGTTGTCGAAGTCGGTCATGCCGACACCGCCGAGGACAGAGCCAGTGGACATGCCGTGGAATAGCCCGGGGATAGCATCGGCCGGGAGTCTTTCTTCTAAACCTGGGCTTTGGGCGGCTTCTGACATGGTGTATACCTTGGGGAAAGGTCAGCTCAAGTGAGGAAAATAGATTGTGTGGTATCAGGCTTATGTGTACTGCAGCAGTCGGAGTATCTATACATCACTGCCAACTTACATTCACAAGCGGCGGAGATCTCTTTTTGGGAAGTGCGGTGAAAAGTCCGTTATGCGGAGCGTCCTTGCACCGTGTCCAGCTTGGATATCCCGCTGCACAGCAATGGCAAGTACATGACGGAAATTGCCCCACTGCATTCGAGATTGTCGTACTGGGCTTGAGGAAAGAGATACAAGCGCGGCTGGAAAACAGATGTCCCCAGTAGATACGCAGAAGGGCTTCGAGACGAAAGAAAGGAATATTGACAGCTAGCCTTCCTATTATGACGCTCGATTGTACCATGTCCAGATCAAGCCCATCAAGCGCCCCAAGGCCTCCAAGGTCCACAAGTAAACACTCCTTCAACATCCCACCACCCTCTTACCTGCCCGAATGCCCGGGAAAGGAAGCGAGCTATGTACGATCAAGGCCCCGAAATCCAAGAAAAAGGACCCCGAAGAGGATTCCCCGACAAGGCGATCGTAAGGCGATGGTAGATCGTAGTACATGCGCGCATACTCGCAAATCAGACGTTCCGTGGCACCCCAGGAACGCCACTGTTGAACGACACCAAATAACAGCAGCAGGGTTCTGGTCTGTGCCGAGGATCGCGGTGTGTTTGCCCTGATGCACACTGCAGGGTGCGAGCACATGGGCAAGTGCCATTCGTCATATGTACACATCTGGTATGTTTGAGCGTCTGAGCGTCTGAGCGTGGTGTTTCAGTAACGCCCTAAATCCCCTGGATGGAGTCGTTTTGGCGGGCGTTGCCTTGGTATTTGCCGATGGCGTCTTTGTGATTTGTCATTGACTCTTTGCAGTCGAATCTGGTTGATCTGGTAGTCCTTTCGAAAGGGCGCTATTAACTTTGTGGGCTTGTTGGGCACAGGCGGACAAAGAGGAGACGAGGTGGGTACCATATGCTTGGCCTGGTGGTATTTGCACTTCCGTCGACAAAGTCCTGTATATTCCGAGACCTGTACGCCGTGCTGCAATTAGTCCAGATGCATGGGTATCCTTCGTAGACCGCGAGCCTCATGGGTCTCTTGCATCCTGGCCCTCCCTTACCCCAGTGGCTTACGACGTGCACCTCGCGCTGCCATCAAACGCTGATCACCCGTCCTCCTTTGAGCGATGCGATCGAAGCACTACTGGATCCGAAGTGTCCGTACGTCCACCTGATTCCCGACGATCCCGACGAGGATAGCTGCTCTCAGCTCAAGACATTTCCCGAAGAGGAGTGAGCAGGGGAGATGATGTGCCGGTGAATGGGCTAGCAGCGCGTGGTGAGGAATGAAACGTTTGTGAGGGGGGTGGCTGGCACCCTTGACCCGTCGCCGTCGGGAGGGGTACGTAAGTGTGGAGAGGCTGGTGGTGTGTGCTTCTCTGCAATAGTAGATTGCAATGTTTCCTCTTCTCATCTCTTTCGTTCTTCTCGTCCTTCTTTTTCCTAAAAGGATACAATCTTCTTTCATAACCAAGGATACAACCTTCTCGACCAGTAAAGGAAACGGTCTTCTAATCCCTAACACTATACCTTATATACCCCTCCGCCACCACTCTTCTCTATCCACACTCAGCACCATGCAATACGACAACTCTGACAACCCCGCCACCCCCCGCTCCCCTTCGCCTTCCCCCTCTCCCTCCCCTATCCCAGGCCCGATGTGCATAGCAGTCACCGGCGCCCTAGGCCTCGTCGGCGTCCAACTCTGCCACCACCTCCTCTCCCTCCACCACTCCGTCGTCGCCATCGACGTCCTTCCCGCTTCTGCCCCGCAACACCAGATCGATCCGTTGAATACCAAGGGGTACAAGTACGTCCAAGGCTCGGCGGAAGGTATCGATGGGTATAGAGAGGCGTGTCGGGGGTGTACGGGTATAGTGCATTTGGCGGCGGTTTATACGCGGAGGGAGAGGCCGGTGCCGGACTATGTGAGTGCTGTTCATGTGATGTAGAGGCTGGTCTGGGGTGCATGTGCTGGGGAGGCCAGAGGGTGTAGGGCTTGGCGTCAAAGATGGACGATTTGCATGTCGCGCTCCATTCTCCTTGATGTTTGGTTCCTTCTTTTGCCCTTCTCTGCTTCGCCCTCCCTAAAGTATACAGCTGACTCTGTATACAGCGCATCCACAATGCCAACGTCGCCATGTCCTACAATACCCTCTGCATCGCTGTCGAGCTGGGAATCAACCGTGTCGTCTTGGCGAGTAGTGTCAATGCTATGGGCATGTGTGAGCACTCTACACCTCCTGTTTACCGAATACAGAGCTGAAAAGAAGGAAAGTATATTGCAATAGACCGAAGTTCCACTACCTGCCCCTGGATGAAGACCACCCATGCCGTCCCGAAGAGCCCTACTCTGTCAGCAAATAGTACGCCCCCTTTCTTCCCTTTCCTCTCTCCTTCGAGCACATAACTAACCCTCTCCCAGCCTAAGCGAGCTCCAAGCCGACTCCTTCATCCGCCACTACCCCTCCTCCCCCCTCCGCATCGCCTCCCTCCGCCTGCACGGCGTCGTCCCCTCCCACCTCTGCACCCCCGCCTCCCTGCACGAGCTCGGCGGCGCGTGGAAAGACCTCTGGGGGTGGGTGTCCAACCCCGGTGTGGCGCGCGCTTGCGAGCTCGCGCTCACGGTTAGGGAGGATTCTTTCCCGGCGGGGCGGCATGAGGTGTTTTTCATTGTGGCGCCGACAATTTGTCAGCAGCGGTCGACGCAGGGGCTTTTGGAAGAGTTTTATGAGGAGTATAAGACGGAGGAGGGGAGGGGGACGATAAGGGGGGAGAGGAGGGAGGGGAGGGGCATGCAGGGCAATGAAGGGTTGTTTGATTGTGGGAAGGCGGAGAGGATGTTGGGCTGGGTGGAGGAGGGGTTTCCGCTGGGGAGTTGAGGTGGGAGTGGCTGGGTAAAGTGCGGGTGGGGAGGAAGGCATGAGTGTTTGAGAAGGCTGGGGATGGCGATGTTATAGCGGCGCCGAAAAGTCAGAGAAGATAGTAAACTTAATGTTCGTACAAGCAGCGTAACTTTACCAATATATGTATAACCCACTAAATTAAGGTTGACATACACATATCAACCCATGCTGGCACAAACAAGAGTGCATTCAAGCAAAAGTCGAGAAAGAGAACAAGAAAAGAGACCTCCAAACCGACCAAAAACCGACAAAAAGGAAGAGAGTTTGGTAAACGATCGTCGTTTTGGTTCCGTCAACCTAGGGCCTGATTCCGATACGGTCATCCAAATAAGCATAGGGATGATCACCTTTTTACTTTCAAGCTTCACCTGCCGAGGGTTGCCGGAGTAATGCGTCGGAGTGCTCGGGGTACTCGGAGGACATATGGGGTGTGATGTAACCTCGACGCTTCGAGACCCTCAATGCTCAAGGTTTCAAGGTGCACAAAGCGATGATGAAGAAGGGTACAGAGGTATTGATTGGTACGGCCGGTACGCAAACGGCGAAAGACGGCTTTACCTCTTTTTTTGAGTCTATGTATGGTTCGTCAGTGGGCCAGGCCGAGTTGCTTACTCTTGAACCTTTTGGGAGATACGAGTGGTATCACGTTGTTGAAGACTCTCCTTCGCGATTTGCGCTGAACTGGTGATATGGCTAGATCGCGAGTGAACATATGTACGTAGATAGAGAGCAGTCCTGGGGCTTGTACCGACCGCTCTGGAGCTGATACAGATGCTTTGAAAACTTGTTTTGGGGGGCACATCAATGGAAGGGTGGTGAGTTTGTCATGGAGGGCAGTGCGATCATTCTTGGTTTACAGACCCAGCAGCTCTATCAGCAGAATGGTCATTCAACATACCTTCCCGCCCTATCGCGTACAATGATTGTATCACTTGTCGAGCTGGTGTACATAGTGAGAGCAGGCGGGGGGTATGACAGTACTCAAACTCGGTCTCCATTCTCCATCCCCCCTGGCACCCTGCCCTTGAAGGCCTTGATGGATCATGGACCTAGGTCTACACACTCGAGGGCTCGAGGGACGGTTATGGACGTGATGTTGAAGGATGTATGAACTGCGGCCCAGGCCATTTGCTCTACCTGGGGTCAAACATCTACTTTGCACCCATGTATACTGTCGTCCGTCGCGCCTGTCTCAGACGCATCTGTGCCCTGCTCTTTCTAGAAAATACGTGCTGTTTCTAAAAGGGGAAATATAGAAGACAAACAAAATATGGCCGGTCGCAGAGGAAAAAAACAGAAACAACCGTGCCTCTTTTGCTCTCGGAGAGAGTGTCTCCGGTACTGCGTCCTACGCTACCATACGCTACGGCGGCGAAAACGCACCCGAGCAGCGCAATAGCCCCATTAGCCAGAAAAAATCTTCCTCACGACTCCCAGGCGGTATGGCTCGGATGCATGGGGGGATGAAGAATGGCACAAGAAAGACGGCGAGGGCAGCCAGCCCAGACGCGTGGTGCTCGCGTTTTTGCAATGTTCCCCTGGCTTCGTACGTAAGAAAATGACGTAAATGTGAAGATCTGAGGGATCAGCCATCGCTGCGGCGCTCCCATGTAGCGTACCCCGGGGCGAGGGGGGCATGCATACCATACCCCAGGCAGGAGGGGGCAGAGATGCAAGAGGAGATGGGCGGGCCACGTGGGTCAGTGCCGGCATAGATGCAACATGGTGCATTCCGTTACTTCTGGACCCTGGAGTTTCCCGCGTTCGATGCTCGGCGACTTGTTACCACTTTCATTTCATCTTTTCTCTTGTCCATCCTGCCCATTCACCCCTGCCCCCACCCGCATGCCCCCCACGCCGGCCCAGCATCCCCGACCGCCCATCAAGGGCTCCGCCGTACACCCCCGCCGTTCCACCGCCCACCGATAATGGCCCCCCGACCAGAGGGCATCCCCCCAGAAGAAGAAGGAAACATCACCGTGGAAGACTTTGGCGCGGAAGAGCATGAGGTTGCTCAGCAGGGGGCACAGGACGGCCTGAAGGGCCAGCCGCAGACGCAGGAGGAGTGGGATACATTCATCTCGAGGTGAGTCACCGTCCCACTTTCGAGAATGGCGCACATGTGGACGGTGGATATGTCGGGGGCGAGGGGCATATATTCTTGGTCGAGGGCAAGCCGCCAATCGCCAGACGCTGCTTGTTCTTGTGGAAGCGGGGCACTGCTGTCTCCCGCTTTGGCTGCCTGTCATTGACAACTTCCGGAAGTACTTTTTCGCTGACATGTACTAGTTACTCTGTGGGTAACACTGACAGGTACAACTTCGACTCTGAGGACGAAAGTGGCGACCTGTCGAAAAAGCGCCCATCCCTCGAGCGCCAATCCAGCACGCCTATATTCAGCGAACGACAGACATCTTCCTCTTCCCTCGAACCTCCTTCCCGCCCCCTCCTTCACCACAACTCCTCCTCCCTCTCTCATGCTGTCGTCGTGCCCAGCGGCTCGAGTGAAGATCTGTTCGATACCTCGGAGTCCGAGTCCCCGTCCGCTGCTGGGGCCACGAACCAGGATCCAGCTATCCCCAATATCGACGACAAGTATCTCCCGTCCATCTCTAGAAGCTTTTCAAACGCCCCTTCCCAGGCTAGCGAAACATCCAGCAAAAAAAAGTATCGCAGCCAAGAAGCAATGACGAGCAACAACATGAAACGTCTGGGCGAAGAGTACCACCGGGAAGAGGTCAAGAAGGCGTCTACGGAAGGTTCGGGCAAGAAGGCAAAGCGGAAGATTGTGGAAAAGGCGACGCTGGAAGATTCGAGTGAGGGAGAGGCCGAGAGGGACGCGGCTGTCGAAGAGGCGCCGGCGCGACGAAAGTCTACGAGGCGGCGACCTAGGCCGAGGGGAGCATGGTCTTCGGCGTCGCATAATGGCGAGAGGACACGGCGCGATTCGAAACCCTCGCTCGACATGGCTATCTTTGACGACTCGACCAACACCTCGACGTCCGTCTCTCAGGCTGATCTGGCGTACGACCATGCCGCAGAGAGGACGCGGATCAAGGAGTTTTATGAGAAGAATGGCTTCTTGTGTCCCCCGAAACAGCCGCCTGGAGCGTATAGACGACGGCTGAGGGTGATCCGTCGTATGGGTCTCGAACAGCCTGAAGGCTTCCACTGCGACACCCTCGACAAACTCTGCCGTCTCGCCATGTCCTTTTTCAGAACGCAAAGCGTGGTCATCAGCGTTTTCGGCAGGAGCAAACAGATCTTTCTCTCAAAGATTGGGATCGAAGCGCGTTCGGTGGAAATTGACAAGTCGATTTGCGCTCATACCCTGACGCTGTCGGGCAATAGCGAGCAGTGCATGGTCGTCAAAGATGCGACGAAAGACTGGCGGTTCAGGAAAAATCCCATGGTCGGCGAGGGTAACGGACCTATCAGGTTCTACGCCGGCTCGCCCTTAAAAGTCGGATCAGGCTCGAAAGAATCCATCATCGGCGCCATCTGCGTATTCGATACCCAGCCCCGTGAATTCACCCGCGACCACCGCGCCCTCCTCGCCGACCTCGCCTCGTGTGTCGTGAGCGAGCTCGAGCTCCTCTACTCGCAACAAGCGTCGATCGAAAGCGCCAAACTGCATCAGATCTCGGTCGACTTTTTGCGTCGGTCGTTGAAACATCGGCCGTTGGAGTATGCGGGGCAGAGTAATAGTGGGTCGACGACGTCGGGTGGTAGTGGGTCGACGAATGTGGAGGGAGAGCCGGTCAATCCTACCGAGGTCAAATTCGTATCTACCCCTACCGCTACCCCTGCGTCTGTGGCTGCGCCCGATACGGGCAACAGCACCGGCGAAGAACAAGACGACTCTGCCGAAGGCTCTTCCCCATTCGGCGAAGAATCCCCACCGGCCGCACCGCTCAACAGCAGAAAACGTATCGAAGGCGCCGACGCCAGTCAGAGCATTGACGCGGTGGATATCTATGATGAGGCGTGTAGAGAGATCCGGCTGGCGCTGGATGCGTATGCGGTAGCAGTCGTCGACTTGTCGCAGTTCCATCTCTTTTACCCGGCTTATCAGAGTACCACCAACGGCTCCCAATCGATCCGTACAGGGTCTGCCACTGAAGTGCCAGGGCGGATGAATAAGATGGGGCCCGCGTCAACGGCGCGCCAGCCGTCTTCGAGTGGGCATAGTCAGGATGATGATGAAGATGGTTTTGGCCCTGATTGGTCGAATAAGCAGAGAAGGGCGAGACCGACGTATTCGGTGGATGATGCGGTGCAGCCGGCGAGGACGCCGCAGGTGTTGTTTGTACCGAGTAGACCGACGATGAGGTCAAAGAGGTATCGGCCTATGCAAGAGAACGAGGATTCGGTAAGCGAATTTCTCTAGCTGTCCGTGCGTGAGACTGACGAGACAGCAGCTTGCCGTACTGGGGTATAGCTGCGGCAGTGATGGCTTCGCGTTCAATTTTACGAGTTCGCCGGCTGCAAGAAAGGTTATTGCAGACTTTATCGCGAGCAATGTCGTTGTGAGTCACTATCTTGATCCCCATCAAGAACGATTTCTGATGGTGATATAGTCGCGAAAAGTATGGTATGCGAGGGATGACAGCCAAGGAATAGCGCAGAGTATTACGCACCTTATGCCGCCCGGGACGGAGACGAGTATGGCAGTGCCAGTATTTGGCTTTGACGGCCAAGTAAGTCTCTCAGCAACAGAACCGAGGGCATAGAAATTGATGATGATGCAGGTCGCATTTGCCGTGGTGGCATGCTGGAAAGATCCGCTGTACACATACCCCTCCGGCGCTCTACAATTTGTAGAGACTATTGCGGGTAGTCTTCTCGCTTCAGGTACGCCGTCCATCTTCCCTTCCAGCCTCCTGACTGACCCCCATCTAGTTCTCAAAGAACGCCTCCACAAAGCCGAACGTGCCCAACTGAACTTTGCCTCGGCCGCTTCTCACGAACTCCGTACTCCCCTACACCAAATCAACGCCGCCGCCTCCCTCCTCCGTTCATTTGTCCAACCGATGTTTGACTCTATGCGCGGCGACGAGGTCGTGCATGTCCCAGCCGAAGACCGGGTGGAGATCGTCCAGCAGCTGGAGATCATCGAGTCCAACGGGTTGAGTCTTGGCAACATCCTGGAGAATATTATCGATACGCTCGATATCGGCAAGATGGCGTCCAAGATGGATACTGGAGGTACCATCCCTAGTCTAGTACACAAAGATACGGCTACGGGCAAAGAGGCCGCTCCTCGATTGACGAGTCTGGTGGAGGTGCTTGAAAAGGTTGTGGAGGATGCGATCGAACTCGAATCAAAGTCGCGTAAGGTGTCGGGAGGCAAGGGAATGGATCAGGTGGAAGTCATTTTGGAAGTGTTGCCGAGGAAGAGGGGTGGATGGTTGACCACGAGGGATGTGGGGCCGTTGGCAAGGGCACTGGGGAAGATTGTGCATAACGCGGTCAAGTTTACAGAAAAGTGCGTTCTCCCTCGGCTTATACGGGCATTGACTGACTCGACTGTAGGGGCCACGTGCACATCACCGTCCAGGACCTTTCGCGAGAGGTGGCATTACCAACTGGGTATGACAACTCTATGCGAGAATCGACAATCTCTATCGATGTAAAGGATTCCGGTGTTGGAAGTAAGCTACAGCCAACACGTACACAAGCACATACTGACCTTCTTTTCAGTGTCAGCCGCCTTTCTCGAGAAAGAAATCCTTCAACCCTTCGCCAAAGAAAATCCCTTTACAACTGGCTCTGGTCTCGGCCTCGGTCTCGCACAACGTATGGTCGAGCTGGTTGGCGGTAAACTCGCCATTGCCTCTTCTCCGGGCAAAGGTACCCTCGTTCATATTGAAGCCCCCCTATTCTTCCTCAATGGCGACTCCAATTCCGATGACGAAGACCTCAACACCAACAGAACGGCAGATCAGGTCATAGAGCCCGACTACAAGATCAGACAGGATGGGATCCTTCTTGCAGGGTGGGAAAACTGCAAGGCGTCCGTCAAGAGGGTGGCCAAGTCGCTGGTGCGGCAGCTCAAGTTGCACCAATGCAGACTTGTCACGGAGGCGCAGCATGCTTGTGTTATCGTCATGCCGGATGGAGGTTTGAGCGATGCGCAGCTGGCGGCGATGTGTAGAGCGGCGAGACCGGGTGTGCAGGTCATCGTACTTGAGAAAGATCGAACAAAGCATGGCCAAGGCGACGCCGACAGCCCCTGCCTTGCTTCTAGCAACCCCAACGGAGTCACCGAGGCCGCTCGTCTTGCTTGCCCGCCAAGGTCGCCCAAGGGGAAGGAGGACGCTGCCTTCCTCGCTACCATTCCATTCCTTCATCTCTCTCGCCCGCTTCGACCCAGTGTTCTGCGAGCTGTCATGGCGCCTAATGCTAGGCCAACTACTCCACCTGAGAGGTATGTCTCGGATGTGGTAGGAGGGGAGGATGCGCGAATGGGAGCAAGGATGGCGGTGCCAGTGCCAGTTGGTACAGACATAGGCCGGCAATCGCTGGGCAACGATGAGCCCATCTCGCCACTCGAAAATCTTCGCACTCCTCCCATGTCACGGAACAACACCTCAGCCCCGGGCGATCCTCCAAACGATCCACTTGCTACCCCAATCCCGAGCTCTTCTCGTGAAGCCCCTGTTCGATCACAATCGCTCTCTGTCATTGATAGTCGCGAATCTACCGACGATGAGGGTTCCGAAGATAGGCCGCAGTATACGGCTTCAATCATATCGGACTTGTCAGCGAGTGATAGCAGCGAGGGGGTGATGAGCTCGATTGGGTCGGAGAGTAAACAAACCGAAAGACGGAAGCGAGTTGAGGAGATGGATCCATTAGCTCTAAAGGGTGAGTACTGATTTCTTTTGGCATGTGCGTTGGCATGTGCGTTGGGCGAATGCTAATGATGAATAGTGCTTGTGGTGGAAGACAATTCCGTAAACCGAAAGATCTTGACGACCATGCTCCGGCGAGCTGTGAGTTTCTTGTCCGTTGTGTAGGTCATAGCTGATTCTCGTGTAGACTTGTAATTTCGTCGAGGCGGTCGACGGTGTTGAAGCTGTTGATCAATTCTCTGCCTTCCGACCAGACCTTGTCCTACTTGACATCACCATGCCCAAAAAAGACGGGTTTGCGGCCGCCGCGGAGATGCGCCAGCTCGAGACCAAATGGGCAGGAAGACTTCGAAAATCATCTGTTATCCCTGGCACCACCGACGAAGATCTGGAGGAAGCTATGGCCTCGATGGATCTCGAACCTCACAGTCAAACATCGTCTGCGCCGAGATCTGCTATTCATCGGACTGGTTCGGGTCGAAAACGAGCGACAATCATCGCGGTGACGGCCATGAGCGCAGAGCATCAGAAGAGAAAGGGGCTATACGAGTGCGGGATAGATCATTGGATGACAAAGCCTTTGAGCATGGGCCTGCTCAAGTCGATGGTGGAGGATATGAAGGAAGAAGTGAAGAGGGGAGTGCAGGGGGTGGTTGCGGCTTAGCGAGCCAGGTTATAGAAGAGCATCTAGACATCCGTTTTATCTTTTTAGGTCTTGTTGGGTATTCGCAGTTGATTACTTTGGGATCATATACTACTAATCTTCAGATCTTTCTTCATTCCATATGCATCGCGCATGAACTCTCATGTTCCATTGTATACAGGAGTCAAGATTAAGTGACTCCGAGACAGAAGCCGTTTAAGTCGTCAGAAGCGAACGGGCAAAAGTGAACGGGCCAAAAGTGAACGGGCCACAAGTGAACGGGCAAAAAGTGAACGGGCAAAAAGTGAACAGGCAAAAAGTGAACAAGCAAAAAGTTTACAGGCAAAGAGTGAAACAAAAACGTATTCTCCATCAGGGAGTTGAACCCTGGTCTACCGCGTGAGAAGCGGTTATACTAACCGTTATACTAATGAAGAGTTATATGGCATTGATTTTAAGCAACCCTGTATGGTACACTTTCTAATAAAGTCCTCACCTTGTTCAATCAGCGCGAAATAAGCGCAAATCTGTTCCTCTGTATCCACTCATTTGGGTGACGGCATAGCCGGTAGAGAAAGGAGCAATGCTGCGCTTCAACGAAGTCGGCATATCATTTCCCGAGAGGCTTTGATTGCCCTCTGATTGTTCCGAAGAACTTTGTTACAGCAGTACGGGAGTGTATCTTCAGCAGCTGACTGCATCCGCGTGCGCAGTCTGTTTGATCATTCGACCATTGGAGTCTAAACAAGGGATCCTGATCAAGCTACTGTAGGGCGGTCATTGCCGATTCCCGAATAATCACCTTTGTCGGACTTCATAGGATGATCACTCGGCACAAATATGCTCCTGATTCGGGAACCGTTCCAGCAAGTTTTCTTCGGCAAGCAACGAGGGGCCCTTCGGGGCACCGGGCTGATCAGACGCAATGACATTGCTCCCCGGTCCGTTCTTGAGTATGTATATCAAGAACAGCGAAAGAGAAGCGGGCACTCACCACTACCATTTTCTAATCATGACGAACCTGGACCTCAAGCAGGAAGAGTCTCGTCTTGAAGACGTCAAAGCTGAGGCCGAGCTCGCCAACGCTCCGGTCCTAAAGTCAGATCTCGATCAGCTTACAGCTTGACAGACGGTCAGGAGGTTTTGGAAGGTGAGCTATCGATTTCGGCTATTGTTCAGACGCTGACAAGATCAAAGGGTGTCTTGCTCTGTAACCTCCTCTGCTTCGCCGCCGCCGCGGATGGTTATCAAGTACGTCTATCCTAGCGCTGAATGATGTACATCCTGACCAGCATACAGATCAATCTCAACGGCAACATCATCGCCAACACGGGTTTCATCGAACATGTCGGACAGATGAATCCTACGACCGGGGCATACGCCTTGACGACTTCCATGACCGCCCTGTGGGGTGCTCTTCAGTCCCTGTAAGCCATCAATGACATGAGATGGTGCATGATACTATTGCTGACCATGATTCTATACAGAGGCCACATTGTCGGCATGGTCCTCCTCAACCCCGTGTCTGACAAGATCGGTAGAAAGATGACTCTCTATCTCCTGTGGTGCATCCTCTTCGGTGTACGTCCATCCTTCTTCCTATATATCCTTTCTCTGACCGTCATCTGTGAGAGTCTATCATGATCGAAACATTCGTCTACAACTGGCAACAATGGGCGGGCGCCAAACTTTTGGCTGGAGTGGGTATTGGCTGTCTGCAAGCTACCTTACCCATCTATGTCACCGAGTGGGCTCCAGTCAACATCCGAGGTGGTATGCTCTTGGCGTATTCGTGCTGGAATCAGACGGGCGGATTCTTGGCGCCTCTGATTCTGTTTATTTGTCAGAATACACTTGGGGCTGAGGAGTGGAAGATCCCCATCTACACTCAGTGAGTTTGCCTACCTGCAGTCAGCGTTTGTGAGGCCGTCGATGCTGACGTTGAAAAGATGGGCTTTCTTGAGCATCATGCTCCCCATATTCCTCTGGCTCCCCGAGACTCCTTGTAAGCTTTCCTCGCCTATAATCTCTACTTCACACATCTGACTCCCTCGAAGCATACTACGCGGCCCGAGGTCTGCACGATCAGGGCAAAGCAGTCCTCCGCCTTGTCAACGGCAACGTCGAAGGCTACAACATTGATGCTGAATACCAAGTCATTCGCAACACGATCGAAGATGAGCAGGAGCGCATGACCGCTTTGGGAGAGGATGGCCAGAGTTGGAGGAGTATTTTGAATAGTTATGGAGAGTGTTTCAAGGGGACGAACCTTGTGAGTACAATATGTCTCGAGGATGAACGCGGGAGGGAACTGCAGCTGATATCGATTGCAGAAAAGGACTCTGGCAGCTGCTTTGGCGGCGAGTTGTCAGCAGCTGACCGGGCTCGCATTCCTCTCGGGCTATGCCTCATGTACGCTACCATTTCCCCTCCATCGATCTCTTGTTGACTGACGATGACGGTAGTGTTCTTCAAAGAAGCCGGCTTCTCCAACGCCTTCGAGATTACCTCCATCCTCTGTGCGCGCCCGACTCTCTTTATTTGTCTTTCTTTGTTGCTGACGTATTCGCTTTCTGATTCCAGTTGCTGTCAAAACCGCCATGGTATTCGTGTTCACCTTCACCACCGACCGCATGGGCCGACGTACAGTCGTCATCGTCCTCGGCGGCATCTGCTGCCTCACCCTCCTCACCATCGGTATCCTAGGTCATATCGAGCATACAAACTCTACCAACATTGCTCTGATCGTCATCGCTTGTATCTGGTCAGGATTCAACGTCGGTCGTAAGTTCCACACTTTCTTCTCATTCTAGCCTGGACCCTGACACAGATGGCACAGTGGGCGCTTTCGGCTGGAGTTTTGCAGGCGAAGTGGCTACCCAAAAGCTCCGCGCTCGAACATCCGGTCTTGGATCTGGTATTGCGGTCATCTTTGGCCTCACCTTCAACACCTCCGTTCCAATAATGCTCCGTCAGTTTCCTATCTCATTCTCCAAAGCCGCACTGACAAGTAGCACAGTCGACAGCGGCGCCCGTATCGGTGGCAACACATACAACACCGCCTTTATCTTTCTCGGTTTTGGTACCATCTGCTGGCTATCCACTATTTTCCTCTTGCCCGAGGTGGCGAAGCGGAATTCGGCAGAGATGGATGAGATGTATGAGAAGAATGTGCCGGTTTAGAAGATGAAGGGGTATGTGACGGAGGTGCAGAAGGCGCATGTGGTGAGACAGGAGGAGGCCTTGTAGTAGGCTTTCCCTCGTCGATTAGGGACGATGATGGGTTATGTACAGTAGGGACAAATATCGGGCTATTCATATTGGTTTTACATGTACGGACAAGATACTTCAATCTACCAATCAAACGTCTCCTCACTCTTCAACATGCTCAAAGTCATCCTCAGTAATGGTGTAATTACCATGCACCATCCTCCTGATCATGCCCCTTTGATAGTAGAGTTTGATATTTCGGGGCGCTTGCGGTGTACCAACGTAGCAACATCCACCAGCCTTCTTAAGCTTAATACACTCGTAGCAAGGAAGCATTCCTTCGCACTACAGTCAAACGTTAGTACATGGTCTCAGTCCAACCATTTCCTGATCATGACAAGTTGGCTTACGCGACGTTTGGAATCACGACAGCAAAGACAAGTTTCACTACAACCCTTTCTCTTTCCTGTGTTTACAGGCTTGTTCGTCCACATGTTGAACGTGGCGTACTGGAATCCGTCGTCAGGGAAGGGTCCCTTCAAATACTCTGGAGGCTCTTTCTCCTTTTTGGGCTGTCGAGACTTGAAGGGACGGGCGGGTTTTTTGCCTTTTGAAGTTTGTGCTCGGGGCTTTGAGGTGGATTTGGACGGATTCTTTCGATTCTTAGCCGGCATATAGTTATCATTGTAGAGGTCCTCGTCTTCATCGTCCTCATCGTCATCCTCCTCCTCCGGCCGATACTCTTCCTCTTCCTCGTCATCATCTTCTTCGTCGGATGCAATGTCGGCATCCACAGTCTTCTTCTGCTTGGACGCGAAACCACCCAATGTTGTTCTGCGCCGTTTGATGTTGGCGCCAATGTCTTCTTGGTCGGAGTTGCCAGCATCCTCGTCCGCGCTCTTACGCTTGCTTCCAGTTTGCGTAGGGAGCTGGTAGGCTTTGAGGTTCTTCCTGGCGGGATACTTGCCCTTACCAGGCTGTGTGTGGGGCTCGGACGGGGTCGAGGTTGTCTGAGACTCGCGAGCAGTCTTAGTCGAAATGGATGACTTGCGAATGTCCTGAGAGCTACGTCCGGTAGTTGGGATACTCTTTCCTCGACCAGCAGGGGGCTGAACAGCAGGCACCTCCACGCCTACGCCACCATTGGTGAACGTCGCCACAGGCGCCTTCGGAGGGCCACGAGGAGGAGGAGACGAAAAGTTGAAATCCTCATCAGAGTCCTCGGCATCCCATTCGTCCCTTGTTGTAGCTGTCGAGTCCGAGTCGTACCCATCCCCATCTTCATCCTTGCTATCGTCTCCGATGCCAGTGTAAAAGACATGCTCGCATTCGCCGTCCGACTCCTCGTCTTCCGAGAACATTTCTTCTCCGCTGGCCTTCCTGCGCTCATACTCTTCCTTGAGCGTCTTTTGGTGTCCGTTGAATGCTTCGGAGGGCAGAGAGTGACCGGGAGGAAGCGCTTTGCCGGTGTGTTGGATAGCCCAGTAGGGGAAGCCGTTGGGATCGTAATTTGCGCCGCCAAACAAAGGCAGACCGGTGGAGTTTTGGTCGTCATCGCAATCGGAGAGGGAAGGTGAGATACTCGTGTCGCTGGTATCGATCTCTTCAAAGATCTCGTTGACAGTCCCACTGCTGACTGCAATAGAGGTCAGCTCGCCGGATGGTTCAAATTCCAAACCGCCTGATGCACGTACTACTGAAGGGCTCTTCAGAGTAGCAATCGCTGTCGCTGTCGCTCTCAGCTACCAAAATAGTCAGCGTAACACTTTATGGATGTGCAGTATGAGCGTACCATCCTCCGAAGTACGACGAGCTTCTCGTTCTTCCGTTGCGAGCCTCATCCCCTCGGCCTCGAGGGACAAATGAGGGGCAAAGCTGTCGTGCAACTCAGGCTCGCGCCAAGTCCAATGTCCGTCCGAGTAGTACTTTGTGAGGTGGTGCGTCGCTTGGGGGTAGTAGATGTTTTGTTGATAGAGAACGGTGTCGGGTGTGTGGCTGAATGGCATCTCCATGGAGAAAAGCTGGTTTGGAAGCATGTCGTCGCACATAATGGCAGATATGAATACTGCGATGAGATGAAGATGGTGTGATGGACAAAAGCTGGTGGGGACGAGAGGGTGTTATATACCCTCCAACAGTCGCCACTCACATCCTACGACTCCGTGATAAGATATCCGCGAGACGCTAAACATGATTCCGCATCAATAGAACCCTGGTTTCCGCGGCGTACGAGTCTATTACGCTGCAATTCCGAGAGTCGTCACAGGCCGCGGTCCAGTATACGTAGTATCCGAAAATGCATCAATGCATGAGTAGTATGGGAAAAGTGGGGGAGATTGATTGAGGAAAGAATGTCAACAAGACCATCGTCATACTTGGTCGTCGTTATCCGCGGCGCTCGGGCTTCCGAACCCGCCCATGTACTTTCCCTGCACCCGGCAAAAAGTCAGCAACAACTGTCCGGGCATGCTCTGGTTCTTGATGAGAGATGCATACTTAATGACTAGGTCATATGCGCGACTTGGTAACAGAGAGAGCGACATCCTCACGGAAACCTCTCTATCTACCAAGCTTCATGATTATCCGAACGGCCGTCGGCCTGTCTTGGCGAGTCATCCCTTGTAGCATTTTGTCCACTTTAGACTTCCAGAGATGATTAGTGTTTCTGTGGCAGTACGATCATCGTTCTAGGGGAAGGGGCGCCCCATATGTGCGTTATGTTGTTCATGTACTTATAGGTAATCCTCCGAGAACGGTTCCAGCGACGACGGCGACCAATCCCCAAACGTATCAGGCTCAAACACAGATTCGAACAGTATAACATCATGTAAACCGACCCCCACCTGGTCTGATTAGTGCTGATGCCAATGACGCAAAACAAGAGCTCACTGAAGACGATTATTCATCTTGCAAGTCCACATCCTTCACACGGCTTCGCCGGCGCCTTCGTGTTGTTATTCATCACCAATACCCCTTTCCACTTCTCCCATGCCTCTAAACCCACACCGTGCGCTCTTGCTGCAATCTTGCGGGCGACTTGATGATGGGTAGCTTTGGTGTTGTAGATCTCTATTCGTCGAGCCTCCTGAATAGAATAGCGTCCACTGATGAAAGGTCAGCGGGAACAAGCTGAAAATTGGAGAAATCCCACTCAGTTCGGGAGGGCTTTGCAAACGCTTCAGCCAGGGAGTTCGCTATCGGCTTTCCATGTGGAAACGGCGGGTTTCCCGGCCTCAAGTAATACTTCATACATTCAGCAGGCGGGGCGCAGAAGTATCGAGTATTGTGAAGCACAAACTGCTTTAGCAGGGGTTTTCCGTGCCAAGATTCGAGGCCGAGATCGAATATCGAATGCGTTTGAACATCTTTGAACGACCAGGCGCAGATGCGGCAAGGATCTACGAACTGCATCATCTCACGTACCCGCCGTCTCCTCTCCATCGTCGTCTGATGGTCGAAGCAAGCCTCCATATCCTTGGTGACACCCTCGCCAAGCACCAACCATTCGACGTTCTTGAAAGCGAAACTGACAAAGCCCGTAATGCTTTGTTCTTTTCCGGGCTCATACAATGGGTAACCGAGAAAGCGCGAGCGGACCAGACGGGAGAATTCGCGAATAGCTTGGCAGGCGGCGAGGTCTTCGATGATGATCTTCTTGATAGAGAGGCAGAGTATGATCTTTTTGAAGAGGGAAGAGGTGCTCTCGAGCTGTTGGGGAGTCGGCGGGGTGTCGGTGAAGCGGCCAGCGGCGAGAAGCCAAAAGTACGGGTTGAAATTGACCAATTTTCGCAGTAACCTCAGAGAGACGTAGGGCAGAGTGCTCTGTATCACCTCCGGCTCCAATCCCGGCCTTGGGCACAGAATGGATACCGGCTGAGCACAGGATCTGTGGGTGCACAGATCCCCAAAGAACGATTGCACATTACGAGCACTCAGCCTGACGGTGTCGTACAGGATGGGGATGAAGGTGAAGTACGTCGTCTCGCTTGTACAGCAGAGGCTGAAGATATCGGATCTCGATGCCGAGACTTTGATGTGGTGATAGATGATGCTGCCGACTTCGGGGGGGAGGCGAGTCAAGAAATTGGGAAGGGGCGCGCTGCTGGGGACATGTCCTTGGTGATGACTGTCGGCGGCGTTGAGCCGCTTCGAGGCTCTCGTGGGCAATTTGCCGGGGTATCTTCGCGTTCTTGGGGGCATACCGGTTGAGGGTGTTGGAGAAGATGGGATGCGGCGGGAAGAGAGTGCGGGGACTGTCCGTCTTTGCTTGCGTACATGTGGTTGCGTGTGGGCATTACGTAACTCGGATTTCTGTGTTTGCATTGCCCGACTGTTTATCTCGTTCACTTGCATACAGTATACTTGTCACAATGGTGCATGCGTACGAGAAGACATACTTTTGATGACCTTGTCGTCGAAAATCGATGTAACCGAGGCGATCAGCGCCGCGACGAAGGCCCGACGAAGTTCGTCAGGCTTGCACTGTGCATTCGCCTCCACAGTCAACTGTAAACTTCCATTACCAGCATCGTAGCGCATGAGTACACGCTAGTCAGGAGAGTGGGGTAATTGAACGAGACATAAATGAATTGCATTGAAAAAGGGGCGTAAAGTAGGTCGTCACTCGTCGCGTATGTGTTCAACTCGGGCTTCCGAAAACATCACTATGCTACACTATCTGCGCGTGGAAGAAACGTCAGCAACGTCATTCCCAACAAACTCTGGGTCAAGTGGGGGGATACATACTAGATGATTCATTCGTTAGAAATTGAGGCTTTGCAAGCCAGAAGGCAAAAAGTACGTCGTCGCCACTAGGCGCTGACTGCTCTGCGCATCCTCGGTGGTCGTCGTGCCCTTGGCGGACGTGTTTGTTGATATGCACAATGCCAGATACGGCCACAGATATGAACAAAAGAGTCCAGACATATGTTTTCGGATGATAGACATGTCCCTGAAGATCACCTGCAGAACCCCATCAGCGCCGAGCTTCAAAAACGCAGAAAAGCAACTGACTCGAAACAATACCTTCGCGCCTCTAACTCACATCCATCACAGCTCTTCGCCGGTGATCCCTTCCCATCGACCACTAGCGTCCCTTTCCACTGATTCCAAGCTTTGGATGCTGAATCGTGAGATTTCTCGAGGATGTCGACGACTTGATGTTGGGTGATACTGGCGTTGTGGATCTCGAGACATCGTATGCTGTGAATATCATGATGTCGGCTACTCAATCGTCAGATCATGCAGAACTCAGATGGAATTGACTCACTCGGTACCAGGTACAGCAAACATATAAGGCAGACCATTCGATATCGACTGCACATGCGAACACCCCGCCTTCTCCGGCTGCAGATAATACTCGATATGCTCCGCCGGCAATGGCAAAAGCTGGGTACAAAAATGCGCATTGTGGAGCACAAACTGCTTCAGCTGCGGTCTGTTGCTCGTCCACCCCACCCCGAGCTCCGAGACCATATGCGCCCTATCGTCCGCGAACGCCCAAGCGCAAACGCGCCGAGGCGCCACATGCCGCACCGTCACTTCTGCCCAATACCATCTCTCTGTCCGCATCGCTGCTCCTCCATCGTTCCACTGCTTCTCCACATCCTCCGTAAAGCTCTTGCTGAATACCAGCCATTCGACGTGCTCGAAGCCGAACTCGATGGCGGGGTAGACGCTCTCTTCGGGTTCGTAAAAGGGGAAGCGGCGAAAGCGATTGTAGACGAGGTCGGAAAAGTGGCGGAAGAAGTGGCAGGCGGTGAGGTCTTCGATGATGATGGTTTTGATAAAGCGGCAGAGGAGGATCTTCTTGAAGAGGCTAGAGGTGCTCGCGAGTAGTTCGGAGGAAGGGCTTTGATAGCCTAGAGTGACGAATTGGATGTAGGGGTTGAAATTGATAAACTTCCGCAGTAGCCTCGATGAGACGAGAGGCAAGCATCGCTGAAGTACCTCTGCATCCATCCCCGGCCGCGGGCACAGAATGGATACCGGTTGATCATTACAGAGATCCCCAAAGAACGCTCGCACATTACGATCACTCAGCCTGACAGATTCGTACAGAAACGAGACGAAAGTGAGATACGTCGTCTCGCTCGTACAACAGAGACTGATGATGTCGGATTTCGATGCTGAGAGCTTGATATGGTCGTATATCATGGCACCGATCTCGGGTGGGAGGCGGGTGAAAAAGTTTGGCAGGGGCGAGGTGGGGACATCTTCGTGGGGGAGGATGGCGGTTCTGCGCTTCTTTAAGATCTTGTTTGGGGGTTTCGCGGTGTTCTGGCGGTTCCGAAGGAGCATATTCACTCCCCGGAGCACAGAAGAGTGTTGAGGGAGATGAGATGGTGAAGGCAACACTGATTTGACACTGATGCGCAACAGGCGCACGACCGCCGGCCGCCGGAGGGGAGATGTGGAGGTAATTACGTAACGCTACCTTAAGCTCTGTCCAGAACAACAGAACCAGATTGGAACCAGAACAGAACTCTGGCGTGAATGATTCTGCATCTGTCCCGGATACACAAAGATGATAAAGGGAAACAAACGACAGATGCCCTCCTGGGCCCAGTCCTCAGAACCCGGCACCCCAGGAGCGCGTAGTGCCAAAGACGAGCCGCAGGACGAGCCAGATGTCAAGCCCGATGTCAAGAGAGTCAAGAGTAAGCCTGCCTCCCATCTCTTACCTTCATTCGAAACAGCCGCTAATAGTCTTGAAGCACATTTGAGTGGAAATCATGGAATGTACCAGGATACCCGAACGGCTGCTATCGACCTTTTGAATATCCTTCGAGTATGTCCTGCCGGGCGTGAAGCTTGCGGGAAACGCTGACAAAGTATACAGAAATCTGTGACGATGAGGTACGAAGATGCGTACTTCCGGGTGCAAGAAAACAGTCCCGGGACAGACCCTACCAAAGCGCTCGAAATTCTGAAGGGCCTGGAGCGTATAGAATTCAACGCTGGCAACCAGGTCTTCTCTTACATCGTACATTTCTTTCTTCATCATATCTGTTCAAAAGCTCATGGAATCCTCCGCAGCCCGAGTTGACTTTGATAACGGCAAGCGAGATCCGGAACCACATCCGTATCCACTCCACACCCACCTCTGGCTTGTCGATCAAAACACTGAAGGAAGCCATGCCCAACGGCATCGAACCTCTGAAAGACCTCGAGTCCCGCGGGGATGTCATGATCATGCGTGGTCTCGGAGCGAATTACAAGGATATCCCGCTCCCGAGATTGGGTAGGCTCAATGTGAATGGGGAGGATTTGTTGGGCGGGCCGACAACGAGGTGGAAGATGGTATTCTGGGATCATTTGAAAGAAGCCGGGCGGGCGGGGAAGAGGGTGGATGATGGTAAATGTCTTGCTGATACTCGTTGGAATAGTGCTAAATTGTCGTAGAATTCATCTTCGCCTGGGCCGACGTTCCCATCGCGGAAACAGACGACGTCACAAAGCTCCTCGCCGACCGTACGTCCTCCCTCCCTCCCTTCCCCTCTTGCCTCTCCCTCTTGCCTTACCCCACTAACCCGTTCCACAGAGGAACTCTCAGCTTCATCCCTTACACCAGCCGCCCCCAAGGCCGTAGCCGCCGCCCCAGTCAAAAAGAAGAAACGCAACACCCGCGCACTCAAGATTACCAACACGCATATGAAGGAGCAGGGTATCGACTTTTCGAAAGATTATGTCAAGGGTGCGTGAGCTATGGGGATGGGTGCTTTGGGAGAGGAGCTTGGGACAGCGTTTTGGTGTTGTTGGATGGTATCATTTTGTAGAGTATTGACCTGGCATAGAATCTGAATTGTACGCATGTACTTGTAGATTGAACTTCATCCTCTCCTGGAGAGCTAGGAGCGTTAGATGTAGAGCTATCGTGGACAGCCTGTTGCAGCTCTCATGTTCATACTCGAGCTGTATCTGACCACGTGTTAAGTCTCTCTTTTTGCCCTCTTAACAAGAACCTGCAAGTGCATTCATACAAGTGTCTCAAGAAGGCGGCAGGGTTTTGCATTCGTTGTTGTCTCAGGCGGCATACACGGCGTGTGCCTGGATGACGTGGAGAATCGCCCATGTGCTGCATCATCCCATTCTTTCGTTCGTCCTTTCTCTTGCATGGCTTGACTGCGCTGTCCTTTCTGTATTGGAGTCGGCCGACTTCTCCCGAGCCTCAGACGACTGTGGGTGACAGCAGCACACGGCACAGGACAGGGAAGGAAACACGGTGCCCCCTCGCTCTCTCTCATCTTCCCCTTCCCGAGTGCACCGAATGCGGACGCTAAGACTGTGCTTCCCTGCATTCTCCACATGAGCCCCGCGCTAAATACCCTCGATCCGACATGCGGCTCCACACCCGACCTCCATCTGCGGCAACTTTCCCTGCCCCCTTGCCCATCTGTTGTCATCGGCACCAACTTCCGCCGGCAGGGACATCATGCTCGTATGCGGCCAAGGTGGCAAAGAGGCAGATGCCGGCGGCTCTGGACTTGCAAATCGACCGGCTGGCTGAATTACCTGTTGAATGCCTTCAGAACTCGGAACAGATTCACCTACGTTTGCTGAACTACCTGATGAACTCGCCCTGAGTTTGCCATCTCCAACGTCATTCCTGTCCGTCTCGCCATCCCATCAACTCACTTTTTGTGCATTCATCTTCCGGGTATCAAGCTTATCAGCGACTATTCCCTGACAATACGGCATTTCGCGCTCACCGGGCCGGTCTCGCGCTCGTTTAAGACAATGTTAGTACATTGACCGGTTCGTTCCCGAGGATTTGCTGTTTGTGCGCTATGTATATAAAGCCAGCGATACCGTGCTGGCCTCCAGTCGAGCCTCTCGGAATCGGTGTCTTGCTATATCCATTCATCAGACTTGGGATCGGCCTTTTCGATTAGCTAGACGAGCGCGTCAAGAGTCAACAACACCTAAAGCAATGCGGCGCTCAATCATCTTTTGCTTCTTTGCCGCCTGTGAGTGTCTCACATAGTCGAAGCTTGGATCGAGCTGATGATATGATAGTCGGCGGCTGGGTCTTTGGTTACGATGTGAGCTTCCAGCCTATCTTTAATCTCTGAACGCAACGTGACCAATTGTCTTCGATAGATCGGTTACATCTCAGGATGCCTCATCATGGTAAGCCCGAGCCCCCACCTGCCATCTCCCCTTCGCTGACGTTTTTCTCAAGCCAAACTTTATCGAGCACATGGGCCAAGACGACGGTACCGGCGCCTACATTCTCTCCTCCCAACGCCAGAGTATCATCACCTCCCTTCTATCGGCCGGAACATTCTTTGGGGCTTTGCTTCAGAGTTTTACGAGTGATAGATTGGGTAGGAAGGGTAGTATCTTATTCTGGTCTGCTATTGTGAGTATTTGCATCTGCAAGAGGAGACGGCGCAAGCTGACGAGTGTCCAGTTTACGGTTGGCATCATCGTACAGGTTTCTTCTTTCGGTCTCGCCCAGATCACTGTCGGGTAAGCCTTCCCCTCCTTACATCCTCATCTGTCATACTGACTCCCCTCATCAGCCGGTTCATCGCCGGACTCGGTGTGGGTGCTCTCTCAGCCATCGTACCCCTCTACATTGGCGAAGCAGCCCCCAAGAAACTCCGTGGCTCCCTCCTAGTCTTGTACCAAGTCCAAATCGCTTCCGGACTCTTCCTCGCCTACATCATTGACCTCGGAACGTACGCCTCCCCCCCTCTTCTTTCAGAGCAGTACTGATATAGCTCTTGCAGGCACCATCTGAAATCTTCCGCATCATGGCGTATCCCCGTAGGCCTCCAGCTCGTCTGGGGTGCATTCCTCATGATCGGCGGTGCTCTCTTGCCCGAATCGCCGCGTCTCCTCTTGGGTAGAGGCGATAAGGAGAAGGCCATGAAAGCGATAGCCGTGCTTAATGACTGTAAAGTCGATGATGCCCTTACGCGGGATGTGATGATGGAGCTCGAAGATGCTATTAGGGAAGAGAACGAAGGTGGGCAAGCGGGGTGGCTGGAATGCTTCAGTATTAGGAGTATGAGTGGGTCTACTATTGCTCTTTGGCAATAATGGGTGTTGGAAGCTGATGCGATGATAGTGTGGAAGAGGACGTTGAATGGGTGTATGGTGCAGTTCTTGCAGCAGATGAATGGTCAGAACTTCTACTACTACTTTGGCCCCGTCTTTTTCGAAGCTGCAGGTACCGAGCTCTCCTCCTACTGTAAGCCTGTCCCATTCCCCCAACAAGTCGCCCACTGACACCCGTACCAGCCATCCAAGCCATCCTCGGCGGCGTCTCCCTCGCCATGGTCATCCCCGCCATGTGGACAATCGAACACGTCGGCCGTCGAAACTCTCTCCTCATCGGCGCCGCCGCCCAAGCCGTCTGCGCCCTCATTGCCGGTCTCGTCGGGCACTATTTCACCGACGTCGCCGGCGTGTCGGAGAGTCAAGAGCAGACGGGCGGGAAAGTGTTGGTGGCGTTTGCGGTGATGCATGTTGCGATGTATAGTCTGTTTTGGGGCCCGACGCCGTGGGTTATCCTTGGGGAGACTTTCCCGTTGAGGGTGAGGCCCAAGTGTATTGCACTTGCTGGTGGGTTTCTTTCTTGCTAAAACCGTTGATCAAAGCTGATGAAAGTGTGATAGCTTCTGTCAATTGGCTCTGGAATTTCCTATTGTCTTACTTTTCACCTCTTATTACCGACGACATCGGTCCTTTGTAAGTATTCCCTTATCCATCGTCTCTGATCGCGAGCTCATGAGCATGGCAGAATTCTGATGATCTTCTTCGGCTGCCTCGTTGGCGCATTCGTCTACGTCTACTTCATGCTTCCCGAAACCCGAGGCGTACGTTCAACATCGCGACTCATCCAAGCCTTTACTAACATCTTACCTTCAGATCTCACTCGAAGAAGTCGACGAGCTCTACCGTTCCAAAATCCCCGCTTGGCGTTCCAATTCCTGGAAACCATCCGGCCACCACGCAGCCCTCGACGCTATCGAAGGCGGTACCGACCCTCGCCGGACGCAAAAGACTGGCGCTGGCGCGGGCGAAGATGCACCGGGGCTTATTGGTGGGGTTGGTGGGGATGAGAAGAAGAAGGAGGTGGATGAGCATTTGGAGCATGCTCCTGGGACGGGGGCTGGGTACGAGAAGCAGAAGCGTGAGTTTACGGCGTTCTAGGATAGGGCAGGGATGCTGATCAAGTGGCGTAGCGCTTCATGTGGTGTGAGGTGGTACGATCGAAATGAGACGGCAGAATATCTGCTCTGTTTGTAGCGGTTACTATTGTCTCCGTAGCTGTATCTATTACAAGAATGGTGTTGAATCATGTATCCATGTGCCATAAAGCTTGATCGGATGGTGTGTTGTCGAGAGGCTGATAGTAATCGATGAGGCACACAGAGGAGGAGACTTCAAGTAACAGGAAACAAACACCATCATGGTAACGGTGTGCAGTACATCTCCAGCACAGAAAGTGGGACGCAGAAGAGAGTCTTGAGTTGACATGGGAAGAACTTGGGAAGAACAACAATGACGCGAGCCCAGCGGCGGTGCCCGCCGCGAGTGGCTCTAGGACAGGTTTAGAAAAGTGAGTGCAGTGACCAGACATCAACATCTTTTTGTTCTCCTTCTCACTTTTTCCCCTCATCTACAGAGCACCGGCTGTCCCTGGAACACCACTTGACTATCCCTCCGAATCCCAGACTCTCCCTCGCCCAAGCGCCCTAACCCCAGCCTACCACCAGCCATACTGGACCCTTCCCCAGACCGGCCACCAAGCTACGACGAAATCATGGACGACGACATGGACGATGCCTATGGCAGCTACTACTCCTACTACAGCCGTCCCCGCGATGCTCCGCCCATAGTCAGGCTTGATCCCATCACCGACTACAACATCCAATATGTGGAGGGCAGCGGGTCGAGTCGTGGCAAGAGCATGTAAGTGGCGTGTCACCAGATCGGGCGTGGTAGTCTAGGGCTTTAGGGAGTGTGACTGACACATGCTTGTAGCGACCTTGTCTTCATCCTGGACTGCACTGGGTCGATGCAGAAATATATCAATTCGGTCCGCGACCATATCATTGGCATCTGTGATATGATCCGAGGGGAGGAGGGGCTGAACGGCCCTGACGATCTGCGAGTCGCTGTGCGTTCTTGTCACCGACTTTATTGTATACGCATCGCTGACATGGTTTTCGTCAGGTCGTCAACTATCGAGACCACCCGCCCCAGGACAGCACCTACATCTACAAATTCCACCCCTTCACCTCTGACATTCCCGAGCTCCAAACGTACATCAAGGGCCTCACAGGTACGCACTACTCTGCCCACCCTTATGCACATCGTACTGATGTGCTGGCTACAGCTTCAGGCGGAGGGGATGGCCCCGAGGCAGTGACGTCCGCTATGGCCGCCACCCTGACCGAGCTCGAGTGGAGGCGGGAAGCGGCGAGAATGGCAGTGTTGGTGGCGGACGCTCCCCCGCACGGAATCGGAGAAGGCGGTGACCAGTTCAAGGGTGGTGATCCTTTGGGTGAGAGTGGAGATTGTTGGTACATGGGCTAGGCTGATTTGGGGTAGGACACGACCCTCTGGTTGTTGCGAGGACAATGGCTCAGAACGGTATCACTATGGCAAGTATCGTCAATTCATCGTGTTATGAGCAACATGCTTACGCTCCCATAGTTTATGGTCGCTTGCGAAGACACTCTTTCCGGCTACAGCGTACGCCTTCCTCCCCTCCACCCCAAGCCCAAAGCCCCAAACTGACCCCGTCCCAGCACGCCGTCGACTTTTTCCAAGCCATCTGCAATATGACCTCGGGCGTCATGCTCCCCCTTTTCTCCGCCGACTTGCTCGCCATGACCATTGTCGGAAGCGTTCTCGAGAATATGGACATGGAGCGACTCATAACGGAGATCGGCATGGAGGTGGCACAGAGGATTAAGGAGAAGGGAGAGTCCATGGAGAGTGTTGAAGAAGTTGCGCAGTACGTCCCTAGATCAACGCCAGGGGTTTTTTGCTGACACTTTTGGTGTGCAAGAGAATTGCACGAGCGACTGCTTTTGCGTAATGAACAGACCAAGCAAGTCCGTTTACCAGAAGTCTACGTCCCGCACGAGAATGCCAAAAAGAACGTCTCCACCTGGATGAACGCCAGCTGTCTCGGCGATGCCGTCCCCCACATCCTCGCCGTACGTCCCCCCCTCCCCTCCCACCCCCTCTTCTTGCAAGCCGTGCTGACTTTCGACTTGGATTAGGTACCGGGCAAACGCCTGACTGAAAAGTTCCGTAAACAAAACTACGCTGCCGGGTTCAACTACACCCCCGGCGGCCGTCTCCCCCCACGCCGCTCCACCTCCGTCGCTTCCCCGCCCTCCACCACCACCAGCACCACCTCCTCCGCGCTCGGTATCCCGCCCACCCCCTCCTCCCCCACCGCTCACCCCCACCCCCACTCCCCACCGACAGCAACCTCCCCCTCCCGCAGGGTCGTCTCCGACTTTAAACCGTTCGGCGCGCCGGCAGCTGGGGATGGGAAGATGGGCGTGAGCGTCTTTGGGGCGCCGATGCTCTCGACGCCGGGGCCTGGTGGGGGGATGTTTGGGAGTATGGGGCGGGCGCCGGGGGGGCATGGGGGGTTGAGGGAGAGGGAGGAGGAGGAGGATGAGGAGGATGATGATGAGGGGGCGAGGTTGAGGAGGGAGGCGATCAGTTTGGACCAGGTACGTTTTTTTGACGGCGGAGGCGTTGGGTGATAGGTGCTGATGATTATGTAGGCGAGGCGTATTGCTACGCAGGCGGTATTCCGGGCTGGCAGATTCTGATTCGAACGAGGTAAATGTGCACAGTAGAAACATCCAACGAAATCCTTACGAACTTTTCAAACCGATTTTACTTTCCTTGACTCTTGAACGATCATCTACTTTTAATCTTTGGAAAACCTTTTGCAAAAGTTTCATTCAACCACGAGACTAGAGATCTGTGATATGTATAGAGTAACGATGTCGGGGCATATCTGAATGGGCGTGGAATACAACCCATGTGTGGTCAGATGTCGGGCGTTGAGGCAGATCCTCGCCATGGACCATGGTCATGTCACTCCAGACGATATAGTAGTGCTGCCAGCAGCCCGCGGTTAAAGTCCAGAAAGTCTTGTGCTCTTGAGACAGGTGTAGCAGACGGGCACATCCAGTCGCTCTTGCCCAGGCATAAAGCCTCGCCATTGGCCATCAACAACGGCTATCCTGTAAAACTTGTACAAATGCATATAATGCCACAATATACCAACATCCTCTCACTTTCTCGCATACGTGACCTACACCACATCATCAGCACCATCATCTCGACACCTCTCCAAACAAAAAACAAGAAAACTCACCTTCATCTTGGTCTCTCCATCAATCTTGAAATTATGCAAAGCATCCTTCGCCACCGTCGCACTCGCCTCATCCCCAAACTCTACAAACGCAATATCCTTCTTCGCCGCGATCGTCCTAATCTCCACCAGCCCGGGGTGCAACTCGAATACCTCGCGCAGATCGTCTGCTGTCGTGCCGTCTGGGAGGTTTTGGACAAAGAGGACAGAATTGGGAGGGAGGTATTCGTCGGGCATTTGGGCGAGGCGTTGTTTTTTGGCGGCGGAGGGGGCTGAGGCGGAAGCGGAGGGGTCGGAGGGGTCGGTGGTGGTGGATTTGAGTTTGGATTGGGCTTTTTGGCGGAGGGGGTTGTTTTTGCGTTTCAACTCTGTTTCCCACATGTCAGCCAGGTGAGATGAGAGAGGGGGGATGGAGGGGAAGGGGGAGGAGGGGGATGTACTCTTGTCTTCTAATCTCTTCTTGGTATGTTCTTCAAACGCCTTTTCGTCCCCCGTCTTCTTGACCACCACATCCGCCAACGTCTTCGCGAATTTTATTTGCTACAACCCACCGCCCATCAGCTCACCTTCATGTACATACAAAATCAGACTCACAATAGGCTTGCCGTATAGAGGAAACTCGTGCACATCCCGCCTCGCCTGGTTGGCAGTCTCGATATCCGGAAACGACACGAACGCTTGGCCCCTCATCCTCACGTTTCTGTGGGCCGTCACAGGGCCTAGAGGTCTGTATGGTTTGAACAGATTTGACAGTGTTTCCTTCATCACTACCCTCCCTCCATTAGCCTATTTGCACAAGATGAAGAAGGATAGGGGTGGAAGGCGTACCTTGTATCCGGACTTTTTCATTCAGGTTCTGCAAGTACAGCGTTGGACAGGCATCGTCTGGGATCTTGTTTGGATCTTCTTCTTCTTCCTCTGCTTGCTCTTTCCCTTCTGGCTTCGCATCGCCCTCTTGCTTGACTTGGTCGCCCTCGGCGGTGGACGCTTCGGCGCTTTCGGCTGGACGGTTGGCGTCGGACATGTTGATGTCTGTTGATTCCGGGACGGCGGTGGGTGGGGGGGCTACTTCGGCCATTGCTGTAGACGAGTCGGTGGGATATGACGAGAGATGGAGGGTGACAACTGGCAGATGGAGGAGGATGAAGCCAGCCAGAGAATATCTGCGCGTGCATTTTATCGTCTTTATCCCTCGGCGCACACCGCCTATGGGCTATGATGGTTGAACGACTTCTTCATCGTTATGCATGCATCCCTGTCATGTCAGGGATGGCATTAACGTACAAAGACTCCCGACTCTAGGTTAGTATCTGCTGAGCAAAACAATCGAGAAGACAGGCTCATACCGATGCCCTGTCTAGACTCTCCGCGTCTGGGTCTGCCTGAAGCACCTATGTCATGGATTGTGAATCACTGGCATGCATCTCTGCTCACAACCTTGGCCCATGCAGTCATCGACAGACCTCGAGGCTTGTACTCTTTCCAGTGCCCGGCTGTCTCACTCGCCCAGTGACCCCCTCATACGCTTAACGCCGGAACCCCGAGCACACCATCGTCGCCTGCTCCAGCCCTGCTTTGTCTTCCTCGCAATCCATCCACCCACCTACCACAGCAGCTTCTCATCATCACTGCAACTGCCAAACCCATGCCCTCCCCCACCACTCCCCACCACCCCCTCCTCAAAGCCGACGAGATCGAGACCGCCCCCTGGCGTACACTCGCCCATTCGTTGAAGCCTGAAGCTGTACGAACTCAGTTTTCCATGTCTGATGCTGGTACGTCCGCAATTCTTCACCATGTCCTCGGAGAAGGGCTTGATGGGTGGAGAGCAAGAAGGTCTTTGGCCAAAGGGCTAATACGGAGATACCCGATCACGCAGTCGGCATGAAGAACATTGCCGTCCACAAAAGCAGACTTGAACCAGGCAAAGAATCATGCGTGAGCCCCTCTCTCTCTCTCCCACTCCCCCCTACTGCCCTACTGAAATCATGAAATCAGCTCAACCACTACCACCTGAACGACTCTGAATGGATATACATCCTCTCCGGCACCGGTACCCTCATTCTCATCGACGCCTCCCCCTCCCTCCTGTCCCAACACTCCCTCCCGCCCGGCGTCTCCCTCTCCGGCCCCATCCCCCCACCTCCAAAGCCTGAGGATATGCACAGGGAAGAACGGGCGGTAGGCCCGGGGGACTTTGTGGGTTTTGAAGGTGGGGGAGGGGCGGCGAGGTATTCGCATTCGATGATTGCCGGGCCGGGGGGGTTGGAGTACCTTCTTGGCGGGGTGAAGACTAGTCCGAACGTTTGTGCTTATCCCGAGTGAGTCTCTTCTTTTCATCCATACGTGTCCATGTTGGATGGGGGCTGATGGAAGGGGTGAAGGATTGGGAGGACGTTGGTTTTTGAGCGGGGGGAGGGGCCGGAAGGGCCTAAGCTTGAGAGGAGTGTTATCAGGGAGCATCGGGGGTAGCGAATGACTGCATTGGGGTCGCAGAAGAATGAGGAGGGACCGTAGGATGGTATTGGTTGTATTGATTTATAGGATGGTGATCCTGGCGGAGGACGCGGATGGCCGAGGTTCAAGATCCAGCCGGGTCACCTCTCAAACCGCCCCATGCAATTCTCATCGCAACCCCGCCCTATCTTCCCTTCCCCCACTTCGTCACCTCCCCCATACTAATACATAAATGTCCCGCGACCTCCCCCACCCACTGCTCAAATTCGCCGAAATCGAAGCAAGCTGTACAAAAACCCTCGCCACAAGTGCTCAACCCGAAGGCTGTTTGGCATCACGTTGAGGTTTGAAGAGCGGGGAGAGATGATGGGGGTGAATGTAGGCTGGGTAGGACGTTGGTTTATGAGAGGGTTGCTGAAAGGGGTGAAGAGTCGGAGGTGCGCTCTGTCATTCGGGAGGTTTAGCCGGGATGTACTTTTGATGGTACTCGTAGGCAATGTAACAGGTTGCATAGTTTTCTTCTGTCTTCTGTCTTCTTTCCTTTTCTCAACTTGTTCACAAACCTCCTAAAAAGATTTAGAGGGTCAAAGCAGCTTCCACATCGCTCTACCCACTCTTGTCAGCACACAATCATCAAAACAGGGAGTGGAATGGAATGGAAAGGGAAGGGGAGGGGAAGAGAAGAAGACGTACGACCTTGGTGTCACGGGCAGCGAACCACTTGATCTGTCCGTCCTTGACCAAAAACTTGGAAAAGTTCTACACACACCCCACCGATGTATCAGCTCTTGTACTCACCAAAATACAGGATAGGAAGGGGGGATGAGGGATTGAACGTACCCAGTCAATGTCCTTGACGGGGGGGTCGGCGTGTTCTTTGAGGTATTTCCAGATGGCCTGGGTGTTTTCGCCATTCACATCCGCCTACAAATGTGCGCCAAATCAATACTTTGATCTCTTTTTTCTCAGGAAGAAGAGAAGGAGGAGGAAGGGATAGGCTTACTTTCTTGGCGATAGGGAACGTAACGCCGTAGTTGAGCTGACAGAACTGGAGCACTTCGTCGTCCGACCCAGGCTCTTGAGCTTTGAACTATTCACATACCATACCTCATATCAGCGCTGCTCTCACGATCTGAACAGTCTTCATTCGAGCAAGAGGAAGAGGAAGAGGAAGGGGGGCGGAAAGAGAAAGCGTACCTGGTTGCAAGGGAACCCGATGATGACGAGACCTTTGTCACCGTACTTTTCGTGCAGAGCTTGGAGCTCTTTGTACTGAGGGGTGAGGCCTGGTCGAACCAAAGAACCAAAGAACCAAAAGAGTCAAGAGTCAGCTTTATGAGATTTCTAAGAAGGTCCCCCAGGAAAAGAGGGAGGGGGGCGTACCGCATTTCGAAGCGACATTGACAAAAAGAATCGTCTTGTCCTTCAATTCCGCGAGGGGGAGGGTAGATTTGGAGAGCTCGACCTATCATCACCCCCGCCCCAACCGGGGTCTCTGTCAGTTTCCCACACATAAATCCTCTGAGCAGTCCTCTCCAGCCCAGAAGGACGTACGTTATAAGAATAGATATCAGACATGGTTCTTGGATCTGTGTCAAGAGGAACAGAAGAAGGATGGATGACAAAGTGAGAGAGAGAAGGGAAGGAAAGGCAATCTCCGTGGCCGTCGGCGCTGGGCGAAGCCTTCGCCGCATGACGTGCGCGCTGGTAAGTGCCTGGGTGTTTACGTATTCCCAGTTGACGGCCTTTTTTGCGGCGGCCGGGGTTCTTGCTACTTGCCAGTTGCTGCTGTAAAAAGTCCGCCCGAACCAGGTCTGGTCAAGAGTTCCAAAAACAACAGCAACCTACCACCTGCTTAGAGTGTATTTGCAGTTGCAATGTGTAATCTGTAAAATCTGCAAGATGAGAAGGGAAGGAAAGAGTATGTTGCTATGGGTGGACGGTGGGGGGAGACGTCGCTCCGACGTGGTGTCATGTCGAGTTGAACCTTTATCAATTCCGATCCAAGATGACTTGACGATTGTGTCGAAGAAGACAGAAGACAAAAGTTGTCGGTGATTGAGGTAGAAGATACTTCATACACGCAGGGCAGGAGTAGTCGGAAAAGAAAATGAAATGCTCGAGGATAGGACATACGGAAAGACGATGGACGATCGGACCGGTCTTTGGAAGGAAAGAATGGCGAAGGAATAGGGCATAGTGGGAAAGGCGTAACAAGCTGAGGATGGATCGATGAAAAGATGATTGATTCTCGTGGGACAATACGCTTGGGTACTGTGGTCGCTTTGTGGGTGTTATACGAGTTGAGACATGGAGGATAGGATACGTGTAAAGATAGAGCTTGTTATGAAAAACTACGAGCAGCAGATTTTTGTCTGCCTGCTGATAAGTGATAACGAGACAAAGTCGAGAGAGCGTACATTCAACGGTTGCTGGGTCTCAAAGACCTGTGCTGACGGTTGTCCGCCATCTACGTATCTTGGGGGCTCAAAATTTCGATGTGGTGACACTTGCAAAGCCGCGGGCAAGTAAAATCTGAGCGCTTTGAGATGAACGAAAGTTTTGAAACGACACGAGACAAGATGGTTTCATGTTGGACTATAATTAGATTTTTCCGCATATTTGTTGGACGATACGAGTACAACAACCACCACCAGATGGCAGATGCGGGATTGCAATGCATATCACCAAACGTGGACAGACGTGGAAAACAGGCACGTGAAGAAAGCGAAAGCGTACGAGTATAATTAAAGAAGAGACAAGCTGAGAGGGCAAGAGGCACAGGGAGGGCAGAAACGGCGGTGACATCGATGGCGTTTCTGCGTCGTTCTGCCGTCTCCCGTGCCCGTGCGCCCGTCTCACCGTCTGCCGCAGTGACACATTATTGAGTCTTTGACACATCATCAGATCTACGGTTTGCGACCACCGAGTATACCCAGTACCGAGATACCGAGGCAGCTCAAGCGGGCGAAGGGGATTAAGGGAGAGACAGGCCAACGTCGGTCACAGTCCACAAAGGCCACAGACGGAGATCGCGGCCTCTCTCCACGGAGAGAGACCCAATAATAATTGTGGTGGTGAGGCTTACTGCCCGTGTGATTGCGCCGCTCGTCATCCGAGGTAAAAGTGCGTGGCCCCTTTTGTAAGACAGACCCTTATGAAAATATGAATCCGCAACTCGGCCTACAAAACACCCCCCAGCGGCCGAAAGAGTGAGGGATCAAGATGGCATGCCACCAGTCCTAAACTCCTAATGTAAGACCAGGACAGCGAGGGGTCCTACCTGAACGCCCATCTTGCTAGCAGCTGGGGAAGAAACGACAAGTCTGAAAAAGTTGAGCAAGATGGGTACCCGAGTAAGACCCCAGGCACGGGCAGATAGGCAAAGATAGCGTTCTGGCCAGGTCCGGATGTCTTGCAAGTTCAAACGCCGGGTGGCATTCATTGCCTAATGGGGCAATTTCAACCCGGAGATTAATCTTATTCCGCCATTTGTAGTTTGTGCTTAGTGCGGCGTAGATTTGTAACCCATTGCGGACTAATTAGGACTAGTTTGGTGCCGCTCATTACAAATGGATTGCGCAAAGTGGGCCCTAATTGGGATCTGCCTCTGCAGATCGATTAATGATTTACACTTCAGAGTCTTTTCCGCCTATTCCTGCTCTACCTCTTCCCCTGTACGTCTAGCACAAGCCACAGCTCAGCACCGCCCAGCGACGCCCCAACCCACGACAACTAAGACAACCGCCACACGAGGGAACAGTGCCGCACACTCAACTGGGCGGGAACTCAACTTCCTTGCCATCGCCCCCTCCCTCTTTCAAACTCTTGAGAGAGGAAACTGACCCCTGTTCCCATCTACGCATACAGCCCAGCTGCGCAGAACATTATGTGTGCCTCTGCATCGCCAACAGCGCCAATGCGCGACCAACAAGTGTGTCCTTTCCTCTCCATCCGCTCTGTGCCTTTTTTGCTGACGACCAGCAGCCAACCCGCCAGCCCCCGACAGACCCCTCCCTCTTCATGCCCTCCCGCCCCACCTACTCTGCCCCCTCCTCCGCCTCCAACACCCCCCAAGCCCCGCCCATGCACGCCGCCGCATCTCTGCCTCAGCCTTATCCCATGTACGGAGCCAGTCATCCCGGTTACTACCACCGCGAAGATCCCTACCCGTACCCCCCTCCCCCTCCGCACCACATGTCCGGCCCTCCTGCCCAGCGCATCTACTACAACACCGCCCCGCCCCCGCCGCCTGCGCACTACCACGCGCGCGACGAGTGGCACGCCGAACATGCCCGGCACCGTGATTCGCCCCCTCGTCAGCCTATCACCGCTCGCCGTGATGGGCCCGAGGAGGCCTCGCCGAAGGGTGGTGAGCATGTGAAGCGGCGACGAGGGAGGCCAAAGAAGGTGCCGGTGCCAGTGGAGATGCAGCATGTGAATAGAGGCGAGTATCCGTCGGTTATGGCGCCGCTGTCGCCTGGGCGGAGTAGCGGGAGCGATAGGGACCCGCCGCCGCCGGTCCAGCAATGGTCTGGCCAGGCTATGGGCCGGGGGCAAGCACCTGCGCCTCAGTTCCTCCAGTCGAGCCATAGTGGCGACTTTATCCACGACGAGCCGGAGCAAATCGTGTCCATCAATGAAAGGCAGGCCAACCGACCGCCGAAAAGGGCAAGGGGCAGTGAAGAGCGAAGCAGCGGGATGGGAGGAGATGCCGAGCTCGAAGCTGGTATGGCGCTGGCGGGACTCAAGAGACGCGAAAGCGCGCCCACGGCGGTTTCGAAAAAGACTTCATCGCTCGTCAAGGCCGAGCCGGGAGAGGAAAAGCCGATCGTCAAGAAGGCGGAAAAGCCGTCGAACGCAAAGAGCTGTGCCGAGTGTAGGCGGTTGAAGGCCAAGTGTGATAGGGTTTTCCCTTGCTCTAATTGTGAGTGGCAAAAAAGTGCAATGTTGGGATGCTGTACTGACAGGTGATAGGTCGGAGACGAGGATGTGCTGTTGTCTGTCCCGATGGCGATTTGAGCTGCATGCAGGGTAAAAGACTTGTCCTCGCGTCGACCGAGCAGCTTCACGAAAGAGTAAGCAGCTTCATTCGTCGTCGTCAAAGACTCCTAACTCGATGTAGATATCACAACTCGAACAAGCGCTCGCGCAGACCCATCGCTCAGCTGTCGGCGGTACATCCTACCACCCCCTCCTCGCTCCCCAGTTCCTCGACGGCGGCTTTGCCAGCGTCGAACAACCCCCCATCACCGTCGACTCCAAACCACCCTCCTTCTCGCCCGACTCGTCCCAAAACGGTCTCGGCCACGGTTCACCCAAAAACGCTTCTTCTTCCGCCGAGAGCTTTACCCTCACCACGCCTTTACTGGGCCCGGAGAAGAGGAGTAACAGGTCGAGCCGGATGGCGGTGGAGAGTCTGTTGACGGAAGATTCGGCGGTGCCGGAGGGGAAGAGGGAAGATGAGTGGGCGGGGGAAAATGCTGCGCCTGCGATGATCATCGGTACCGTCGGCAAGCCTGACTCTGCCGAAGATCTTGAACAGCGACATTCAGTCTTTGCGCGACTTAAAAAGATCATCACCATCCTCCCGCCGAGAAATGTCAACAAACAGCGCGCAGACCACTTTTTCGAGACGTCTCTGTGGTACCAGACGGTCCTGCACAGGAACGAGTATGATACAGTGTACGAACCCGCCGTCTACGCGCCTACAGCCGCCAACCCTCTCTCCCCGCACAAACTCGCCGTCGTCCTCATGGTGCTCACTTTCGAGACGTACCTCGACATCTCGGCCGATGAGAACGACCCCAAGCTGGCGGATTACTGGGACGGCGCACAGCGGTGTTTTGATACCCGGTTCGGCTGGGCGGCTAGTGTTGCGGGCGTACAGGCGTTGGCGCTGGCGACGCTGTTTGTCGGGTTTGGCTGGCGAGGGACGCGGGCGAGCAACTTTTATTGGTTACGCCAGATGACGTCTGCCGCGCTCCAACTCGGCTTGCACCGTGATGCCCACAGCTCTTTCCCTGATGAAGAGAAAGAGTTCCGCCGACGTGTGTTTCACGAGATTTACGTGATTGACAGTTTAATCTGTCTTAATCATGGTCAGCGGGCTTCGATCCCTCTAGAGTTTATCGAGACGGCGTACCCGACGTTGAGCTCGCCGCTGGCGTATACAAAATATGATTTTATTAGGAAGGTGAAGAGTCAGGTGATTGATATTGGGTCGTTGCCTGATTCGGCGCCGGCGAGCTGGGCAAAGGTCAAGGAGGTGGAGGAACAGTTGATGGAATACGAGTACGTCTTTCTGTTACCTTTTGGAGGACGGAGCTGACCTGTATAAAGCGTCGACCGACTTCCCGTCGTCCACTGCCCCTTGCTCCGCGGCGAACAGCCCCCCGACCCCGTCGAAGGCTTCACCCACGCCGACGCCGTCGCCCTCCAAACCACCACCACCTCCATGTGCCACTACAAAGCCATGCTCTACCTCTTCCGCCCCTCCCTCCGCCGCCTTATCGCGCGTATCCGCTCCAGCCCCGCTTCATCCATCACATTCCAGCAATCCGATATCGACACTGTCAAGATGACGCTCCGCGCTTGCAACTCGATCATCCTGA